GATTAATGATATTACACTTTAATTGGTATTAATTATGGACGAATAATAATATAATTTAGTATATAATTTATATATATACTATTTCTGATTTACATTTACCTTAAGGCTAAACATATTAATTTTTTACTGACATTTCTTTTTCATAGCTTAAATATAGATGCGATACTGTTGTTTACGGGACGCGAGTGACTTGTCGGCCAGACGGCCGACGCAAGGATGATCACGTGTCCAGGATCTGGCTGCGTATTTATTCTGTGAGGAAGTTTACGTTGGAGCGTGCAAAGAGTGCAAACCTAATTGCGTATGCGTTGTTTGTGGTTCGTTGAGCGGGTTATCGTCTGGAATTTTTTTTTCGGTCCATACCGGTTTTTAAAGGCCGTTCATTGTCCTTGAGTGTTACTCGGGTCTGTTGACGCGCGCGACTTGCCAGCGCCATCCCGTCGGCGCCGTTGTTCCTCTCTTTCTCGCACGCCATCTCCTCGGCTGACGCCGTCGCTGTCGCAGTCCGAGTCGCCGTCATTGCTGTTCACATACATTTTGCAAATAACAACAACAACAACAACAGTTGCTGTCGCCGTCGCAATTTATGCCCCCGTTTTACATAACTAATATAATTATTCACACAATCGCCAATATGGGCGTGATCTTATGAGTCGAATGTCAGGAGCATGTGGCATTTATGGTGACAGAGCAATTGGTCTCAAAAGATAAAAGTGTGTACAAACAATTTCTCATTACATTTGATAAGAAATAAATGAAAGTTAACAATTGACACTTATTGGAACAAGGGCCCAATTCGGTTTTTTTTGCAAAATGCGTTTTTTCTTTTAAACATTTTTTTTTTTAATTGTGGTAGAATGTTGGCCCAATATGCTACCGGAACGTTCTAAACATAATTTTATTTAACTAGAAAAAAGGGCCTTATCAATGAACCTACTTTATAAACCAAAGTACAACTGTGATTAAAAAAGTCTTACAAAGTAAAATATTGTGATAACTACTTTTAAGTTAAATTTTACATTGTACATGAATAACATATGTACATTGTTTATTATTATGTATTGAACAAAAATGTTTTTTTTATTAAATACATATAAATTTTCAATTTGAAAAGTTTTGATGAGAAAAAAGGTCCAATTTTACAACTTTAAAAAAATTCCTTAGACTAAGTTAAAATTAAAAATTAATATTTTATAAATGAAATAATGTATATATTTTATTAGTGTAGTACTTATTTAACATTTTTGTTTTTAGTAGTTAATTTTATTATCAGACTATCATTTTCTGACAATAACAGCCTTCGTTAATAAAGTTTTTTCGAAAAATTTACTTTTATATGAAACGGTTTCATTAAATCAAATATTTTTATCGTAGAATTAAATTTAATTACGCATTAACATGAGTGTGGTACACGTTTATAGTTGTAAGTATTTATTTATACACAGTCGTTTTTGAAATGTCTTCTCATATGAATAGGTCGGACGATTCTTCTACAAGTAAGATGTCTTGAGAGGCATGCAGTTTCATTCGTCTATTTAACGTTTTTTTTCTGACAAAAGTTTTTAAATAATTTGAATTTTTGTTAAATATTTGAGCTCAGCGTGACTGATTAATTATTTATTTGATTGTTTTTTTTTTTTAAGTTCAAATGAAAAAAAAATCAAAATTACAGCAAGCTTAACCAAGTGGTAAGGTTAGGTTAAGACTTAGGATATGTACAAATTAAACTACATAGATTTCACACAGGATATGAACGAGTGTAGTCGTATGGTTGCTAGTCAGGAAGAAGTGCTAATAACAATTGTTAAATAAAAAAACAAAAATCAAATCTGCTTTCTCTTGGAAAAAAAAATGAAAGTTAAACATATCAGACAACGACGATTGCCGAAACGTATGATTTCTCTGCAGTCTGCAAACACGTGTTAAATGCGAAATCCATTTAGAACCGTGTCTTTTACTATATCGCAAATAAAGGATATACTTAAATCCTTTACATACCGACAGGGTTTGTACTATTTTATTATTATTATTTTTTTTTTTTGACAAAGTAGTCAAATTTTGACCCCGAGTCAATCACATTAGCAAAAATATCGCTTAATATTAACTCGCTATTAATGTTATGTGAAAACCGGTAAAAAATTAAGTATGAACAATGTAGTCCATATAGTAATAGCCAAACATAAACTGTAATGAAAAAAAAACAATTACTTCCATGTACATCGTTTAGTAAGTACCTATTCATATTTGCTTTTACATTAATATATAATATAATACAATTATTATATTTTCTCGACAAATGAGTGTAGGTATAAAGAATTTATAGAATTGTATTATCAAATACGTAGGCTAATAAAATTCAATAAAACGACACATTATACAGTGGCGCCAAGTTCAAGTTTAAAGACCGGTTCCAGGCGCCACATACCTGAACCCTTAGCAATAAAACAAAAATGAAAAATAGCGTAAAATAATAATTTAGTAAAAAAAAATAATAAAGTGTATAATATGTATTTATTCTATTATGTCATTCTAAATTCTTATTCTATGTAAAAGTATGAATTTCTATAGAATAATTGTTAAGAATAGCTAAAGAAGTTTAAAATAAAATCCTTATTACATAATATAATAATCATAAAAAATAATGATAATATTTAAAGTTCCAGTTGAAATTATTATTATTTAGGATACTATTAAAGGGTGACTTATAAAAGTCATTTAACAACCTGTTTATTAGATTAACCTATCAAAAGCAGAATGAAGTAATGAAACATATTGCCAGTTCAAAATTTTGGATAAATACTTTTCGAGTTATTAGTAATAATAACTAATAAGGTACCAATAGACTTGTTACTTTAATGAGGACCTGGGAAGGTATTGGAAAGCCTAACGATATACATAACGTTATATACCTAATGAACAAAAACAAATCAACAATATTTCATAATTAGCTGTACAGAGTATATTTGATAAGTTTAGATGGAAAGTAGATACTAAATAACGAATGCCTCTCATTTATTTTTTGTTAGATTCTTGACATTATCAGAATTTACGTTTAACAATTTAAAAACATTTTTTTTTTTCATTTGACATTAAAAATATGGTGACATTTGAAAGCAGTTCAACCAAATGATCATTAAAATGTAAATAAGGTTTCCCAATACCCTAAAAAACATTTTTTTTAATATTAATATGTTATACATAGATAGGTATGTGATAACCATAATTTATAGTTCACTTTACTGAATATATAGTGTTTTAACAAAACTTTTAATTAAAATCAACTAGATATTTATACTTTAAAGACAATAATACCAGGTGGCAGGTGTAGTTAATTGAAATGAATAATTGGTAGTCCCGTCAACAGGAATATTCCATCGCTAAATGGTATGTTGACTTGACTGTTGATATTATTTGTAACTATCATTGCCATAGATATTTCCCAAACATTGAAATTAGTTGTGTTTTGTTATTGTAAAACGATGGAAAAAAATTTACTACGCAGGATATTGAATCTGATCAAGTTGATTTTGTTATCAATGTAATTAACATGCTCAATACATAAATTATTAGGTATTTAGAGTTTTGATTAAATTAGCTGTTATTTCTATTCTACGTGGTATATGGAAACAACATTAATATGTAATATGCTATTAAAACTTGAATATTTACACTATTTACATTTTACACGGCTTGCGGTTTCTCCCATTTGGATATCTTGATTGGTTTGCCAACGTTTCGAAACACTTGCATGTTCCATCTTCAGGGCTCTGGTTCGATGTTGTTGTTGAACATTAATATGATTTTACATAATGGAAAAATAGGATAAAAATAACATTACAATATTTATACGCTCATGAGAAAATTTATCATCGTTGAAATATTTTTAAAATTAATAATTAGCGATATAGGTACATATAATATTGAGTGTTTTGTTTTTTCGTTATGCCATAGCATAATATATCAGCTTTTGTTATTTTATAATAGGTATTAGTTGTATTTATAGTATATAAAGCCGATGGTATTTACCAATAAGGTTTTGGTTTTCATTTTTCTCATTCCATATATCTAGTATTTAATGACTTATAAACTCATTCGGTTGTTTGTTAATATATAATATATCAAACGTCTTTGATACATAGTAGGAATAACTTATCAAAAAAGTACCCTGACCGATCATAAGTATCATAAGTAAACTTCATAAAGAATTCAAATCTGTTTTCAGATTACTTAACGGATCACTGGTTCAGCCTGTGCGATGGAACAAAAAATGTATGCTATATTAACTAAAATGGATTTTACTCATAGACAAAATAATTTAAATTAAAAATAATACCATGAAACTTATACAAATTAACCGGTAAATTAATTGACATGATCGAAATTTATTAAAACCGCTTTTTCCTTAAATATTGCCTATACAAAACTCCTTAAAAACCAACCGCATGCAATCCCCTTAATTATAATATATATAACCACGAGTGTTGATTAAGTTTTGTTTATAGTGTATATGTATTGAAAGTTAAAAATTGGGTATTTTAAAAATTCCGTATACAGTATACCTAATACCTATAGGTACGTATTACTTTACCATATTAAAATTAATTATTTTAGGTGCCGCACGATAATGTAACATCTTTATGAAATCTTTGTGAAATTCAGTTGTTATATAATATATATTCAGGTGTATAAAATTATGTTATTAAATCAGGGGCGTATTTAGATATTTTTTTTTGGGGGGGGGGGGTGAGGCATTGAGTAAAAGAGCTGTGTAAAGAGTTATTTCTAAATTCTGATCCAGAAATAAACTTTAAAAATTTGGCCAAACTTACCCATTTCTCAACCTATTAAAAACAAGACTTCGAAATTAAGTGTAAAATTGTAATATTATAATTCTGATATAATTATTATTAGTTACACAATCTCAAGTCTTACAAAATATTATATAATAAAATAGAAATTATAATTCTTATTAATACTAATTATAATAATAGTAAAACAAATTATATTAAATTCAAATTTCTCTCTTTACCACTGTTGGCAAATTTGTCTAATACCATATCATCATTTACATCAATGTCTCGGTGAATGGATAAAAGTGCTAGTCCTACTAGCCTGGACTCAGAAGTTGTATTTCTTAAATATGTTTTAAGTCTTCTAAGAGTAGAAAAGCTGCGTTCAGCCGTAGCGGTGGATACTGGAATTATAGCTAGTATTTTTAGTAATTCAAATATGTTAGGGTACATTAAACGATCACAGGCTCTTAGAGCTTCTATAGCAGTTGCAGGTCTTAAGTTTTCTTCAATATTTTTCCATTTAGCCTGCCAAATTTCATACTCTGCTTCTATAATGTCGTTTAGCCCAGGTAAATCACTTTTATAAGATTCGACAGCTTTTTTTAAACTAAAAAATGGTTTTTCAACTATGATACGAGGTAAGACAAATTGTAATGAAATTATAGTTTCATTATGAGGTAAAAATCTTTCATTTAATGCCATTATTAAATCGTCCGAATACGGTATAAAAATAGTTTTTTTGTAAAAATCTTCAATATTATTAAACGGGACATTGCTTCTATTTTTTTGATTGCTGCATGTTCGAGGTATTTTTGGTTCAACATTTAACTTTATAGCAATACCTTGGGCGTCTTTATAAATATCGTTAAATTTTAAATCAACGTTTTCTCTTATGGTATTTAACACAGATACCACCTGGGTAACTTGTTTAAGAGCGTTAAAAAGATCGATATTTTTACTTTGTAAATATTTAGATAAATTATAAGTATAACTTAATAATTTACTAGATACGCAAACAGATATTAAAAAATTAAAATTACAAGTACAATGTAAAAGACTATTAGTCCTTATTGAAGAATCCGTTCCAGAACATTCATTCTGCAGTTGTTCTAATGCAGCAAGAATGGGTTCTAAAAATTCTTTAAAAAGCATAACTGCTTCATGGCGTAATACCCATCGAGTTTCACATAAAGATTTTAATTTAGTGGATTGTGAATTTGGTTTAATTTCTAGTATTTAATTTTTAAGGACTGTAGTTCGTTTTGCCGAACAGTTAAAAATGAGCAACATTCACTTATTATACCAAAAGCATTTCGAATATCTAGAGATTTAGACGCATCTGATAAGCAAAGATTTAATGAATGTGCTACACAGTGTGTGTATAATGCTTTTGGGTACATATCTTTAATGATTGCCTGAACACCTCTAAAACGACCACGCATTGCTGCTGCCCCGTCATAACCTTGGCCTCGTATTTTGCTTAAATCAAACCCATTTTTTTTTAAAGTTTCTTTAATCGTGTTGGCCAATCCTTCACCAGATAAATCATGAACGGGAACAAATGTGAGAAAATCTTCTCGAATTGAAAAAATTTCCTCGTCAACATAACGAATACATAAGGAAAATTGTTCAACTTGAGATATGTTTCACTTGCTAGTAGGTTTCATCTGCTAGTATTGTATAAAAATTTGTTTTTGATACTTTTTCAAGTATTTTTAATTGAATTAATTCCCCAAACACATTAATTATTTCATTTTGTATAAGTGAGCTTGTATACATAGATTTACCACCACTAGTTTCTAAATGTTCTTTTAATACGTTATCACCATTTTTTGCGCGATATCGAAGCAAACAACGGAAATTACCATCGTTATTTTTTGGTTCTTCTAAAAAGATTCGACCAGAATCCTCATGTCCCCTTAACGCTATTTGCTGTCTGCCACATAATCTAACTGTTTGAATAATTGGTTTAAGTTTTTCGCGATTTTTTAAAATTTCATCCTTTCGTTTATTATTTAATTGTACCAATATATTATCTTGTTTTTTATTTAAAATAGCCTTTATGTTATCAGCGGTAAGCAACGAATTTTTATGATATTTATTTTTTTCGTGATTTCTGAACTCTTCCAATGCATCTTTCAATTTCGTCAAGGGTTTTAAAACAAGTTTGCCTAACTGCTCATGAGAACCCTTACCAGCCTGACTTGAATTAAAAAACAATACACAGTATTTACAAAAAGAACCTTCTCTTAATTTTGAATAAGCCAACCATTTAAAAGTGTCAAGCCATTTAATTTGAAATTTACGTTTATATTTTCCAGTAGTATCATATGGAAAATCAAACTTACAATCAGGGGTCCATACGTTTTGTAAAATAGAAACCTTTTCTTCGACACTTAAATTTTGTTTAAACTCAACATAAGCTCCTATATCAAACTTAGAATCTAAAATATGTTTAATTACCGGAGATCTAACTTCTACACTTGAAGCGGCTTGTTTTGTTTCAGAAGCCACAGTGTCTTCATCTTGGAAAACATTTGATAAAGATGGAACAGTTCGTTCCAGATCGGTTGACTGTTTAGATTTTTTAAAAAAAGTTAACAATGACTGAGTTCGTTTCATTATATTATTTTAATAAAATTAATTTTACACAACAGAAACACAGAACACAGAACACTGTACACACGTCTACACACGTTATTAGTAAAATATACTATGAATTCGATAATATTTCTTGGCAAGCCAAACCCCCCAATTCTTAACATACCATACAAAAAACAAATAAAAACATTTCGTTTTTGCATTATTTTTATATAACATAAATATTATTCTATTATTTCTATAACATCTGCGATTAGTTCGATTTGTTATTGATATAAGTAGGTATATATGTATACAGGCTATAGCAATCTTTTTTTTTTATCGTTGACATTTTTTCCCCAATATAAAATATACTACTGATGTTTAATTGTTTGTATTTATTTATAATAGCTCTACAATAGTAGTGTACACTGCATGTATCGCGAAATAAACCGAAATAATATGACGATGATCACTCCTATCCCTACGCTTTGCCACAAGACTGAAGACAATTGGCGCCCGTAAATCAGCCGCCCAAAATATAATAATAAAAACATCAGTCGTTGCGTTATAAAAATAAAATCATAAATAGCAATTTATTATTTTTAAAACGACTATACTGAACTTCTACAATATTTATATCCTATAGATAAAGGGTATAAGCTCATGCCGCTTAGGCAGACTTAAAAAAAATTTCCTGGAATTTCGGGGGGGGGGGGGCTGAAGCCCCCCCCCATAAATACGCCCCTGTATTAAATTAATATTCATATTTCAAAATTTACGTTTCGACTTTTTTGTATAACATTGCCAACCTGCCTTTACTGGATTCTTATTTTCCCTTTCTAATTCCAAATCTGAATACGTTGTCTGTGTTCCTCACTAAAAATTAGGTTGTCTTTAGCCTGTAACTTGTAAACATGTAACTTATCAATAATTAATGAATTCCAATGGGATTCAGATGTTTAATTTTTAAAGATCCATAATTTATATTTCATATTTCATAATATCGAAATTTCAAACACATTTTAGTAATAAATGTTTGACCAATGACGGCATTTACAGTTTAGCCACATAAGAAGATCGACATTCTGTTCTTTTTGATTGGTTCGTTACATCATAATTTTTTCAACAATATTGATAATTAAAAAAAAAAAAAATGAGGTTGATATTTGATAAGAATGAGGTGAATATTGTGAATTGTCTATTAAAGTTTTAACTACATACGAAATTCAATTTACTACCTTTTTTCCCCTAATACTATTGTTAATTTCGGCTTTGAAATTTTAGTTTTTACTTATGTTATCAAACTAAAAGTACTTAGCTATATTTATATATTAAACAAGTATACTCATGAACAATTTTTCAATTCTGATTTCTCGATAATAATAATTGATATTTTGTAAGTAATTAGAAATATTTTTATTATGCTCTAATAACTCATTATTATTCATTTTGTATTTATTTTGTGTCATGTGGTGTCTAAATGGATTATGTGGGAGATCATGATAAGTGGACGTATTGGACGTAAGGTGGATGACCCTAAATAGTTGGGATGAAAGCGAAGAAGTTTATTTTTGTAAAATGTATAATAGTAAAGTTACTTATTATTGTTTTAGCAATTACAACATGTCGGACCGAAAAGCAGAATTAGAAAAAAAGAAAGCCAAGTTGCAAGCCATCAGGGAACAAAAAGAACGACTTCGCAAAGAAAAAGAAAAGAAAGATGTATGTATCATTAAAAATAGTATCTAGTAATGTAACCAATGTATGTGTGTCCAATGTGTGTAAGATTAAGTAAGTTAAACTTTTTTATTTTAGTCTTCAAAACACAGTTTTGTATTATTATAATTCTCGTACTATATATTATTTTTCTGTTAGCGTTTTTGGAACAAACATACTTTACCGGACACCCTTTTTTTACCATCTTGTAGTGTTTTTTTTATGCTGATTAGTCCAAAAGTTATAGCTACTTGAATTTTGAACTTTTTTTGCGTATATAACAATACTGCCATGCTACTGGGAAGGCAGTAACTACAAAAATATTGAAAATGAGGTTTTGGTATTTTATTATACTATTAATGAGAATATTTTGAACATCATTTATAAGGTCTTTCATTCACAATTGAGTGGCAGCCTATGGCGAATGAAATAAAAATTTTAATATAACACTTAACCCCAAAAAAATAATACACTTTAGCGATTACAACAAACTCGGCAATTAGTTTTTTTTAAGTTACTAATATTTGTTATGTTAATTATGGTAGGGCGATGAAGCTGTGTCAAGAGGAATTAATATTGAAAAAGATCAAGGAAAAGAAATTGATGAAATGTTATCATCGCTTGGAGTTGCACCAGTTTCAGGTAATAATCATTTTTAATGTTTCAGGCATATTTAAATGTCTTAACCAATATTATTTTAGACGTATTGTCAAGTTTGAATACATCGCCAAACAAAAGTGAACTATACAGTTCTATGTCAACACCCGATTCTAGTATAAAAGGATCATTACCTCAAACTCCTTCAACATGGTAAATAGAACTAAAATAAACTTAAAAAAAAAAATCGTGATTTAAATTTGTTTATATTACATTTTCAGCCCAAAACCTGCAAAGAAAACACGGGAACTGTCAATTGTTTCATTGTCATCTACAAATATACCACCGAAGGAAGTAGAATGCTACGCTAAAGCAGTTCAAACTACTCATTCGTCCAATGAACGTGACGGTATGATTTTTTTATTTGATTGTAATGTTTATACATACAAGCTCATAATATTTGTTTCTAAGACCAATTGAAAGTGTGCATGATCTTTTATTGTAATTAACAATTTTGGTAACATCAATGTCACTTGTATTTATTATTGTTACGCGGCACTGGTTTATGGTATATATGTGTATATGAAGGATCCTGCACTTCTTCCCCTCTTAAAGGTTATTTTGAAGATTGGTGGAGGCCTAGAAAAGGTTAGAACTACATTTTCCAATAAAACTTTAATTATTGGAATCCAAGTGATATACTTAGGTGTATAATTTCAGTAACAAAGTATGCATATTATATAACATTTTACAAATTAGGTATACATAAAAAAACCTGGTCAAAAATATAAATTCATACCTTTGCTATTTAAAGGCCTCTACACCTGTGATTTTTGATTGAAAACAACTCATAGTACTTCAAACACAACATACCTTAAAAACTCCTATTTATTTTTCAACTTTTTAATTATTTTTTGTTAGTTTATTATTTCAGTTTAAAAAAATTAAAAATTGCAGTTTTTTACTTTGAAATAATTAATCGACTAAAAATAATTTTAAAATGGTGCCACGATCGATGTCTTGAAACTGTTATGAAGAATTCATATGTTTTTTCAAAACTTAAATAAGAGTACTTTTAGACAAGTTCTGTTTGAAGTAGAAACATATGTATTTGTACAAAAATAGATCCTATATGTGTTATAAAAGTTGAAAAAAAAATTAAATATGAAATTAGATTTTTCTTTTCTATAGTAATATAAACATTTAAAACTTAAGTTTTATGCTAAGTTTTAGTGAAAAATTGCCTATACAAGGTGACTTAATAAATACTAGTGTAGAGGCCCTTTAATTTTATCACATATTTTGTCTTCTAATAAAGCAATTTTCAAAAACAATTTTTGAGTAAATCACTTGGAAATAACAATTATTTACAGTGTTTGGGAAGAATGTGTTTTTAATTTAATTTTAAAAACATTGATGCAAACGCGTTTGGTGGTTTGTTGAACTTGAATGATTTTTAACTCATTTATTTAACTCATTTTCATAAAGAAATAAAAACAAAAATTTCACAATATTTTTTTAACAAAACAATTTTTGGCAAACTGAATTACTTCATATTTTTAAAAAAGTTATTAAAATATTGTTGTATAGTTGTGTATAATAATAATAATAATATTTTAACAACATTTGAAAAAAATAACCCAATTGGCCAACATGTTTTTCATGTTAATGTGTTAAAGAAAATTGGGACATCTCCCTTTACAGACTTAATAGTGGTTTATAAAAATGTTTAAGCATCCAAATAAAATAGTTTGAGGCTATGAAAATATTACATAAATAATAATCGTAATTAATCTCATTTAGAAAACCTTAATTTTATTTATCATTTAAAAAAATCAAAAATAATTAAGTTGGCATAATAATAAATGTAACAGATGCACATATTATGGATGCAGTATGTGGCCTATTAATAATACCTGCAACTATTAATTACCGCAAAAATATTTAAGCAATTACATTTCCAGAGACTGTATACTTTTTGTATATTGAAATTTTGTGTTTATTTTTATTAATGATGATAATTTAAAATATTTCTTAATAATCTATTATATTTTGTTACTAATTGATTATAAAGTTTGCTATATTAATTTAAAAAAAATTAAGTAAGTGAACAGCTAATTGAACACATTTGTTTTTTGTAACTGTAAATGAGTTTCATACTTTTAGTGAATGTTCCAAACACTGAGTATTTAATATGTTAAGTAGTTTTAAGTTTATGTATAATTTTATACTTTATTTAACTTTGTTTTTTTTATTTAATGGGTGAAATATTTGGATGCATGGATCAATTTTGTCAACAGCCCAAGCATTTGGTTATTACGGTAAGCTATTATTTGATATTATCTTAGTTGAATATAATATAGTTAGGCAAGTATATATAATGATCAAAACTGAAATAGATATTGCATGTCTATTGATTTTTTATTTAAATTTGTATTTTTAATTTCTTAGTATTATATTTTTAGTAGATTGTTGAGTATTACTTTGTTCAGTGGCGAGGCATGGGTCTTTAGATCGGGGAGACATTGAAAAAAAATGGTGTTACGTGACTTGACAGGGGGACTGCGCCCCCTTGGACCCCCTGTATATTTTATTTTATTTATACTGTAAAAAATAAATGTTCAAAAACTAATAAACTAAATGGCATAGGCATATTTAAAAACGTACAACACGACAATCGATACGACGTACATCGATAACGGATAACTGATACCGTCTATCAAAACAATAATAATATGAACGGCGGTCGGTGAGACATGTCTCATAGCGCAACGATAAACCCCCGCCGTTTTCCATTTCCCCCTGCATACCGTGCCCGGCAAAAGAGACAATTTTGAAATTGTCTCATTTATTTTTTTACTAAATTTGGATAGACCCGGCGGCCGGCAGCGCGACCGCCCGCTGATCCGCGTCCACAACTACTCTATTCTAAGAATACTATTACAAAAAAAATATACTTTTACATTAAAATTGGTTAAAACATTTTTATACACATAAAATAAAACCAAATTTTTGTCCGTATTATAAGTGGATAGACATTGTCTCTTTGTCTCCTATGACGCTTCGCCACTGACTTTGTTTATATAGTGTAATTGACTATAATTAATTATTGTTGGCTAAAGTCGTAAAAAAAAAACTTAAATTTAATTATAATTAAAAAAAATTGATTAACAACTAATAAATTATGCATTTTACAAGTGTATGTTGAGTCTAACATAAATGTAACAAGAAAATATGTCTTTCTTCATATATTATTATAATAGTTTATTAATTAACGCAACCATCCAATGTAGGTGGTCTATTTTATTGCAAATATTTCCCTATAGTCTATTGGTTATAATGGTTTATAATTTTATGTTTAAGTTTGAATAATCATTCTTATTATTAACAACAAAAATATCAACTTTATGCTAACAATAAATTATTCATAATTACTTTTTTTTTGGCACTCCAGCACTTTAGTTTATGATTTGGGTATTTGCACTTTGTATCGCTGTTCATATACCTTTTAAAAAACTTTGGAATAAAAGGAATGCTTTGTTTTCAATTATTTATTATTTCTTGATAAAAAATATGTTGCTTTTATACTTTAAGAAATTGTATTATTTACAACTTGAAGTAGACTTCTTACAACAACACTACTTATAAAAACTGATATGTTTTAGATGCCATAAGAATAAAAACTACTTAAGTGTTTTGATTATACATACAAGTATTGTTTTTTGGCAAATTGAAACAAATTATTCTTCGTAAGAAATGTTGTAATATTCAATAAGTAGTGAACGATATGTTCATATAAATATATCACATAATAGTACATCAACTTTTTAAAGTTAGCAACTTTCCAATTTCAAGAAATGTGTGAAGACTAAATAAAAATAATTTTCTAATTTAATTCAATATTTACAATTAAAAAAACACTCTGAAGTTAAGTAATTTGTTAATTTATTTATTTATTCTTTTTACTTTTTAATTTACTCATTTACAGTTAGAAGTTACTTCAGCAAATAATACAATATTACTATAAAAAATGTATTTATTTTAAGTAAATAATATTGGCTACAAATAAAGTATTAAACTATTTATAAATCCAATTAAGGTTTTGAAACAGAAAATATAACATTGTATTGTTTTACTCTAGTAACCTTTATAAAGACGACATCTTAAAATTTGATACTTTATATTAATTTTTTTATATAATATTCCAATTTTCGTTTGTTTTTATATAAAAATATAGAAGTTTTGTTTAATATTATAAAACTCAACAACTTTTACAATTTGAGGTTACTTTTATTTATCTTGTATTTAAAATTGCACATTCTAGATGTTTTCAAATTTATATATTTTTGAAACCATGAGAAAATTTAAAAGTATAAAAGTTATATTTATCAAATATACACACTAGTGTTGTAATTATTAAATGCTTTTTTTAACACATCATAATTCAGTTTCTTCCTTTTTCTCTATGCATTAATTACTTATAAGTGTTATGGTGTTCACAACATTTTTATCTTAGTTTTACTTTTCTTTCTTTTAAACTATTTTTTCAATGCACAATTTTTACAGAAAAATAAACTTTATTATTAGTTTTTTTCTTTTGTTTATACAATGTAGGAGTTTTATGTAGTTATTAGTTTAAGTGGAGCACGCTGGAACTCTGGAAATTTGTATTTTTTAGTTAAAATTTCCGATGAAAAATTGAAATGTTAAAAATTTAGGATGAAAATTTTGAGGTTCAATTTTGAGGTTTCAATTAGAAAATTCTCACTAAACGTTTAATTTTTAATTTTTTTCTAAAATATAAACTAAAAAATAATACATTTTCAGGGTGTCTAATGTGATACTAGATCCATGACACCTGAGCGCAGGACATTCGAGCGCCCAACAATTAGGCGCATTGAAAATTGAGCGTGAGATATATATATATGGAATTTTTTTCAATTATTTTGGCCATGGTTATAAAATGAATATTAATTTTTTTTTTTACTTCTTTTTTATCATTTTGTTGATAGTTTTATAGTTTTTTTATCCTCGGCAACAAAAATAGTTATTAAAAATCAGTTTCTTATGTAAAACAATCTCAGCTGTCTGAAAAAATGTTGATTTTTTTTCCGCATCACAAAAAAGTCATTTAAACTGAATATATAATCTAAACAGTTGGTTTTTTTATATTGCCTAAAACTTGAGAATTTTTCTAATCATTTTTTTAGAAAGCTGAGATAATTTTAAATAAAATGTGTAAACTTCAAACTGGGATCTCCATAAAAACACTAAAAAATTTTTAAAAAAAAACAGGAAATTTCATAGAAAAGTCGAAAAACGGAAAAATTGACCACAGTAATGAAAATAGTTATGTGTAAAAATAAGATAATTTTTCATTTTTTTATAAACTCCGTCGTATACTTAATCATTACATAAACTTTGGCAAAAAAACTATAGTTACCTTGATCTAATTTTATGAGTTGTACAGCTCTCTAATGTCGCAGTGCTCAATTTGCTTGCGCTCAATTGTCCTGCACTATGGTGTCGGGACACCAGTGATACTGCTAAGTATCTGTTGAGTATTCGGTAATATCTAAATTTTGATAAAAATGTTTGTAGAAGTATTACTATATAATTATTCCATACAAGTTTTTATAATTTTAATATTAAGTATATATATTTTATTTATGATTGTGATTATCATGTGATTGGCTCACCCACAGACTGAATCGCTAGGAGTCGTTCAATTATATTCAGAGTATATCTTATTAAAATGGGTTGTATGTAATATTTTTTCCTTCATTTGTTACAACATTGAAATATTTGTTTTGTTTAATAAGTTTCAACTACAGCTACGCTTTCTTTTTTTGTTACAAAATTTTAATTTTTGGGGAAAATATAAAAAAAATTAGTTTAATTTTTTGCTCCTGGTGAAAATGTGTGTAGGTGTGCTAGCGATGTTATAAAAAAATACAAGCCAGTAGCTTGTATGTAAAGGTTAAACAGGGAAATTAATTTATTAAAGGCCAATATTTTTGTACACTCAGTACATTCATTTTTTGCAAAAAATTATAAATGCCCTTGTTTTACCTTGTTAGAATTGAAATTATTTTATTAAGCTAAGTTATTTATATGAAAACTGCAGTCATGATGCCTCTTGCAATTAACTACTTCACGGTGGTGTTTATGTCGTTTTGCTTGTTTTTTGTTCTTTTTTCAAGACGAATACAACTTAAATCCTGGCTTGGAGTGGGAAGACGAATTTACAGGTAGGTACACCAGCAAATGCTTTTAAATTTGTATTTTTTATTTGTAATTTATTTAGCTATATATATTTATATATATAGCTAAATATATATATATATATATTATATATTTAGCTCATTGTTATAGCCTATTCCTTTATTATATTATCTTTTTTTTTACTCCTCTAATATTACCTTTTGAATTATTGTTTATTATTGATGGAGGTTGCGTTAATTTTGTTTGTCCTAAATCTAATATTAAGCATATTGAGAGTGCAAAGGATAACTATTTGTGTTTTTTTTTAATAAAATCCAGAATTTTGAGATTTTATTATTATTAATTTAATATAAATCTAACTTGATAAATATTTATTTCTCAGATTTATTAAAAATATATAAATATTTAATTATTTTGTTGATAATTAACTAAATTTCTGGATTTTATTTGATAGACCTATCACATTTTTTTTTATCCAGAGTATCCTTTTATCAAATAAAGTTAATGACTTATCCGCTTTTTTCTTGTTTGTTAATTAATATTATATTATCCTATATTAATATTAAATGTTAGAATCACATAAGTTTTTTTTAACACGTCCTAACTTTGTAGAATATTTGGGTTTTAGCTTTCTATGAATTATTATTATTATTATTATTATGCCTTAAGCATATATTAGCCATTCCTAAGTAATTAACAGACAGTTCTTACGTATGATGATGGCTCTGGTCAAGCGGAGGATGAAGACATCAGCCTTACAAACATGTCTACTTTCCAAAGTAAGCTCCCGCCCGGTATCTTATCGCATGGACTTCCTCAAGTGAAAGAAGTAGCTCCAGCTATCACTTCTTTGGAAAGAGAATCAACAGTCAAGGAAGAACCTAAAAAACGTAAATACCTTATTTGGTCTATAGTAAATAGAAAAATAATTATATTTAAATAAATTTTAGTTCGAGAACTAAGTGATGCAGAGAAGATGATGATTATTCATTCTGAAGATTTCCAACAGTTCATGGATCGGGCTGGTAGAGTTATGGAACGGGCTTTATCTGAAAATGTTGATATATACACTGATTATACTGGCGCTTCAAACGATAATGACTTAAAGTTAGTTGACTAAATATTTTTAGCTTCTATGAGGAGCTGAAAAGGGGTTTTAACTTTTAATTCACCTAACTAGTTTCTTCATATAACAAGTCTAGATCGGGTATTTGGCCAAAAAAAAAAAAGTATAACTTCCTTCTCAAAATTGAAAATAGTTATCTAAAAATGTATACATTTTTCAACTTAAAATTACGGCAGCTAAAACTTTTTAAAAATATTTTAATTACTCTAATTTATGTTCATATATATGATACACAGTATAAACCCAAGATATTTTTATTTATAATTTATTTTTCTTAATTTTACTTTTTGCCATAGCTTTTGAATGATCTAAAAATTAGCCTGAGGTAGATATATTGTGGCTCTATAAATTATAATGTATGTAACCTGTACAAATATTTAAAAAATCTGTAGCCTTAACAATTTTTTTATAAAGAAAAAACTGAAAACACTTACAATTTATTTATTAATACTTGAATTTTGTTACCCGTTGATATTTACTTTTTGTGATTTTGGTTGATTTTTTTATCAGGTTCAATTTAATATACTAACTTAATTTTTAGGAAATTATGGTAATTTTTTAGGTTTTTTTTTTTTAAATCTTTTCGTTGGTCATTTATAATTTTGCATCGAAGCGTTTATTTGAAAGTCAAATAATACCTATAGACCTGTCAACTCTCTGCCCACTATGCTGGCTTTTTAAGTTATAAAATACATTTCAAACCTATTTAATATATAGTATATATATTTTATTTTCAGTGAAGACAAAAGCAGCACTAGGCTGTCATTGACGCGTGTATTTTATGATGAACACTGGTCTAAAAACCGTCTAGTTACCTCGCTGGATTGGTCTCAACAGTTTCCGGAGTTAACTGTTGCGTCTTACAATATTTCTGAAGCTCCGCATGAACCTGATGGAGTGGTTTTAGTGTGGAATACAAAGTTCAAAAAAAACTCTCCTGAATATGTGTTTCAGTGTCAATCTAGAGTATTATCTGCTACGTTCGCCAGGTAAAATATTAATTTTTTTAAATTTATTCAAGCTTTGGAAACTTAGGCCATTAGCTGTTGGATTTTGGGTTGAGATTGTGTATGAGGAACACGTGTGGTAGGACATGACATGACATGACATGGGTTGCCGATAAAAATCCCGGGTGGTTACCCATCCGGATCAAGCAGCAGCGGATACAGCTTAACACCAGGTGCCACGTGGCAGCTGAGGTGTCTACTGCACTACACTATGTCCCTATTTATAAATTGTTATTAATTTATTATTTTGTTATATATTTTTTAATTTGCATAAAATCATTGATTAATTTAATTCAGATTTCATCCGAACTTGATTTTGGGCAGTACTTATTCTGGCCAAATAGTTTTATGGGATAATAGGGCTCAAAAGAAAACTCCAATACAAAGAACACCTTTATCAAATACTGCTCACACTGTAAGTACAAAATAGTTTTAAATTTTACTGTAGCTATTATAGATTTAGTATATATAATTTTTTTTAACAATAAATAATTACTTTTCATTTTAGCATCCAGTGTACTGTATTCAAGTGGTAGGCACACAAAATGCACACAATCTCATTAGTATATCTACTGATGGAAGGCTGTGTTGTTGGAGTTTAGATATGTTAACGCAACCAGTTGAAAGACTCGATTTGACCGCTAAACAGTCTAAATCAGTGTCGGTGTCAACTTTTTCATTTTTACGAGATGATGTTAACAAATTTGTGTTTGGTAGTCAAGAAGGTTCGGCCTTTTCTGGTAAGTTAAACCATTCACTTTAATTAAATTTACTGTGTGTCAAAATAAAGCATCGAGTAGTCATTATACATTTTTAATTATTTAAAATTTTGAATTACAGCCTGTAGACACACCAAAAAGGCAGGAGTTGTTGAAAATTATGAAAGCCACATAGCACCAATCACAGCCATTGATACACATCGTGTCGAAGGCAATACTGATTTCGGTCATTTGTTCCTGACAAGTTCTATTGACTGGACTATTAAATTATGGAATATTAAGGTTGATAATATTTCTTATATTTTTGTCTTAATTGTAGGTAGTTAATAATACGACAATTATTTTTTTAGGAATCTAAGCCAATACATTCATTTGAAAATAACAATGACTACGTAAGTAGTGTTGCTTGGTCTCCTGTTCACCCAGCTGTGTTTGCCGCAATTGATGTTACTGGACGATTAGATTTATGGAATCTCAATAATAATACAGAGTCGCCGACGGCCAGTACTGTTCTCGATAATTCTCCTTTATTAAAGAGTCTTATGTGGTCTCAGAACGGCACACACTTGAGTGTTGGTGATGAGTATGGTAAAATATCTGTATTCCAAGTCGGAGAAGTAAGTTTGGCTTTTATTCAAATTTAAAAAAATGTTTATCATTATTAATTATTTTTTTATATTTATAAATTGTAGCAAATGACACAACCTAGACACGATGACTGGTCTAAAATGTCAAACACTTTACAAGAATTGAAAAGTAACCAAACAGATGAATTGGATAAATCTATAAATTATAGTTCTGCTCCCTCATCCATCTCTTCAGCATTTTCTAGATCTTCGAGTATTTTAATGAAATCTTAATTTTTTTATTTTAATATTAAATAATTTATTATGTTATCGATACTTCTTAATTTATAAATTGTTTAATGCCAGATGGATTTTGATGTCTTGTAAGCTTTTGTTGTATTACGCTAGTTAATAATTAAATTATCAAAATCACTAAGCTAGCTAGTATATATAATACAATTTACTTTTTTAAAATTATAAATAGGGTATTTTTTAGCAACTAAATATGTCCCTGAGATATTTGATTGTTTGTATTTAATTAATTATTTATATCAAATTAATATTTTGGTCAACATACTACCATGTATTGTCATTGATTTTAAATATTATTTATATTATAAACCAAAGGTATTGCCTGAGATCAGGAAGTTTGATATTAACTCAACAATGAATTATTGTCTATAATAGCTGTTGTTTTTTATAATGCTTACATGCCCATATTAAGACGATTACAAAATTTAAGTAGTTTAATTGTATATTGTATAAATTGCAATCGACTTAAAGAAAATTAACTACCCTGGTTTGAATTTGCTCCAATATGCGGTTTACAAAACAAAACTATTTTAAAAAAATGCACGTATTTTATAAACATGTTAAATAAAGTGTAAATGTGTAATACAATAATATTATAATAGTGTGTAGTTTAAGAATGATGATAACAGTATGAGTACACTAAATAGTACTTACTGGATTATGTAAACTCGGTCATTTAGTAGTTATTTTATTATAAATTGATCACTGTTAAATCCGAGATTTTTAAAACTTTACTGGACCATTATTATTTTTTTAAATAATTATGAATAAAAGCAAGTTAGAACTTGAACACTTATGACCGTGAACTTAGGAGATATCTTCTTTATCGTGAATTTTTTTAATATTTATCCTTTGGCAGTTTATTTTGTCACGATCAGATTTACTTCTTAGATCTATATAGAATTTAAATGTATTTCGATTCTCTGTATTATACTTTATTTGGAATTATTTTTGTAATTCAGCCATAAAAAAGTAGACCAATTTTATTATCAATAAATGGATTTGTCATAGTTGGCTACACTGTAATGCCATCTGTTATCTAACCTTAATTTTTTTCTCGATTAGACATTAGTTCTTTATTCGCATTTCGCTAGTCAAATTTCTCTTGGAATTTGGATACCTCATCCTTCTCATTTGTATTACATTTTAGTTTTTAAATAAATAATATCCAAGATGGTTATGCCAGGAATGACTTTAGAAAGTTTGAAAAAACACAAGTCAGTAAGTACAACAATTATAACTTGAGTTTGAAAGTTTGTGAAGACTGTAGTTTTTTTGCAAAGGTCATAAGAGAATTTGGCTTTTTCTAGTGTTTAAGAAATCTTATTATTACAGTTAATACCATTATTTGCCTGTCTCGGAGTGGGAATGGCTGGTGCAGTCTTCTATCTTGGTCGTTTGGCTCTGAGAAATCCAGAAGTAACTTGGCACCCAAAGAAGAATCAAGAACCGTGGGAAGAATACAAACAAAAGCAATACAAGGTAATTTAAATAAAATATTTTAATATTTCGATATTTAGTAGTCGTGGTGTACATTTTCTTTACTTGACAGTTCTTGCCCAACTATTGTTCATGATGTATTTCAATCCAAAAACTTTGGACTTTGACAAATCTCACGCGACACCCCTGAGAGCAGCAATGTACAGTTTGAATACCTCTGGGTTTAGCTTTTCTGGCGCCATGCATTCATTTATACTGTGGCTATTGTCATGCAATGATTAGCTTAACACAATTGGTTTGGTTCCAGTTATAAAAACTAAAGTTATGGTTTATTAGCCTTATGAAAATTAGGAAGTTTTTTTTTTTTCCACAAAGTAGTACAATTCATTTTTTCATTTGAATAGTAGGCTATTTGCATTGTCTGTCATGACTAAAACATTTTGTTTTATTATTGACACGAAAAATAATACTTTCGAATATGAACCTAGTAAAAAATAGCCAAAGAACTCGCATTTTGGTTTAAATAATAAAAAAAAAAATAGACTGCTTTCAATCCCTTTAACAAATTTGATGTGAAAAAGTTTATTAATTTCTTGTACTTTTTAAAATATTCCAGTTTTATTCAACATCAAAAGAACCTCCAGTCAGTCCAGCGCCAAAATATTAGAAATAATATTTTCCCAAGAACATGCCAGTTGATTTCAAGTGATCAGTTATATTAGATAAACATTGTATATTTTGTTTATTAGTTGAAGAAACTACCATTATAAAAAAAAAATCAGTTATTTAAATATAGGAACATTTATATTCATGTACCATATGTTCATCAATGTATCAATGATTTCTATTTGTGACTTCTGTCTATAAAATGTTTTTAACAAGTAAAATTGAAATAAAAGAAACCAAAAATCTAGTGGTAAAGTTAGTCATTTGATAAATTCAAATTTAAATTAATTTACAAACAATAATATCTGTCAACAAAGAAGAATAAAAAGTATTAATCATTTTAAATGACTATTAGAATAATTGTATTAGTGTTATAATTGTAATAGGCGATAAATAATATTGTAATGTTGTTAAAAACCAGGCTAAACTTTTAGCATAGAGTATGCTCTACAAACTTGCTGAAAAACGATAGGAAACTAAAGGTTTTGAGGTCGATCTAATCGATGATGTTAGCATGAATCATTATTTCATCTCAAGGTTAAGTTGTGATGCTATCAAATGAGCTGTGCAGAAGGAAGGTAGGTTGGTATAAGCCTGTTTTATGGACTTCGTTCAAAGTGCAAAGATGACAAAACGAGTCGGGCAACATCCCCCCTTGCAAGGCCCAAATGTTTTGCAGTTTTTTTTATACCTTTTACGATAAAATAATTATACTGCTACAGTTTGTTACCAATTATGATGCAATAAAAAATATCCAGACTTAATATATTGAAGGCGTACGAAGAAGATAGATTATGACCAAGTTTTTAAACAAATCAAAAATAAATTTGTAATATACCCAGGGCCTGGTCAGAGCCTCGAGACCGTGTTGGCACCTGGGCATTTAATACGATATGTGGGATTTGATTGGGAAAAATAACTAAAATATACCAACAAACAAAATTAGTTTGTGCCCTCCAATTTAATAATCTAAGACCTACCTATTAGGTGCCACACTGACCCCTGAATATCCTTATTATTTTCAGTAATTTTTAATTTAATCATTTTTACCTTCTTTGGTACTGAAAATGTCATTGAAATTATTTGTTGTCATTTAATTTTTCTAAGATTAAATAATTTTCTGAATCTGATATTTATTTTACAAATTGTACAAGATTAAATAAAAAATGTTTTGTTCAAGTTATTCTCTCTGAAACTATCGAAATGAAATGTATTTAAAATAACTCGTTAAAAACATTTGTATTATATCTTTTAGCTTTTTTGTGTTGTGTTAAATAGTTGTAAAGTCCAAAAAAATATTTTTTAGAAAAAAGCAAAATGTTAAATTTGTTTGGAACTTTATACTTTTGATATAACGAGTTCATAATTCAAATATATTGATAAAAATAAAACAGAAAATATATTTTAGATCAAGTAAGTACAATACTAAATACTAATTAAATATTTATTTTATTTGTAGTATAAAATATAGTTTAAGGTGTAAACCACGCAATAAAAAAAAAAAAAAGTGACCGTAGCTTAGTTTTAATAACGATTTACTTTTATCTCGGCCAAGTTTTAGAATTCGAGATTTGACATTTAAATTTGATGAAAGTTAATTTACTACATTTTTTTTTAAATCTAACACTACACAGTTAGTCACAATTAAATCTTATTTAGCTAATATTAAGAGATAGGACTTACATGAAGTAAATAAATAAAACTAATTTTTATCCAAATATGTGTGTTTTTAGAATTGTGTGCGGGCCTACAGCCAATTGTAATATACTATTTAATTTTTCAATGTTACTCCGGTTAGAAATAAGTATAAAAGATACCGACGCTTGTCTATGTTAATATTATTTATAGTGTTAATGCTACTTGGGTATCCATTAGTTACCAACTTAGTTTCTAAATCGATTTAACTTTTTTTTATGTAAAATACGTTTGTTATATTATATAATTGTGTATTTAATCGCGTAAGCAATGAATTATTTCTATTCTTAAGTGAAAGAAATATAGAACTGTTTTTTGTGAGTTCAAGTAGTTAAATTATATCGTGTTTAAAAATATGTCAAAAAAAACAGGCATTACCAATAATGAACTAGCTGCTCGAAAACGTATCATCTTAGAAAAAATAAAAAATAAAACTTTTAAGAGATCAAACGATCAGCGTGGTTTTACCGAAAAATCATATAAAATGGTAAGTAATTAAATTGATTTTTGCATTATGGTTAGGTAAGTAGGAAATTATAAGCAGTTTTTTTTTATTGAAATAAATACCAAATTTCGAATTCCAATTAATATCATCATTTTCGACTTGTGGATTTTCGGAATCTATTTGATAATACGTTATTTTTATACATACCTATATAATATATTTTTTCTAATTAAACATTTAAAGTGCATTTTTAAACTTACCAGTTTCTTACTCTGGACATTTTTTACCTCTTACTTAAGATGCCTATATTTGTTATTAACAGAACTTGTATACATATAAATTATAATATCGAGGTACACCTTATTCTTCCTTCCTCTCTTTGGCTAGAAAGAAGCAAGAGAAGTACGCGAAAACCGCGAGGCATTCCGTGCAAACTTGGTAGCTGCATATGCAGACCATACAGAAGCAGAGGAAAACGTTGGCACGAAATTAGACACTGAAAAGTATCTAAAATATTATTTCTTCATCAGACAAGGGGCCGAGGCAGACTCCAAATCTTTAGCTCCAATAGACTCACGAATGGTGACTGGTATAGTTAATAAACTGTCAAAAGAATTTCAAAATTCTCCTTTTTTGTCAAACTTCAAAGACGAAATACTAAACGTAAGTTTAAAACTTAAATTTATCAGTAAGTAATTTGTGTAATGTCTTGTATTTTTTATTTTGATCTTTAAGATCTCGCTGATATAGTTTCAAACGTACATTAATTGAAATTATTTTTTTAAATATATAGAACCTACTTCCAACGATAATATTATGAAAACACACATTGGACCTCTATTTGTTAAGGGTTTTGGTATAGGCAATTTCTGTCAAAATATTAATCTTAAAAATAAAAATGAATTGTACTTTTATTAGTACAGTAATGGAGGACCTTTGCGAATAGATAATTTTTATGTATATTATGTACCTATGTATGTATGTTTTCAACGTTTTCCACTATTATTTTTCATTGTTATTGGTCAACTATAGAAACGATCCTATTTTGTTTTTAGTGGTCATAAAAATCTTAAAGTTTTGATGGCACGACGTCATACTTTGTATAATTTATGTACGCCGGTTTTTTAATAGGTAGTTATATAAAAACAGAAAAATATAATTTACTTGTTTACAATCAGGAATGCTACTCAAAGGCCATGAAAGAAGCGGTAGTCATGTATTCCCTGCAAGATGTGTACACAATTCGAAACAGCCTACCTATGCTGGATACTCCTTTGCGAAAAGAATTGCGACAGGATAGCGCCAAGTGGAAAAAGACAATGACGAAATCGGCGGCATTTCTACGGGAAAACTTGCACCAGGCAAATCCACTTGTGGCCGAAATGATCAAAATGTGGCACAAAGATTTTGAGTACATGACTAATTGTTATTTTTAATTGATGATAATAAGCTTAATAGTTAATCCGTGTATTCCTCCATAGGCCTACCAGGGTGTTGGACTACTCAAATATACTGAATAGGGGTAGATCCAAATACACCTTGCCCGAATACGTCGGGTACGTGCGGTCGTGTATATCCGAGACAAGCGGCATAATGCGCGATAAATGGTTCGAATGTGTCGAGCACCTATTTAAAAATGTAATCTTGTCTGTGTTTTCTTAAGGGGGGCATCTATTAACTGTAACAAGCTTAGAATTAGGTAAATGTTGAAAATGTATTGCGGTCAACATATAAATCCAATATTACTGAAATTCTTAATAAAATTTATGTATTGTACTTCATTAAAAAAAATACCTTTTTTTTTTTAATTTGGACGTTGCCTCTAACTAATGTATTTCTTTTAGTCTAAATTCAGTCGCTTTATTCCCAAAAAAGACAACGTCAAAAAACAAGCTTCGTTTTATAATTGTGTTGCATACATTATGAAAGTTAAGTATCAAGATTATGTTTATAAAGAAATGGAACAGTACACTGATATTATGTGTAATCCAAAAGTAAATACTTCCATGCGTTTAACGATACTTAGACAATAGGTACGGGATGATATGGAGTATTTTTTTTTATGTAGACCAATCCAGGATTCGTGACTTATCTTATGTACAGAAATAGGACTTTACAGTTTTTACCGAGTTATAAAAAGATTCGCGAGTTGAACATGTCCGTTTATGATCAGATAAAGGACATTGTCATGAACCTAGAACGAATTGAACATAGATTGAATAAGAATTATGCGTACACGGCAAAGATCTTAAACGTAATAAAATAATAATCATATCTAATTACCTTCATATTGATTTGTTTTTTTAGCTTTTATAAAATAGTTAAACTGTGTGGTGTTTTTGGTTTCGCTTAGGTGGATATAAACATGGACTTTATGAACGAACAACGCCGAAAACTTGGAGCAGTTTTGGATGATTACTGGGTATTACCCGAATTAGTTGTACACGATCTAGACGATCATTTGTACTTGGTCAATGGTAAAGCCCAAATGGAAATAGACAAATTTTTAACGGGAAACCACCCGATCGAAGCATACAAAGCCTATGTGGTTAAATATCACGAGATCGCGTTAACCATACCAGTCGACATCAGTCCGGAAACGGTTGTTGGTATTTTTGAAATTCGCCGTGGTGAGACCATTAAAACACTGTGCAAACAGGCAGAAAAAATCAAAAACCTGATAGTCGACAAAATGACAAATACTTACTTGGCCATCGGAAAGAAGTGAATTTGAAAATATCATTTTGGTGGTTTGATCATAATTTCGAATTTTTAACGTATAAAAACATTTCAGGTTGAACGACGAATACAGCCATCTACAAAACACCGCTTTGACACCTCCAGAAAATACTAGAAGTTTGGTTAACTTGAAAAAGTACATAGTCGATGTACAAAATGACGTCATACCAGAAATGGAAGATAGAGCCAAAGTGGTGTTATCGTACGAGTTATTTTTGTCCGATTATACATTACTAACTGGAGTGGAACTTAAACAAAACGGGAAAACTTTTCTGTGGGTAGAACTAATAAATCATGTATTTACGGAAAATGCAAGAATGGTCGAAGAGAAAACTAAGGAGCTTCAAGACTATTTATTGAGCCGTATTAACAAGTTTAAAATTGAACTGGAAAACTACCAAGACCAAGTGGCTGAGTTCAAACAATTCGGAAATATCGAATTACTACCTGTGTATTTAGATAAAGCCAAAAGCTTAGATGGTAAATTAGCCCATGCTTTAGACATCATAGATGGTTTTAACGAAGAAGAAAAACATTTTGGATGGAAAGAGAGTTGGTATCCTCTCAGGAAAACAGTTAAGTCCTTGTTGTAGTATTAACGTAATAACTTTAAAATTACAAATAGTTTTTATTTTTGTTTAAAGGTTGCAGACAGTTTAGCTCCATATAAAAAATTGTATGATAATTGCTCTGAATTCTTAGAAAATTATGACAAATGGATGAACGCTAAAATTGGTACTTACGACCCAGAAATTATTGAGCAAGACACCACACTTTATTATCGAAATCTTGTAAAATTAGAACGTGTTTTTTATGATACCCCAGCTCCATTAGCCATTGCTTCTACAGTGAGTATGGAGTTAAAAATAAAATATAGTTTTTACACACTTATGTGAAATTGTATTTTGATAATAAACATTTAACATCTATGGTTAGGTGAAGCAATCTGTTGAAGCTTTTAGGGATCATATACCAGTAGTTTTAACGTTAGGTAACTTAGGCTTAAAAGATCGCCATTGGGAAAAAATTTCCGAAATCATTGGTTTTCCATTACATCCCAATCAAAATCTAACGTTAGCTAAGATTATGGACTACAATTTGGATGAGTTTGTGCCCAAATTTGAAGTGGTCAGTGAGGGTGCTTCTAAAGAAACAGCTTTGGAAAAAAAGCTAGAAGCTATGGAAGACGAATGGAAAGACTTATGCTTTACTCTTCTACCATATCGGTTAGTTGAGAATAGTTTTAAAAATAAAATATAATTGTACACAAGTTGCATTGAATAACAATACGTTTAAAATTTACCCACAGGGATTCGGGAACTCTTATATTGTCTAGTGTGGATGAAGTGCAATTGCTACTTGATGATCATATTTTAAAAACGGCTACAATGAAGAATTCGCCCTTTATAAAACCATTTGAAGAGAGTATCAGGTAATATTTCAACGCGTATTAAAATATGTATTAGTTGTTTATGAAATATTTGTATAGTTAACTATTATTTTGCTATTAGAATTTGGGAAGAAAAATTACATTTACTGAATGATATATTAGATTATTGGGTCAAAGTTCAAATTACATGGATGTACTTGGAACCAATATTTTCCTCTCAAGACATACAAACGCAAATGCCTGAAGAATCGAGAAGATTCAATGCTGTTGATAAAGTATACACACAGGAAAAAAGTTTAAATTATAAAATGAAATGTTATTTTGTTTTTAAAAATTTTCAGGTCTGGAGGGACATGATTAAAGAAGCTCTAAAAATTAAAAGAGTAATATTGGCCATAAACATTGATAAAATTTTAGAAAAATTGAAGAAAAGTTTCAACCTTTTGGAACTTATTCAAAAAGGGTTGAACGATTATTTAGAAAAAAAACGTTTGTATTTCCCAAGATTTTTTTTCTTGTCAAACGACGAGCTTCTTGAAATATTATCAGAAACGAAAGATCCGACAAGAGTACAGCCATACTTGAAAAAATGCTTCGAAGGAATTGCCAAATTGAAATTTACTCCCGAATTAGATGTAACGTGTATGATGTCCAGCGAAGACGAAGTTGTAGATTTATCCGTATTTGTTGACACAGCTAAAGCTAAAGGGCAAGTTGAAAAATGGTTGGTAGATTTAGAAGCTTCAATGCGATTGACCGTGCGAGAAGTTATTGAAAAGGCATTGGCTGCGTACAAAGTCACGGAGAGGCAAACGTGGGTAGTTCAGTGGCCCGGACAACCTGTTCTGGCTGTATCTTGTACACACTGGACTACGGAAGTTACTCAAGCTATTTTACACCATCCACGAGGGTTGCCAAGATATTTGGATAAGTGCAATGATCAGATCAGCAAGATCGTAAAGTTAGTCAGAGGAGTTTTATCAGTTCAAACGAGATTGACACTAGGTTCGGTTCATGAATTTAATGTCATTAATGTAAATATTATTAGCATAGAATATGTTTTTGCTTTAGACCTCTCTTTCTCTTTTAAAAACATAGACTGCCACAAACGCGTCCGTCGATTGTCTCTTATTAAGAAATCGCTAATTTTCAATGAGTCTTCTTCTTCATTGGCATCACAACTCTTCAAGAGTTTTTGCCGCCACCGACACCTCCTTCCACTCTTCTCGATTTTGTACTTTTTCTTCCCAATTTGGTATCCCTAGTTTCTCTAAGTCCTGCTTTATTCTACCTATCCATCGCTTCTTTGGACGTCCTCTTGGTCTCTCCCAGTGGGTTTTCATTCGACCGCCGCTTTAAGGTACTTTTAAGGAGTTTGACCTTCTCATCACGTGCCCAAACAATTTTATTCTTTGTGCTTTCACAAAGTTGGTTATCCTTGGTACTCCTGTCTATTCTCGGGTCTCTTTGTTCATTCTTCTGCGCCAGCATCCCAGTTCGTTGTCGTATACTGGGCCGCAGATGATTCTCAGTATTTTGTTTTCGAACGACATAAGTTTTTGTTCCATTTTGCTTGTAAAAGGCCATACCTCACATCCATATGTTAGCGTTGGTCTAATTATCGCCGTGTAGAGATGTTCTTTGGTTCTTCTAGAAAACAGTTTAGATTTTAGGTATTTGTTTAACGAAAATGATGCCTTTTGATGATTTGGCTATTTAATTCGATGGGCCAGTCATTATTACCACTGATAGAGGCCTCAGATATGTAAATTGATGCACTTTTTCAAATGTATGGCCTTTAATCACTACATTGTCAACCTGGTTGTTTTCTGGTAATAGTTCTATCACTTTGGTTTTATTATCATTTACATTCAGCCCTATGGTTTTTGCTTCGTTAATGAGGGCTGCGGTGCTCTGCGCCACACTCTCCCCACCGTCACCTACTATATTCAAATCATCTGCAAAACCTAAAATACCAATCTTGTTTGTGCCGATGTCGATACCATAGTTATCCCTTTGTATACTCCGTACGACTTTCTCCAGTGCAATATTGAACAGTAGTGGTGGAAGAGCGTCACCTTGCTTTAAGCCTGTTACCACTTGGAATTCTTCGGATAGTACGTTGTCGACTCTTACTTGATATTTTGTACCATTCATGCATACTTTTGCCAGGGAAATAAGCTTACTTGGAATTCCGAATTCGTACATTATTTTATTTTCAATAACTACACGTGTAAAATTCGATTCTAATCAGTAAATACTTTTTGATAAGTTTCTACCACAATATTTACTTTAATAACTCAAAACATGTCCTATTTCATCTATATATACTTATATTTATATAATATTTCGTCGGCACTCGGCCTCGTGTCAAAAGTGACTATGTGTTAAAAATGACAAGTGCAAAAACACATGGCCACTTTTGACATAATGGCGACGATTTATATTTACATTCTTATATTTAATAATGTCTTGATATGTTCTATATACTATCATTTAAGTCCGTTGTTGTAGGCGCTTTGGTTGTTATGGATGTCCATGCGAAAGATGTTGTTGCAGATATGGTCAAAAAAGAAGTACGAAAAATTAATGACTTCAATTGGATTTGTCAATTGCGTTATTATTGGCTAGTGAGAGATTATGATTGTTAAAAAAAGCGCAATAAATTAATAATATTTTAATTTATAAGGATGACAATTTGGATACACACATGGTGAACGCATCATTAAAGTATGGTTACGAGTACCTGGGAAACTCGCTGAGACTTGTGATCACTCCTTTAACTGATCGTTGCTACAGGACTTTATTTTGTGCGTTACAACTAAATTTAGGAGGTGCTCCCGAAGGTCCAGCCGGTACTGGTAAAACAGAAACGACCAAGGATTTGGCAAAAGCCGTTTCTAAGCAATGTGTCGTATTTAATTGTTCGGACAGTATGGATTACATCGGGTTAGGGAAGTTCTTTAAGGTAGAGATTTATATTTGTATCTTGTGAAAATTCCGTAATGTTTTTATATAGATATATTTTTTTTTGTTAGGGTTTATTATCGTGTGGTGCTTGGGCTTGTTTCGACGAGTTTAACCGCATTGATTTGGAAGTGCTATCGGTAGTAGCGCAACAGATATTGACAATTCAACGAGGTATTCAAGCAGGATTAATAAAAATACATTTTGAAGGATCTACGTTGACATTGGACAAAACTTGTGCTGTTTTTATCACTATGAATCCTGGATATGCAGGGCGATCCGAGTTACCAGATAATTTGAAAGTAAATAAATGTTAAAACGTTTCGCTTGTACAAACGTTTGACCGTGTGAAATGGTTATTTTAGGCATTGTTTCGTTCAGTAGCAATGATGGTGCCAGATTATGCACTTATATCCGAAATAAAACTATACTCATTCGGATTTCATTATGCACGTTCTTTGGCCGTGAAAATTGTAGCGACTTACAAATTGTGCTCCGAACAACTTTCGTCTCAACACCATTACGACTACGGTTTTTTTTAAATTTATTATTATGCGTTTTTTTTCTTATTAAAATGATATTGAAGTATAAAATTATTCGCCAACGTAGGAATGAGAGCCGTAACGACTGTATTGTTAGCTGCTGGAAATTTAAAACTAAAATATCCGGAAGAAGATGAAAACATATTAATGTTGCGTTCTATTAATGATGTTAATTTACCAAAATTTCTCCAACACGATATTCCTCTTTTTAAAGTAAGTTCAATATGATTCCTATTGTTAGGTATACGTAACGGCCGGGGAAGTAAATAATAATTAAATAATTCATGCTTATAATCGTGTACATGTAGGGTTTAACAAAAGATTTATTTCCTGGAGTCGAACTACCAGATCCCGATTATCGTGTTTTGAATGAATGTTTAAATGAATCATGTCAAAATTTAAATCTACAATGCACGCCGTATTTTTTACAAAAAATTCAACAAGTTTATGAAATGATGATAGTCAGACATGGTCTCATGATTGTGGGTTTACCATTTAGCGGTAAAACATCTGCATACAAAGCTTTAGCTGGAGCTTTATACATTATTGAAGAAAGGGTAATTATGCTTTTAATATAATTACATCAATCAGTGTGGTCGAAAATAATCGTACTTTTTTTTTAGAATTTAATGAATGAACATAAAGTAGAGATAATGGTTATAAATCCAAAATCGATAACACTCGGTCAACTTTACGGTCAGTTTGATCAAATTTCACACGAGTGGTCGGATGGTATATTAGCAGTTGGCTTTAGACAATTTGCTTCATCGGAAAATTTAAACAGGAAATGGTTAATATTTGATGGTCCAGTAGATGCAATTTGGATTGAAAGCATGAATACTGTATTGGATGACAATAAAAAACTTTGTTTAATATCAGGAGAAATAATTCAATTGGCCAACACAACGAATTTAGTGTTTGAGCCTATGGACTTAGACGTAGCTTCTCCGGCTACAGTAATTTTTTTTAATTTAAATTTAATTACTACAACAATTGTTTTTATTTTGCTAACAATCTAAGCCGACAAATTAAAAAATAACCATGCAGGTGTCCAGATGCGGTATGATTTATATGGAACCCGTTTCATTAGGTTGGGAATGTTTAGTTCAATCATGGATTAACCAATTGTCACCTTTTATAAGTGAACATTATAAGCAAATGTTACATTCGCTAATTTTAAGATTTTGTCATTTAATGTTGTATTTCTTAAGACGTTGTAGTATTGCCGTAAGTATTAAAAAGAGTACGAATTGTTTATTTTATAATAATGGTTCGGGTCTTGTTTCTTAAGGAAATTTTTCCATCCAGCAATTCTAACATTGTGGCATCCTTATTAAACCTTTGCGATACTTATATGAATCCGTACCAGGACGAAGATCAAATGAAAATGATTTCGCAATCAGATCTTAGGGCGCAACTAGAGGTAGTTTTAATATGTTGACAATTTATCGATATACTAATAAAAAATGTACATGTGTTGATTTGCAGGGTATTTTCTTCTTCTCTTGCATATGGTCATTGGGTGTTTCTCTTGACTTGCATAGTAGAAACAAGTTTAACCTTGTATTTCGGGCCCTGTTGGAAAATAAATTTCCAAAAAAAGTTGCACGAGCTCTTAAGTTTCCTACCGAGTTGTGTTCATCTCCGGACAAGCCATACACGAATGTTCCACCTAAAGAACAGTCAGTCTTCGACTATAGATATGTTTTCGAGGGTCTGGGTAGAGGAGAATGGAGGTTGTGGATTGAATATGTAGCTGAAGCGCCACCGCTACCACAAGGAATACCGTTTAATGAAATAATCGTACCGACAGTTGATGTCATTAGATATCACGTGCTACTGTCGATGTTAATAGCTAACGATAAACCCATGATGACTGTAGGAAAAACTGGGACGGGGAAATCGACATACACTATGGTAACTCAATTTTATTTTTAATATTATTATTATTATGGAAATTTAGGTAACATAGTCAGGGAAGTACCCGGACGAAATATAAACTATCATTATAGACTAATAATAATTATCATTATTATCAAAATTACAGCAATAGGCCGGTAGCCTTAACTAAAAAAACCCACATTTTTAATTGTGGCAATCTTGCACCATGTGTACAGTAGGAGAGAGTGTGAGAGAGTTACAATAATTACTATCTATAATTTGTTTTAGAATTACATTTTCAAAAAACTCGATAAAACTACCAATCAGCCGTCGTTTATCAATTTTTCGGCACAGACTTCTGCTAACCTTACACAGGATATTATTATGAACAAATTGGTGAAAAGGAGACGTGGAGTATTTGGCCCACCGGTCGGAACTAAATGCATAGTATTCATAGACGACGTGAGCATGCCACAGAAAGAATATTACGGAGCTCAGCCCCCTATTGAGCTTTTGCGTCAATTTCTGGACAAATTTCCATGGTTCGACCGAAAAGACCGAACGACTATGACACTCCAAGATGTACTGTTACTGTGTGCAATGGGTCCACCGTCTACTGGGAACACAGTCACGCCTAGGTTTAGTCGTCATTTTAATATTATCGTCATCAATGAATTTGACGACACCACCATGGTATCGATATTCAGTAAAATACTGTTATGGCATTTGGACACTAGGTCAACACTATTTCAGAACTATATATAATGATAATTCGTTATATTTTTTTAACGATGATACCGATAATATGTTTTACAGAGGCTTCAGTAGAGAATTCGACTCGTGCATGCATCAGCTGGTTCTTTCGACATTACAAGTGCATAAACACAGTATTAGTTATTTACTACCGACTCCGACTAAATCGCATTATTTATTTAATTTAAGAGATTTTTCTAAAGTTATACAAGTAATAATATAATTTTTAAAACACTATATTTTATACATATAATATGATATTACAGTATTTAATCGTTCAAGGGAGTTATGTTTTCCGTGCCTGAAACAATTGAAGATGCTGTGGCTATGAAACGGCTTTGGGTTCATGAAATCCTTAGAGTGTATTATGACCGTTTAGTAGAAAACTCAGATCGTTCTATATTCTTTGGGAATCTACATTCCGTTTGCAAAGAATTTCTAAATGAAAATATGAACGAAATGTTTTCTCATTTGGCTAATGCAGAGAATCAAGTTATAAAATATGTACACCAATTTACAATTAGAATTTTTTTGACATTTTCTATTTTTGAAAATTAGGTCGGACAAGATGAACTGCGGCAATTGATTTACTGTGATTTTTCAAATCCAAAAGCTGACACAAGAAATTATATGGAAGTTCATGATTTGAACAGTCTTCGTTTAATTGTCGAGGGATACTTAAACGAGTTCAACAATATGAGTAAAAAACCTATGCATCTGGTTTTGTTCAGATTCGCTATTGAACATCTCTCGAGAATTTGTCGGATATTTAAGCAACCTCGTGGTCACGCATTACTTGTTGGGTTGGGAGGATCAGGTCGCCAATCTTTGACGAGGCTGTCAGCTCACATATCGGAATATGATATGTTTCAAGTATAAAATATGTTCAAATTATTCGTAGATTTTTAAAAATTCATATTATAATCATACAAATTTTAAAACTGGTTACAGGTACAAATGACGCGTTTATATGGCATGAATGAGTGGCGTGAAGACATGAAAACAATACTTAGACGAGCAACAGCTGCATTAGATCAACATGTTGTTTTTTTGTTTAGCGATAGCGAAGTAAGAGAATACGAAATTTTCCCATTTATTTGGACTAAATTTGTCGTGTAATAGATAAAAGACGAGAGAATGATAGAAGATATCAATAACTTATTAAATTCTGGAGAAGTACCTAATCTGTTTGATACAGATGAAAAAATGGAAATTTGCGAAAAAATCCGCGCGATAGATAAACAACGTGATAAAAGCATGCAGGTTTTTAACAACATTTCCTATATACTTATTTTAAATATATATTTATTTTATAAAAAAAATTGTTAGACCGATGGGAGCTTGACCGCGTTGTTTAATTACTTCGTTCAACTAGTTAAAGAACAACTTCACATTTCATTAGCTTTCAGTCCGATCGGCGATGGATTCCGAAATAGAATACGAAAGTTTCCATCGTTGGTACAGTGTTGTACTATTGATTGGTTTCAGGTAAAAATAAAATGTAAACAGTATTTACAGTGTGTATCATTAATGCGTTACAGTTCTATGATATTTACATTTGTAAATTGTAGTGTAAAAATGGAAAATGTGGCATATCATTTCGTAATAAAACTTAAAAATCTCATTTATTTTATTGTGATCCTAATAAAACAATATCATTAAAACATTAAAAAAAAAGTTATTTAGTGGTAAATGAACACGATACGAATGAACTATAAGAGTTTCAAAATTCCTTAATTTAGTAAGATAATTTTAGAAAAAAAACTTCTTATATTCTTTGCTCCGCGGAAAAACATTGAATCACGGATATATTATCTTTTATCTCCTATCACTTATCTATAATCTCTTATCTCTAATGGCTTATCTTAATGATTTAAAATATATTTGAATATTGTAACGCGAAAATGGCTACATGAAATTACTTGATCCGGCCCAATAACATATCTATGTTAATTTGTGTTTTTTTTTGTTGGTAATTTCACTGAAATCAATTAGAAAATAAAAAAATATCCACACCAACAAATCCACCTTAAAGTTCTCATACGAAATGATGTTTCACATATATTTTTTACCAATTTATCACCATATTACCCAATGGTGATATTTTTGTCAATAATTATGGGAGTATGGGACCCTTAATTCGCATTATAATTTTACAGTAAATCACGTGGTGCAGATTTTTTTTAATTAAATTTTTTTTGTACTTACCTAGTTATTTTAAAACCTCGTCAATTTTAGAAATTTCAAAAAAATACCAATTTTTGAACTCTACAGGTCTAGTTACGATTGGTATTAAAAACATTCACGATACACCCAGTACATATTGTTATAAACTTGTCCATCCACAGCGATACATTTACAGAGTGATCATTTTATCGTAAACAACGCAACATTTCATAGGGTTTAATAAAAATTAAAAATTTTTTTTTAATACTGTTTTTATATAATAGTGCAGGCGCGTGGTGGAGTGAGATAAGGCGGCAATGTATCAACGCACCGATTGGCTGGAATAACGGACGTTAAACGTAAGAGAAGAGAGAGACTGTTTTTATACAATATGATCTCAATTAATCACAATTTTTTTTTTTTTACCACAACTTTTGAAAATTAAATGGTAACGAATACTTTTCATTACCATTTTAAATTGAGAATAATGTACTAAAAATTTTGGCTGGTCGATAACTAGTTTTGGATAACTATTTTTAAAGTTTTAAGAGTTTAAAAGTTAGGTAGGATGGGTGTTGAACCAGTGACAGTGAGCGCTAACACACTGCCACCTTACTCACTCGGTCACCCCTCCCCTAATTTATATAAGCATTATGGAAAAAAAAAATGTAATTTCTTACTAAACCCAATAAGATATTGAGTGTTTCACGATATAATGATCACTCTGTATATCCACTGTAAAGTTACTTAAGTCTTATATAATGGTACAATGATGAATGCAAATAGGCTTGGCCGGCAGATGCGTTATTGGCTGTAGCGACACAATTCTTAGGTGTCATCGAGTTATCTGATCACGAACGTAGTGTTTGTATAAGTATGTGCCAGACGTTCCACACATCCATACAAATCTTATCGTTAGAATTTGAAATTAGAGCGAAAAGAAAAACGTATGTTACCCCTACGTCATTCTTGGAGTTGATATCGACTTTTAAGGATATATTGGAAAAAAAACGACAGTAAGAAAAAAGTGATATTTATTAGCTATTTTATACCGAAACATTATTATCTATTTCAAAGTTATAATTGCCTATAGGGAAATACTTATTTCAAAACATCGGTACGAAGTAGGTTTGGAGAAATTACAAGCTGCTGCAGACGATATAGCAATAATGCAAGAGGAATTGAAAGAACTTCAACCAAAAATTGTGGCGGCAACAGCAGAAGCTAAAATAATTATGCAGAAAGTCGAGAAAGAAAATCAAGAAGTGTCTAAAGTAAAGCAAATCATTAAAAAAGACGAAGAGGAGGCACAAGAAACTGCTGGAAAAGCGCAAGAAATCAAGGAAGAATGTGACGCTCATATGGAAGCAGCACGGCCGGCGTTGAATGCTGCATTAGCTGCTCTTAATACGTTGACGCCTAATGATATTAATTTTGTAAAATCTATGAAAAATCCACCTAAAGCGATAAAGTTGGTAATGGAAGCTGTTTGCATCTTAAAAGATGTCAAACCAGAAAAGGTAACTGATCCAGCTACCGGTAAGCCTGTTGATGATTATTGGGGCGCGTCAAAAAGGATTCTTAATGACATGAAATTTTTAGAGCACCTTATTAATTACGATAAAGATAATATCCCACCTAGAATAATGAATGTTATCAGAGAAAAATATTTAACCAACCCGGATTTTGATCCAGATAAAGTTAAAAATGCTTCAATAGCCATTCAAGGGTTATGCAAATGGACAATAGCAATGGCGAGCTACGACATTGTAGCCAAAGAAATAGCACCGAAAAAAATTGCTTTAGCTGCGGCAGAAACCATGTATAATAATGCTATGAAAGCATTAAACGATAAACGTTCGCAGCTCGCCGAAGTCGAAAAGAAAATGAAAGCCGTGCAAGACGACCTTGAAGTTAACGAACGTAAAATGAGAATGTTCCAAGACGAATCTAATTTATGTCAAACAAAACTTCAAAGAGCCGAAGACTTAATAAGTGGTTTAGGAGGTGAAAAGCAAAGGTGGCAACAAACAGCGCATGACCTCGGACAACGGTACGAAAATCTTACTGGTGCGTAAAACAATTATTATTAGTATGTAAACATTTTGTGACTAAAATATCTACTATATTGAACATATTTATACCCCAACGGGTTCTAGTGCAATTTTGTTGTTATTTTCGAGTAAAACACATTTTCAAATGCGTGTATAGCATTTGAACAATATATAAAAAAAAAATCCAATTCAACTGTTTCTTAAAAAGATCAATAGAAAAAAAAAAAACACATTCATAGAAGCAAAATACCAATAAAATCCAGCACGAATGGACGGAGAGTTTACAAGTCTAGGAATTATTAAAACAATTACAACAAAAATTAAATATTTAGTACATGATATATGCACGTATCATTCCTGAGCAAATAATGAAGTATTTCGTTTCGACCTAATACAAAATTTTAGTAACTTATTCTAAAGAAAAGTTAATTTTACAAAAATGTCATTTGTAACGTTTTGGTTCTTACCGCTTCATTTCAATTAATGCGTTTAGTTAGTTTTTACTTAAATATTATTTTGTATTTCTAGGAGATATGTTGATGAGTTCAGGTATAATAGCTTATTTGGGCCCATTTACACTGGATTACAGGAATCGACAAATAAAAAAATGGACTAAAGAAATACTCGCCAACAGTTTAGTTTGTTCCGAAGACTTCCAATTAAGTGCAGTGCTTGGAAGACCGGTAGATATTAGATCTTGGAACATAGCAGGGTTGCCAACAGATTCATTTTCAATCGACAACGGAATAATTGTTGTGTAATTTAGTTTTTTGACCATTCGTTTTTATAATTTGGATTTTTTGCTAATGGAATTGGATACCGCAAATGAGATAGACAGAGACGGGAATAATCGGTATCCAATTCGCTTAAAAATGATGTCAATAATTTTCAAACGGTATTTTCCATAGAAATGCTAGGCGGACGGCGTTAATGATCGATCCACAAAGTCAAGCCAACAAATGGATTAAAAATATGGAAATCGATAACTCGTTGAGTATCTTACGCTTTACAACTCCAAATTATGTCAAGATATTAGAACATGCTATTACAAACGGCTTACCAGTTAAAACAATTTTTAAATTATTACCTTATGCGTATTTTATTTTAACAATAGTAATTTTTAGGTTTTACTGGAAAATATTTATGAAGAATTGGACCCAATTCTGGATCCGGTACTACTAATGCAAATATTTTTAACTGGAGGTACATATTGTTTAAAACTAGGAGACTCGACCATTGAATATAATGATAAATTTAGGTTGAGATGATATTTTCAAAACAATACACTTTAATAAGATCAGTTATAACGATCTATAATTATTTTTAATTTAAACTCCAGATTCTATATAACAACAAAACTAAGAAACCCCCATTATTTACCGGATATAGCTGTCAAAGTAGTTTTAGTAAACTTCATGATAACTCCGGACGGTCTGGAAGACCAATTGTTGGGCGTGGTCGTTGCAAAAGATAGGCCGGATTTGGAAGCAGAAAAGAATCAGCTTATAGTCCAAGGAGCTGAAAACGCTAGGTGAAATAATATTGTATTTGTTTTTAATGCAAGTTAATTGTTTTTTTTTTTTTTAGATTATTAAAAGACATTGAAGATAAAATATTACAAGTTTTGAGTTCCTCTGAAGGAAACATATTGGAAGACGAAGAGGCGGTAAATATATTGAGTTCGTCTAAGGTGTTGGCCAACGAAATTCAAGTGAAACAAGCTGAGGCCGAGATAACTGAACGTACAATTGATAAAACAAGACATCAATATCAAGGGGTGGCTGCGTATTCGATGACATTGTTTTTCATAATAGACACTTTGGCTAACATCGATCCCATGTATCAGTATTCATTAACGTGGTTTATAAATTTGTTCATCGTGGCTGTAGAAAATAGTCCTAAACGTGATAAAATCGAAGAAAGAACGAACGCACTTATTAAATATTTCACCTATTCGCTGTACATTAACGTTTGCAGGAGTTTATTTGAAAAGGTATTTGAAATGCTTGTAAGCTTTTTGGTAGAATTTTTATTTTATAAGTTGTAACTACAGCCGTTTGGATAATATACTAGTTAAAATAAAAGCTGTAAGCAAAATTAAAATGGTAAATACAATTTTTGTCAGAAAAACACACTATTTAAATTAAAATATATATTTCTAAATAATGTTAGTTAAAATATCAAATAGTAAAGAAATCATTTGAATAAAAATTGTTTAATAAAACCTAAATAATTTTTACTGTTTGACGTTTTTAACTATACCAAACAAATAAGGATTTACCATGTTATTAGGATAAATTACTGTTTTCATTTATAATGGCCATAAAAATAACCAAAGATATAAACTCTGATGAATGGATGTTCTTTTTGACCGGAGGCGTAAGTTTAGACAATCCAATCAAGAACACTATTAGTTGGTTGCAGAACATGAATTGGGACGAACTGTGCCGGCTCGATGACCTTCCAAAATTTAAGGTTTTTATTTTCTTTGATATAACAAAAAAATATGATTCATTTTAATAATAATCGTAAAACGAACTAAGAGTTAAATGTATATTCAATTAAATTTTAGTTTACTTGAAATATTAAATTTAGGGCATAAAAGAAGACTTTGAACGTAATGAAGAAAAATGGAAAGAGATTTATGATTTACCCGAGCCGCATCTAGCAGAATTTCCAGAACCTTGGGAGTCTCAATTGAGCTATTTCCAAAAATGCATAATTTTAAGAATTATTAGATACGATAAGATAGTCCCAGCAGTGCAGTATTTTATCGCCAGTATTTTACCTTTCCTTTTAACAAAACAACACGTGTTATACGAGCCGGTTTAATCGAAGTAATACTGTTTTTTATATTTAGACAAATCCGCTTTGGAGAGCAAATTTAACGAACCACCGCCATTTGATTTAGCTTCAACGTTTGTAGATTCTAACTGTGCATCTCCTCTAGTGTTCGTATTGACACCAGGGGCTGACCCAACTGCGATGTTACTTAAATTTTCTGAGAAAATGGTATTCTTGTGAATATATCAATTAAATTTCAGTAATAATTGTGATTAATACAGTTGATTTCTTTAGGGTTTCGGCGCTCGCTTGACGGCCTTATCATTAGGACAAGGACAAGGTCCAATTGCAGCGCGACTTATAGAGGAAGCTACGAGGAACGGAAATTGGGTATTATTGCAAAACTGTCATTTAGCTCAGAGTTGGATGCCTGAACTTGAAAAGGTAAGTAAACGTTCCATATTGTGAGGTATAATAACTAACTAAATTATACATCTTATCCAATTATATAAAAACGTTGAACGCACCTTGTTGTCAAATGAAAAATGAAAAACTCAAGGATTTAAGTAAATTGTTCATTCACTCTCATATGGCCAAGAGTCTATTTTACTTTTGTATGTATCCTACAGACCCTGAGCGTTTTTGCTGCCAACATATCACACCACCTAACCCAGTCCTTGATCAGTTCGCTTTACTCTTCCACTTCTTAAGTTGTTAGGTCTTTTTTGACTACGACTATCCCATCTTTTTCTAGGTCTACCACAGAGCATTTTTCCTTCCTTTGGTTGCTTTTTCATTCATACTTAAGCAAAGAAACTTTACCAAAAATTAAAATAAAGTGCCTTTAAGCAGATAAAATATTTTTTTTTTTAACATGTTACCAATCCTGGTCGATGTTATGGCCTCTCCTGCGACTTGAATTCTCGCAAAAGTTTGTCGGTCCCTTTTCCCTTTCCACCTCGCATATATAGGTCTACGGACTTTTTTTTTAAACTTTATTTTCAAACGACCTCCTTACTGTTTGACTAGTTCTAGCCCAGGCCTAAATATTTAAAGCAGGGTTCCGTAACGTAACGAAATATAACGTTATAAACTCAATTATTTCGTTCACCAAAATAAAGTTCACAGAACATAACATAATATTAGGATATGTTTGGTGAACGTTATACCGAATAACGTTTTAAATTTATTTGGTTCGAGAACGTTATAACAAAAAACGTTATAACTTTTTTTACCCCGAGAACGTTATAACGAAAAACGTTTTAAATTTATTTGCTCCGAGAACGTTATACCGAATAACGTTTTTAGTTCATTTGTTCCGAGAACGTTATAACGAAAAACGTTTTAAACTTATTTGCTCCGAGAACGTTATACCGAATAATGTTATCATTTGTTTTACTCCGGAAATGTTAAAACGAATTTTGCTAAGTTAGGTTAGGTTAGCAAAAAATAGTGATCTAAAACTGGTTATCGACCAGTCAAAATGTTTACTACATTATTTTTTATCACTATTTTTGCTAACCTAACCTAACTTAGCAAAATTCGTTTTAACATTTTTAGGGTAAAACAAATTATAACGTTATTCGGTATAACGTTCTCGGGGTAAAAAAAATTATAACGTTTTTTGTTATAACGTTCTCGGACCAAATACATTTAAAACGTTATCCGGTATAACGTTCTCGGCGTAAAAAAAGTTATAACGTTATTCCTAGTTAACGTTCATGAACATAATTTTGAACTGAACGAATAAATAACGGTTAACGGAACCCTGATTTAAAGTATTTTCAAAGGTAAACCCTTCCGATACTCTGGTGTCTTCATCACTATCAACTAGCTCTACTAGAAACTAGGTATCGCCTTGTTTCAATCCGGTCTCAACTGCGAAATGCGTTGATAATATAGAGTATGCTCTACTCCTTTCGATCGTCCCATAGACATTTTAATAAAAATAATATTATGCATTTTGATCACAGTGCAAACATTGTAATTGATTTTTATATACAAATACGCGTTGCAGATATGTGAGAGTTTTTCGTTGGACTTGACCAACTCGGAGTTTAGACTTTGGCTAACGTCATATCCGGTGGATTACTTTCCCGTGTCCATACTGCAAAATAGCGTTAAAATGACCAACGAACCGCCGAAAGGACTTCGAGCCAACATTTATAGGTGAACGTTTTGTCTTCAGTATAAACGTGTAATGGGTACTAAGTTGTTTTCATAATACTTTATACTATTTTCCGGAACCAGGTCTTTTATGAGTGACCCGATAGTAAATCAGGAGTTCTTCGAAGGCTGCAAACAGAGCAACAGCTTCAAGAAACTATTATTTTCGCTGTGTTTTTTCCACGCTCTTATACAGGAACGACGGAATTTCGGTCCTATCGGTTGGAACCGTATGTACGAGTTCAACGAAACCGACCTAAGGATTAGCGTTATGCAATTGCAAAACTTTTTAAACGAGTATTCAAACATCCAATACGACGCTTTGCGTTATCTTACCGGCGAGTGCAACTATGGTGGACGGGTGACTGACGATTGGGACCGTAGGTGTCTGTCCACTTTCCTAAATAAATTTTACTCCAAAGGGGTAATCAAAATCAAGAACTTTAAGTATGACAAATCGGGTATGCGTTTGTATGTTACATATGCACGAAACATGTTTGTGATGAGGATTTTTTTTATTATTTCAGAGCATTATTACTGTCCGGATATGACCGAATATGAAGAATTCATCGAGTACATCCACAGTTTACCTCAAGTGACAAAGCCTAGTGTGTTCGGGTTACACGAAAACGCCGACCTAATTAAAGAGAGACAAGAGAGTGACGTTTTACTAAATTCTGTTGTCAAGACCCAGGTAACACATAGCATCTAGTTCATTGACTATTCCGTACTTAAAAATTAACTTAATACTTTGTATTTTTAATAAATGTTTATGTCTTTATGACACAGGATAGAGTCGTAAGTAAAGCCTCGATATTAGCATTAGAAAATTCACAATTGACTTAATCCAACAAATTAGCACCTACCTACCTATAACATTTGTAGATCTATATTCAGAACACGTGTAATGTGTATTTTTTCAAAAACATTTCAGGATGATTCATTAAGGATTGATTGGTCGATAACCCGTTTTGGATGACTGCTTTAAAACTTTAATAACTGTTAATTAAATATCCAAAACTGGTTATCGACCAAACGAAATTGTCACACTACAAAAGTTTATTATATTAGGCTGGTTCAAAAAAAAAAAGATTTTTTTTTTACCTCCACAATGAAAAGTGGGTACATCTTGGTGAAAAAAGTGTCTGGTAAAAAATAATTTTTTTTTGGTCAGTCCTAAAGACATTATTAACTTCCCATTTGAATAACCCACAAAATATACTAGTTTTTTTTTAACTAAGCATAACTTTGTCAATTTTTAAGACACACAATTCTAACATACGGCATTTAAAAGCTTATAAAAAGCTCTTTAAAATGTATTATAACTATATTTGTGTTTTGACAAGTAGTTAAACCAATAAAACCTTAGGAATATTATAACAAAGACAAAAGAAGATGGGTCAATAAGTGCTGAAATAATAAAATCAATTCGTTATATTTATATTAAAATTTGTATTTTTTGTTCCAATATTCCGAGGGTTTTATCGGCTAAACTACTTGTCAACACTTAATTATAGTTAAAATCAACCATGAAGACCTTTTTATAAGCTTTTAAACACCGTATGTTAGAATCGTGTGTCTTAAAAATGTACAAAGTTATGCGCAATTAAAAAAATACCATTACTATAGTATATTTTATAGTTAACTATATAATGTACATTATATATTATTTAGTACTCGTAGCATAAAAATCGCAAATTTTTTTTTTACCGACACTTTTTTCACCAAGATGTACCTATTTTTTATTGAGGAGGTGAAAAAAATCATTTGTTTTGTACCGGTCTAATATATATATATATACATATATTATATATGTAACCAAGTTTCAAAAGTTTATAAAGCTCTGGGAAATACTAAAAAAGACACATTTTTAGTAGTTTTATGTTATTTTGTTTTAAATGTTATAAATTATAAATGTTTTGAAAATGAAAAACTAAAAAATTGTAATTATTTTTAACGAATCACAATGTATGTTTGTCTTCTCTTTCTCCCACGTTGACCACTATACATTTTTTAAAATATTTATATTGTTACAATGCGGCTAATTGTGTAGGATTTGTGGTATAAATGGAATCTAATAAACGTAAGTATAGGAAATATTTATGAGGCGTTATTAGTTTTCAATTACATTTATAGATAGTTACTTATTAGCCACGCGATAATAATTATTAATTATTAATGTCCAAATTTTCAGAATTTATCCGGAATGGGCGAAGGACAAGGCGTGTCATCAGAGGAACTGGTGGTGATTTTCGCTAAAGACATACTTAGTAAACTACCGAAACCTTTTGATACCATTGCTGCGTTGGAAAAATACCCTACGACTTACAACCAGTCTATGAATACGGTTTTAGTACAAGAAATGGGCCGTTTCAATATACTGTTGAATAATATCACGTCGAGTCTGATCAGAATACAGAAAGCCGTAAAAGGTGCGTACGAATCTTTGATACAAATAAATCGAATGAATGAACTAAATCATAATGTCCTAACTGAAACTCGCTTTGTTGCCGACATTTTAGGTCAGATACTGATGTCTCTCGAGCTCGAAGAAGTTTACCAAAGTATCTTGACGGGTAAAATCCCGAGCGTTTGGGCGAAGGACTCTTATCCATCATTAAAACCGTTGAGTAGTTACATTAAAGATTTTTTATTAAGGTTGGCGTTTTTACAGGCAAGTAAAACCACAATTCCGCAATTTTTAAAACGACTATAGTTCTTGCTTAGCTATTAAAATATATATCAGTGATAATAATTTGTCATATTTTGTTTTTTCAGAAATGGTTTGTTATGGGTACGCCAGACGTATTTTGGATTTCTGGTTTTTATTTCACCCAAGCCTTCCTCACGGGATCTCAGCAAAACTTTGCTAGAAAATATAAGATACCGATTGATTTGTTAACGTTCAACTTTAAGGTGCTAACTTAATATATACAAACAATGTTGGGATCGGAAGCTCATGCTCTAAAAATCAAATCGATTTATGCACGCCTTTGTGTACTAAAAATTACTTAAAATATATTTTCTTATTCTTCTTAAGAGGAACAGAAAGAGCAAAATCTCATTCAAAGAAAGACTGAATTTCGAAGTCACTCTCTAAGGTGTAAGCCAAACCGATTTCAAAAATTAATGTTTTGTTATAAAATTAACATATTTTTTAGGGGCTGAAAGGTTGACTTATAAAATTAAGTGTTAAATTTACTTATATTTTTAGTTTTTTTTATGTATACCTTTTTTTAAGTTATTATGTTTTGAAAAAAGTCGGCATTTTAGCCTTTTCAGGTGAAGATATAATCGTTTTATAAACCAAAAAGTTTTGAAATCCATCGAATACCAGGAAATGACTTCTACATGAGTAATTTTTTATCAAACTTTCGTCATAACTCATACAAACATAATGTATTAGTTGAAAACAAGTACTCTTTCCCATTAAATATGCCTTTTCGTTTTCATAATTAAAATTTTTCATAAACCTATTTATAAAAAATATTGTCTATATTTTACCCCTTCAAGTTTTTAAATAAAAGAATATTTATGCATTGCACAAAACTTGTTTTTTTTAAACAACATAAATATACTTATCAATTTTTATTTTTTTATTTAACATAATATTACTATACTAAATTCTTCTATTTAAAGATATACTGTAAACATTGAAAACGTTTTAAAAAATATGTGTCACAAATTATAACAAAATCCGAAGTATGCAATTTTAAATTATACCTCTTTAAAAGTTTTATTAAAATTCAAAGTTTGCCTACTTATTTTTTGAAATGTTTAGTAAAAACATGAAAATGTATGAGTTTCCGGTCTTAGATTTGAGGAGAACTAATTATTAGGACGATTTTCTCTCTCTTTCTATATGTAAAGTGTATTTTAGCTAAGCAAAAAACAGACTCGGTGGCGTACTATATAGATTGAAACTATCCAAATTATAACTTTCATAAGAGTAGTCAGTATAAAAATATATGAGATTGAGGGTACATTTGTTTAAGGGACGTTATTCTACTATATTTCTTATGTAAAAAACTGAACATGTTACGCCGATCGGTTTTATAAAATATTGAATAGTTATACAGTAAAAACGCTGATTACCAATTTTAAAGAATATCATTTTTCGCCTTTTCGTTGACGAATTTTCAAAATTGTTTTCAGTAACGAAATAAAAGCCCTCAGAAACATTATATTCTATACATTTTATAATGTAGGTTTTGTAGAGTAATGTAGAGTTTTTGCTCTATAGTTATCGTAGACAAAGCGAATCGGTATGTTGAGGTTAAAAATTATTTAAAAACGTCGGCTACTGTGATAATTTGATCGAAAAACAAATTACAATAAATTCTTCTCGTTGCTGCACTAATAAATAATTATATACAGTTGAGTTTTAGCTTTGAACTTGAAACTTGATTTTGTGTATAATCGCCTATACTACTCCTCTCAATAAATTACAGAGTAGTCACCTTTCAAAAACATCAATTAGACATATCCACCCCTTGTTTGTCTATAATACTCACTTACAAAACGACAGAAAGATCATCCTAGTAATTTGTAGTGTAAACGATAAATTATATACACCTTACATAGATTAAGATTTTCTTTGGATTTTTTGTCAGATTTTGGACAGAAGAATTGTTGTCGAATCAACCCCGGAAGAGGGTGTTTACGTTTACGGGCTATTTTTGGATGGAGCTCGTTGGAGTAACAAAAAGTCAAGTCTCCAGGAATCTAAACCGAAAGTATTGTACGACATTGTACCAATAATACACATGATACCGGTGCGAAAAGATGATCTAAAATTGGACAACATATACGTATGTCCAATGTACAAAACGGCCGAGCGAAGAGGAACCCTGTCCACCACCGGACATTCCACAAACTTTGTCATTGCATTGTGGATACCTACGATCAAACCGGCAGAACATTGGATCATGAGAGGCGTCGCCCTGCTCTGTCAACTATCTCAGTAAAATGAAAAAAAAGACTTATAACAAGTGTCGGTTTAATACAGTTAATATTGACGTTATATGTTATATAATAAACCTACATCGATAATAATTGTTATAACAAATATCTTCTCGTAGTTAATCTTTATTTTTTTAAATTTAAATATACATACATATATATATTATATTATCTACAATGTTCTAAATTATATTAAATAATTACTTTCTCAATAATCAATCAAGGACAAGGTTCGATCACCGTATTCTCATGGAAACTCCTTATAAGTCGGGATTTGGTAAGCCTCTTCTTTCTTGGCTCAATTTATAAGTAAGTAATGCCTATGGACAAACAAAAATATCGTGTTTTCCTCTCGCACCGTGGTTTTTGTAATTAAAAAAATTAAACAATGTACAACGCGTCTGCGATAGGGCCCCGGGGCCCTTGTGTACACAAAGCATACTGAGGCATATAATATTATACTATACATATAGATAAACATAGTATACATAGGTACACGCGTATACCTTGACAGTGTGTAACATGTAAGGCCAGTTTCGAAAGACTGTCCCCTTCGAGAGACCTGTGAACCGATAATATCCTAATTAGACCTCTGTTTGGCAAATACACACACACACACCCACCGCCATCGTCGTTTAATAGCTCTATTGCGATCCATCGCCGCCACCGCCCAGCAGTACTCCCACTTTTAAACTTATACTATATATATATATATATATATAAGTATACCTAACTGTCTGCAGTAACCTTCTATGCGTCCAGGCGATCATAGTAATAATATAATTATATATTTGTTTCCGTAATAGCAAATTTTTATTTTTTATTCAATACATTCGCATAAGATATATTTTAAACGCGGTGTGTATCCCTTTGGAAAACATATACACTTTAACATTACAAATAATATTATACATTTAACTTGTATCAATTTGTCACAAGTCACAACTCACAGCCAAGTCTTAAAAAGTTAAATCTTTTATAAAATAAAATATATATATTTTAGGGAGAAAAAAACAAGTTTAATAATACTTTATACAAAACAATAATTTTATACAAGCAAACCAAATAATTATTTTAAAAAGTTGGTGTAAAGATTAAAATTGCTACATTTTTTCAAATATTCGTTAATTTTTTATTAGTCCTTTGAAACCACGAGCAAGAAGATATTTTTCTGCTGAATCCGATCGACTAGCTGTAGGTTTTATGTATTTTACAGTTGAGTAAAATTTCAGCAAAATATTTTCCAATTCCATGTTTTGATTGCCATCCCAGATTTTTATCAAACATGTCCCTCCAACATTAGAATTCATTACTGAAAATCTATTAAAAAAAAAAAAAAAAAATTACATAATATATTATGATAGATACAGATACTTATTACACATTATAGATACAGAGTTGTTATTAATATGATTTACTTTACTACTGAGAATGCCATTTTGATGATTAAGTCGTGATCTAAATGTTTGACTCCTGTAGCATTTGGTGCCATATCACTTAAAACTACATCTATAAGTCGGTTATTCAAAATGGTTTTAATTTTATCCCATGTTTTGGTAGATGTGAAATCAGAATTGCCTAATAATATTGCTCCATTGATTGGAAACATTTGTTGTAGATCGATACCAATCACCAAGCCGGTTGGCAAATTTTTATCTAACCAAAAAAATAGTAATAATTGAATAATCTGACTATTTTATTGAGGCAATTTAACACCTGATACTTTAATTCATAAGTTTCAATTTAGTTCTGGAGACACCAATCATAAGATACTTACTAGTAAAATCAGAATTAGTTCTAGGTACAACAATCTGAGTCCAGCTTCCAGGAGCTGCACCGATATCGACTACACATTGACCGGGTTTCAATATAGAATGTTTGTCATCCATTTGTAGTAACTTAAAAGCGCTTCTACATCTACAAAAATAAACATCACAGATATATATAATAGGGGAAATAATTAGTTAGGAGGAGAAGTATTTTACTTTGTCTGATTAAATATATATTGTAAAACCAAATTTAAATAAAATTCTGTCAATCAGTAGAAAAATGATTTAGTAAGTTTTTTTTGTTACCAAGCTCATTTTTAAACAAAATTTTAAAATTGTCTACTTTAATTGCCTTTTAATTCTATAGTAAGTATTCACCATTATAATACCACATAATAGAAATATAGGTTTTTATTGTTTATATTATTATATTCTATACCTGTAATTGTTCATTTTAGCTTTTTCAACGTACGGATCAGATTTTTGACGATTTAACCATTCTTTAGAACTGTGTTCTCTAATTATCATTTTTAAATATGAACACACTTTCAACGCTTTCAGTTTCTTCATAATGAAATTTTTTTTAAATGATATTTGTAGATATATTATTAATATCGCATACTTAGGAAAATATAATTTGCCATTAATGGACAATATAGTAAAACAATTTAAAGTCAAAAAATAATCAAGGTAAAATTGCAATGATTTCCTGTAATATACCTAACAATAACGAACCTTAAGATTTAAACTATTAATTCAATTACAAAAATAAGTACGTCTTATGTCTGAATTTGAATGAACGTTTGCTGAAATTTTCACGAGTGTGAAACAGGCACAGTTAATTAAAGTATATATCATTGATAACAAAATCAGTGATAAAGAATATTATACAATCTAAATAATTGTTATCTTTGTTTGAGGTTATAATATGGATTTTGTGTTGTTACCACGGTGCTTCATTCGATAAATTTAATCGCATTCGATGATTTGAAAAATCTTATCGAATTCAGTTCAAGAATACCAACTGTTAGTCGCATTCGATAAAAACTAGTCACATTCGATAAAATCGCATGCGAGAATTAATCGAATGATTTCAAGAATAGGCCCCCAGGTATTGGAAGAACTACTCCCAACTCAATAGCAAATACTATAAATGATAAATCATTTATAGTATTTGCTTATAACCAGTAACCAGTGACCTCAGACCTAAGATTTATGCACGGCCTTAGAAGATAATAATTTTCTAAGGCTGTGGTTTTCTGAGTATTGCACATTGCACAAATCACAATCCATGCTATTTTTCGCAGCGGTAGACAAGTCGCGTTTTTGGGAAACTGCCCAATCTTAGCACACAAATAATAATATATAAATTTAAACAAAATTAAATATTAACAGTTAATACGCATAGTAAATTATAACTGGCGTTTTCGATAAAATATTTTTAAAAAATGCAAAATTTACTGAGCTGGGTCCCTTGCAAAGAGCCCGGCTCTTTAGTGGAACTCATTTCTCAATGATGTATTTTATTAATATTAGGGGAGAGTAATGTAAACCCGGATTGGTGAGACAACCCGGGTTTTCTATTAGAAACTAAGGTATAGAAAACCTGGGTTGACCCTACTCTCCCCTATGTGTGTCAAACATTATTACACAATAGGTACTTTTTAAAAATGACCGCGACCGTGACGATTAAGTAATATTTTGAAATTATTGGTTCAAGCTATAAAAAAATAACAAATTTATCTTTAAAAACAATACGACAAAGCCACAGTCATCAGTATTGAAAATTAATGTTGATAATGATTTCACAAGAAGTGTTTACCGTCTAAGCCAGCACCCTGTTTCTATATATATTAAGTACTCTGTACAGTGTACACAGAAGCGTACGGAGGATTTTGAAATAGAGGATCGGGTGACTAACTTAATTATTAAGTCAGGACCGCATTTTCATGGAAAGCCCATACATTTATTATAATTAAAATATTAAAAAGTACCTACCAAAGTAAAGTACCTATATTTACTAAAAATGTTGGCTGCGTTCAAAAACTAGTTTCAAATAATATTCAAATCTGATGTATACAAGTATAATATTTCCTCTCAAAATTATAGGAGGGGTTGTTCCCCATAACCAATGAATTTAAGAATCAAATTTAATTACGGCGGCTATTTTCAAGTTTTGAAGTATTGAGTTTTATAAAAAATATAATCTTTTTGGAAAAGGCTTTGAAATTATATCGCAGTAAAAGGATGTTTTACTTATTATATGAATTTTTATAAAATAGGAAAAATAATCGTTTTATACTCATGTGCACAGCTGTGGGGTGAAGCTTACCTATAAGTTATATTTAAGGAGCATCCTATGCAGCTTTCTGTTATACTTATTTTTTAATTGAAAAAAAAATAATAGTTTTATGTAATTAGTAATTACTAATTAGAATTGAAGTATTGTGTAGACATCAAATGAAAGAATGTGCACAGTGCGTGTGTTTGTCAGGAGTCATTCAGACTCTATCAAAGTACTATTTATTATTTAAACAATTAGTTAATTATAGTTGAGTGAACTTTTTAGTTAACCCTGTGTGGAGACTTAACGTGGTTTGCTGCAAGATCCTCGTGCACTGAGAGTGCATAGAATTCACGTTAATAAATTATTATTTATACACCAATTACTAAAACTTGTATATTAGTTTACATTCTTTAATGGTTATAGAAGTAATTCGATTTTCGAAGCAATTACTTATACTAAATTTTCGAAGATAAAAATACGTCCTTTCTTTTTATTTACCCATCCGTATTTTCGTTGTTGAAAAAGCGTTTACTTTTTCTTGTATCATATTAATCAATCAGCTATAATGTTAAACGTCTAAACGAGTTTGGAAGAAAGTGATATTCTTTTTACCATTTGGGTGGTTATATCGTTATCAAAGACGGAGTCACAGTAAACTTAGTAATTACTTGGAAAAGATTCGAAACTGCCTTTCGATAATAATAATAATTGAGCGAATCTAATTTTTGTATGCATAGAAAAGCCATGAATACATACACTGTTGTGTGTGGTGTATTTTTGAACACAGGAGCCATTATCCATATAAATATCCGTGCAAATTCGTATTACTTCTTTATTTATCTAATATTTCGGGGACAGTAGGTATACTGCCGACAGTCAACATAACGCCATGGCGAAGAATACTCTAGTAGAAAAAATGAACGACAGTTTGTTTTCTTTAAATTTGTTGGTGTTTTTGTACGTTTGTTGTGCCTTAAAAATACAAGTAAGTAAAGTTCACGCTTATAGCTATTATAACTATACAAACTGTTATAGTGTACTATTATTGTATCTTATTTTATTTATTATTCATAACGTAATGGGCATTAGTACTTTTATAATAATTAATAGATGTTGTTGAATGTAACAGGCGCAATCGCCGTTTTTGCACAAGCTCGATTTCGCATCGACGAGCAATGATTACATTAAAAGATGTGCACCAAACATAGCATGTGATCCGACAGCCAAGTATAGGACCATCAACGGATCGTGCAATAATCTTAAGATGCCCACGTGGGGAGCGTCTAACACTCCGTTCTTGAGAATCCTCGAAGCGCAGTACGATGACGGTATTAAGACATTTTATGGCATCATTTATAAGTGTTGTTATTATACCTAATATTGAGGTGAAGTTTGACCCGGTCTGTTCTGCATAGGAATCTACCAAGTCCGCAAGAAAGCCAACGGACTACCGTTGCCCGACGCCAGAATACTTCAATTGGAATTGTTTCTGAAATATCAATGGTATAATTATCCCGAACCCAACGTACTGTTGATGCAATGGGGACAATTCATCGCTCACGACGTTTCCCTTTTGAGACCGGACGATTCTATTGGTACAATATAAATTATAATTACGTTAAAATAAAATTGATGTACCTATTCGATTCGATTAAACAAAAATGACTTCATTTGAAAATTAATTTAAGTACTGATTGTAGTCGTGTTTGTTTGTACAGCGGACTGTTGTGCGTTTCAAAATACACTGCGGGTACCTAAACAATGTACCGAAGCTATTAGAATACCAGTGAACGACCCGGTTTACTCAAAGTTCAAAAGAACGTGTATGCCCTTCAATCGTGCGGTGACCATGGCTAATTTCAGTTGTCCTCTAATACCCGTTACATTCGTAAGACATAATATGTCCAACATTATTATTATTATTATTATGTCTAATATTATTAACAATACGAAAATCTTACTAGTATACTGTATAGCCATATAGATTTACGTTTTTATATTTTTTCGACATAATTTCTCTCTTGTAGACTTTTGGCCGCCAAAACAATATTTCGCCACCTGTCTTTATCTAGCACTATACTATATTTTATTACCTTGTATAGTACTATACGATTATTATTTTAAGGCGGTAGAAGTCACACATTTCATTGATGGATCTCCCGTTTACGGTTCTACAGACGCCATAGCAGCAGGACTGAGAACGTTCACTAACGGAAGACTGAGATCGGATATTATTCAAAATAACAAGCAAATGAAAGAAGAATTTTGTCCACAACGGAATAGGACCACATTGCAGTGTGATACGTCGCCATATTCTAGGATTTGCTTCGAAGCTGGTTAGTACATTAATAAAATCCCACCATTCATACGACAACAGGACGTATGTATTACGCTTGTAATATATTTTGTCATTTTTCGAAATTCTAAGTGTACTTAGTACTTACCTAATCTCGTCCGGTTACAGTATAGGTCTAACCTTAAGCCAATCATTTAAAAATATCTATAATTAAAAAGGGATGATTTTAAATAAATAAAAAAAATTGAAAAAATTGTCGTTAATTATTAATTATTATTATAATTAGGTGATGTTCGTGTAAACCAGAATCTCGGCATTGCTCTAATTCAGAACCTAATGTTAAGATTCCACAACTTTGTAGTGGCTAAACTGCAGCTTATAAACTTGTTTTGGACTGATGAAATGTTATACCAAGAAGCTCGGAAGATAGTCGGAGCTGTCGTTCAACACATCACGTACTACCATTTTTTGCCAATCATATTAGGTATACACATAACAGCTCGCATACATTGTAATTTTAGAAACCCGTTTATCCAAAGTCTGTTTCTGCTTGTTTTAAAATTGTTAAAAATAATGCAATTTAGGACGTGAATACACGGAATATTATGGCTTGCTCACTCCTTACACTGTGTACAAAGACAACGTGAATCCATCGACATCGCAAGAATTTTCAACTAGCTCATATCGGATACTTCACAACATTGTTCCCGCAAAATTCAAGTTCGGGCTTTTAAGTTATTAACCTGCTATTGTGATTAAGTTAACGAACAAATACAATTTTAGATTTATTCTTCTTCACCTTAAACCATACGAGTGAAGTCGACCATCCTTGATCCTAATATTCTCTGTTCACTCTCCTATCTATACATCGCCATTTCTTAGATCTACCCATCTATTCCACCGGATATTCGACATAAAACATTACAATATGATAAACAAATTTGAGTTTTTAATAACCAATTACGCATAAATAATTTAATACTTAATTATTAGTCTATCTATGATAGGTAATTGTTAAGATAATTTTAGTATTACTGCTTTATAATATAGTAAAATAAATTATCAAACATATTGTTTCTTAGTTTCATCAACGAAGATTACAAAATTCAATTCCAAGTTAACCTTACCGATTGGATGAGCATACCGGACTTACTGCCTGTCGGGCATAATATAGATTGGCTATCTCGAGGATTACTTGAAACCCCGACTAGAGAATACCAATCTTCCTACAATCCATTGGTTGTACAGAAATACACACATTTTGTTTTTAAAGATGTTTAGACATGTTTTTTTTCCTTTCAATTTAGATTTCAAATTACCTATTCCGTTTTAACATACCAGATTTTATAGGCAGGGACTTGTTAGCTATAGATATTCAACGAGGTCGAGATGTAGGCCTTCCTACCTACAATCAAGTCAGACCTCTTTGTGGAATCCCGCAAGCAAAATCATTTGAAGACTTCTTGGATCTAATACCGTTAAAGGTTCTCGTCGAGTTGTGATTGATAAATCACTTTCAAGCTAATGTTGACGAATTTTTTTTTTATTTAGGCAGTAGAAAAACTGAAGGCTCTTTACTCATCAGTAAATGATGTAGATCTTCATGTTGGCTCCTTGTTAGAAATACCAGAAGAGGGATCAATGGTCGGACCTACAACTAGATGTATAATATCGGACAATTTCTACAGATTTAAAGTTGGAGATCGTTTTTTTTATGACGTACAAGGTCAACCTGGAAGTTTTACACCAAGTAGGTTTTTTAAGCTGTGCCTATTCAAGACAATACATTTACAATGTTTTTTTTATTTTTCAAGAACAACTGGAGACAATTAAACACATAAATATTGGTCATATAATATGCGCTACTACTAATTTAGAACTATTACCGTTGGATGTCTTTAGAGTAATCCACGAGTAAGCTATAATACATTTTTATACAAAATCTATAATATGTCGTATTGGTAGCTAATATATTATACAAACTTTAAAGGTTTTCTTCGATCAAATGGAGTTGTCACGATCATTACAAAATTGATTTTGAAGCTTGGAAAATATTAAAAAGTTAAGCTGGTTTTTATAGCATAGAAATATACTTATTTATACTTACTTCTAGGTACTATCTTTCGAAAAAAATGTATAATTGTGTGTACACCTATTTTTTAGTAAAAATATGTTAATTTAAGGATACTATATTATATTGTGTGTATGTATTGAAATTATTACTATATTAATATTTAAAAATATATTTCACTTACAAACTTAGGTGTATCAAGTTACTTTTTATAGACTGTTACCACAGTTGTGTACAGCATATAATAATTATACATTCGCAAGTAACTAAAATTGAGGTATGAAAATAAATGAAAACATTTAATAGGTAGTTTAATTTTTAGGTAACTATAGTTTTCCACTTCGACCTAAAAAGACTTATAATATAGTCAGTCTTATAAAATATTTCCAAGTGTTCGAACTGGTAACGGCGAACTAACGTAATTTCACTTTAATTTTATTGCAAAAATTTTGATTTCTTGTTATTTTGACATAGCTTTTTTTTTTAAAAACATTTTTTTTTGTTTTATATTTTACTTGAATCACAATGTGCCGATATTAAACACTAGAAATTAATATTCTAAATGAGACCTATAGTTCAATAGATCTATAGATTCAGATAAACGTATACATTTTGCATCTATAGTTTCAGTACTGTTAAACTACTTTTAAACTTGAAGCATAGTTGTTGCAAGACATAAAGTAATTAGTAATACTCTATGGTGCAAGAGGAAAGTTAATTTAGCTAGAAAGCCTATATAATCAATCTTATCACAACTTTATGGGTCGCCATATAAGTTCCATACATTTGAATAGGGCTATTAATACAGATAAGGTTTTATCTAATTTGAGCTATTAATGTAAAAAATATAATAATTGGAAGTTGGAACTTTAAAGACAATCAATAGGTTTGTTCTTTTTGACAACAAGTGTACATCAAAGCGTTTGTTTGAAATAGTGTACACTTTTTTTCAAAACGAACAAAACTTATATTATACCATCGCTTGTTGTGTACATAGGTTCTTTAGTTAGTAATTTTTGATATCTGCTATTGACGTGATAATGATTGTTGTGATAACTCGACTTTGATGTTTGATAAGTGGTGATAACATTAATGCAAAAATAACAAATTTCAAATTATTTTCACTAAATAATAAATATCGTTACTCCCTTTTTTATTAAGAATAAATAACAATTATTACTTGTGTATACTCAATCAATGATTACATATATTTTACAAAACATGCCGGTGTATTATTTTCTATAAAGAAACTGAAATTTGATTTCAGCTTTCTTTTTGTTTATTTGTAATTTATTTTTAACAAATACATTAATGTTCTTTAATTTTTCTGCCGTAAAACTCAAATCTCGTTTGATTCTGTCTATATTGGTTGTGTTAATTGTTGTGCCACTCATCGGCCACTATTACTTATCAAATGTAAATATTATACCTCGGCAATAATTCAACAAGGTATTCTTAAATATTAATAATTTTCAGGAAGAGAAAGATAGCTTTGAATATTTGTACAGTACCCATTCAAAATTGGAATTGGATGAAGATTATGGAGCCCTTAGGGCCTCCGACTTGAAACAACGCATTTTAGAACTTAACAGAATTAAAAGTAAATATCCCAATAAAATTGACTAAATAAAAATAAAAATTATAAGTTATAACTTACTTATTTTGGTTTGCTTTGAGTATTGCTGATTCTATTATATTTATCCAATATCTACTAGATATTTATTTGGTATGCGTGTTACATGGGTCATATTCCTATTTATTTAATCTTGCCATTTTGCTTAAAATTTTGGTTTTTTAAAATAAATTAATATTTTGTATATTATTCAACTGTTACTAGATTCTGTTAACAATGAGCTAAGAGCTATTGAAGGAAAAAGGCAAAAACTACTTACAGAACTCTCTGTCTATCATACGAAAATTGAAGATACTAAAGCAGAACTATTACGACAAGAAAATGAGTTAGAAAAATTAAAAATTTCTGTTAAACAAGTAATATTTGAAATTTTATGAATTATTATAAAACTTTCAAGCATTGTATTTTTTTTTTTAATATTAGGCCCAAGTAGCTGAAAACGAAGCAGTTATGCAAAACTCACCTCGCCTAGCACCGCCAGTACCTATACTAGCTCAGTCACCTCCTTTTTATATTCCAATATCTAATGATTATCCATATTTGTGCCATAATATGAAAAATTGTTTTGATTATTCTCGTTGCTCATTGACTTCAGGATTTCCATTTTACTTTTATAAACCTGATATAATTTCATCAGAATTAACATCTGTGTCATTAAACAAAATTGTATTGCAAGTGTTACACTACAATACTCATTTTACAAATAGTTCAGATAACGCTTGTATCTATGTGGCGTTAATCGGTGAAACCCAAAGTGTCATAACATACACTCAATTGAAACGTCTTTCATATTGGGGAGGTGATGGTAGAAATCACATTTTAATATATTTAACAAAAAAAATATTTGATCCCCCAAAGTTCAATCAAAACATTAATTTTGGACGCGCTATTGTTGCCCAATCGTTTTGGAATAGAACCAGTTTCCGGCCTGGACATGATATCTTGTTGCCTGCCAGTGTTGGACCTCCTGGTGGTGAAATTTGGATGGATTCACCATATATGTTACCGGCTAGAAGAAAATTCTTGTTGTCTTTTGAAGGATATAAAAATGTAGACTCGTTAAATAACAGTCAGCAAAATTTCGGTAAAATTCTTTGTAAATTATGTTTTATAGGGTTTCATTAGAATTTTTTTTTTCAGTTGAATTGTTGCATACGTTTATAACTGAAACATCTGTCGATCAGTTTTACTTAAAGACAGATTGTGACAATCAAAGAATAGAGAGCAATATTACAGACTGGTGTTTATGTGGTGACGAAATTATTCGCAAATCGTTTTTGACTCAATCAACATTTACATTAATTCCTCCGCCCTTGGATGTAAATATGATATCTACTGCTATGACGCAAATACGTTTATATGAATCATTGAAGTATGGTGCCGTTCCTGTGTTCTTAGAATATGATAAAATTGGATTACCTTTTGATGAAGTAAAATAACTAGCATTTTTTTACACATACCATATGTATATTTTTCATACTAGTGACATTTTAGGTGTTGGATTGGTGCAAAGCTGCCATTTGCATTGCGGGTGAAAGGATCCCGGAACTACATTGGTTACTTAGGACTATTTCCGATAATGATATACTATCAATGAGAAGACAGGGTAGGATGTTATACGAAAAGTATCTCAGTACTGTACAAGCCATCCTGGACACAACCCTTGCTGTTATACGTCATCGAATAGGTATACCACCGATACCTGTCGTTGATACACCGTCACCAAGTATATTTAATGAAAACTTTAAAGTGAGCTTATTAAAAATACTAAGTTTTACTAAATAAAATAATACTTTTATTTAAAACTAAAACTATTGTACTTATGTTGAATTATTAGCCTATTAAAATGGATCCAATTATACCTGACGCTGAACCAGAAGAAAGTTTAGGTCCGTTAGAACCACCCTTTCCTTCACCAGTTTATAAAAGAAATTTTACAATCATAAACGTTCAAGGATATGATTTATGGAATGGTTGGGGTGATCCGTTTAAACTTTATCCGCACACTCCTTTTGATACATTACTTCCTTCGGACGCAAAATTCATTGGTTAGTAAAAATAGTAATCTATTTGCCATGGCTTATGTTTTTTGTCAAATTATATAATGATTTGTTGTCTATAGGGTCTGGTAAAGGTTTTCGTCCAGTAAATAATGGTGCTGGTGGAGCGGGTAAAGAATTTTGTCAAAGTCTCGGTGGCAATTACCCACGTGAACAGTTTACAATAGTTATTTTAACTTACGAGCGCGATCAAGTACTGCCAACATTTCTATTTTTTATTATATAATTATGTTTAGTAACTGTAATTTTATTTCATAGGTTTTGATGAATTCTCTGAGTAGGCTAAATGGTCTGCCATATTTAAACAAAGTTCTTGTCGTGTGGAATTCTCCTAAACCGCCACTTGAAGATTTACGTTGGCCTGAAATTGGTGTACCTATACATGTAAGAAACAAATACTAAATGAAACGTATAATTTAATATATGTATTTTGTTTACTAGTTGTAAATTGTAAATTTTACCAATAGGTTATTCATGCTGCTAGGAATAGTTTGAATAACAGGTTTTTGCCTTATGAAGCAATTGAAACAGAAGCTGTTCTATCGGTTGATGATGATGCCCACTTAAGACATGATGAAATTATGTTTGGCTTTAGGTACATCTACCTATATATAGTCCATACAATCTTAAAAATCATATTAGTATATAACATTAGTATTAAAATAACTTGCAATCGATATTGCTTTAGAGTTTGGAGAGAACAACGTGATCGAGTTGTTGGTTTTCCTGGTCGTTTCCATGCTTTAGATTTGAATCACGGTGGATGGCTTTACAATTCAAACTACAGCTGTGAGCTGTCCATGGTTTTAACAGGAGCTGCTTTTGTACATAAATATTATCTCTATTTGTACTCCTATTGGTTACCTCAAGCTATTAGAGATAAAGTGGACCAATATATGAATTGTGAAGATATTGCAATGAACTTTTTAGTTTCTCATATTACTAATAAACCACCAGTCAAGGTATGATGAAATCATGGTAGTTATAGATTGGAATTAAGTATATTACACACTATTTATAATTTTAGGTTACCTCCCGATGGACTTTCCGATGTCCAGGATGTCCAGTTTCATTATCAGAAGATGAAACTCATTTCTTAGAACGCCATAAATGTATTAATTTTTTTACAGAGGTATGTAACTAAATATTTCTTCTTTGTAATTTTGAACTTCATTTTATATAATATATCATACCATACAAAGTTTATGTTGTATTCATTGGGGCACAAATTAGTTACTTTTATAATTAAATATCTGTAATATTACCGCTTCTAAATATAAATAAAAAATATATTTTTTCTACAGATATTTGGATATACTCCTTTATTGAATACTCAATTCCGCGTGGACTCGATACTCTTCAAGACACGTATTCCACATGATAAGCAAAAGTGTTTTAAATTTATATAACAATAATGTTCAACTTTAGCGACCAATACTAACTACTTTCATTCCAATCTAGTGAACAATTTATTAAGATACATTATTATTGTAGTATAGCTACAAAACTGATCAAATTTAACTAATCGACTTAAATGTATGTAATTGTACATTTTTTAAAACTATGTATTACTGTTAAGGCTAACCTCATTTATTATTTTTTTCTACTTATAATGGACAACAAAATTATGTTAGCAAACAGAAAGCAATGATGTTGCTTAGTTACCATTGTAACAACAACTAACGTAAACACATTATTTAATGCTATTGATTTATAGTTACTTTTAGAAAATTAATTTTATATTCATTTGTTTTAATTTTATTAACTTGTAAGCTATTTAATTTATTACTGTGAGTTTAATTATATGATAAATTATAACATTATTATTGTAATATAATATTATTCAAAGAAAAATGGTAATTATATATATTTTTTTCGTCAATGCACACTACTAATAATTATTAGTACAATTCAATTTTCTATTTTTTTTGTAAAATCGGGTTAAATTAGGAAGGAAATATTTCTGTAAATGAATATCATAAAGTTGTTGTTGACAACTATATAGAATTCATGAGTCATCAAAAGAAACAATCTATCATTGTGATAAAAAAAACCTTTAGTGAATTGTTAAAAACAAGGTATTTATAGAGTTAATAAAATAGATGTAACTTATTAACAAATAGTGCTTTCAACAAAATTAAATATTAAACTAAAGTTTGTCAGATGAAACCTTTACAAAAGAAGAAGTTAGCAACGTGATAAATAATTTGGAAAAAGCAGTGACTAATGAAATTGAATGTGAAATGACCGCTTTTACTAATACAAATATCCTAATGATGTATCAATTTTTTCAACAAGCCGAAAAATGGCATCTGAGACTTAATGCTGATATTTCGGAAATGCAAAACAAGTAATACAATTTAATTTAGTTGTCTATTTAATTACATCTATACTGTACAACAACCTGAGTTTAGAGAATTATTACAAGAGGTAGAAAAATATAAATCTGATTACAATTTAACAAGACGTCTCGCAGAGAAAAAGAAACTCGCTCCGATAAACGACTGTGTTACTAATGATTTTGCTGAAATGTTGCACAAGAGACTGGAGCAGTTGGAAAGTCATAATTGTAAATTACAAAATGATTTCAAGTGTTTGGAAGATAATGTAAAAAAAAATAATAATAATAATATGTCTTTCTAAAGAAGAATATTTGAGCAGGTTTTAATTATTTTCTATCAATATGTTTTATAGTACGACAAAGTAGACATAGAGCGACAGGCCTTAAAACAACTCGTTCAAGACAATCATACAAATGTGAACACCAATCTTTGTAAACAGTCGGCAGAAATTGAAGTACAAACTCTGAGTATCTCAGAGGTAATGTTTTTTTTCTTTTCAAACTAGTAATTTCTTCTTCTCGAATTTTTAATTTTGGCCAATATTATTGAATTCTTAATTCAATAATGGCCACTTAACTTTCCTTACATTTTAAAATGACGATACTTAAATTCTAGGATAACACCACTCATGATTACGAAGAATGCGTAAAAACCAAAGACCTACTGGAAGCCGACTTGAAGTCGACCCAGTCACAATTAACATTGGCCAACATGGTATGGATACACTTAAATTTTAATTATTAACATGTCAAACTTCAAAATCATTTTAATGATCATTTAAATAATAACCGAAGAAATTCCATATAAATCCAAAAAGTTGAGTTATAGCGTTTTTCATGAGTTCACCGATTGTATTTAATATTAGGGTTCAAAATATAAGCTGGGAGGGGGGGAGCTCTGCGCAGTTTTTACTTCTATAATTTGTAGGTATCTATTCTAACATAACATAAATAGTCTACTTATCCAAAAAATTGGTAGGTAGGAGTATCCAGTCATCATAAGTAGTTTTAATAGTTATTTTTGATGAAACATTTAATGCTGTGTCTACAAATTTTTTTTTTTAAAGGAGTTGGAAAGAAAATTTAACGATACAGCGGCATACGTCAACATGAAAAAAATAATACAGAAAAAAAATGAACAAGTTCGCGAATTACGAGATCGACTGCTAGTGTATGAAAAGGATGATGGCGAAGAAAACTTTGTATAGTTTTTGACTTACTTTACAGTTAACATATAACACCATAGTTATTTTTAAATATAATTTGAATTACTCCCTCCCACATTAATATTATACTTAGTTAATATCACGTACGTCATAATATGTAGTTGTATTTGTAATTTAATTACGTATTATGTAACCATTATTAAACATATAATATAAATATCCATTTTTTATGTTATAATTTAAAAATATATCATATTTTTTTCTAGTCTAGCCAATGAGTTACATTATCTGTTTTATTTTTCTAGTAGAACAATTATATTTTGTTATGATGGTAGTTATTTTCGATTGACATGAAGTATGATTACTTCTTCTTTATTGGTTTCGGCCATTAAAGACCATACCTACCTCTAAATAAACATACTGCCCTCTATCTCTATGTTCTTCTATTTCCTGCCAATGATTATTTTTTTATTAGGTTCCCCTGTCTCTGCATCTCTTTTAACGCAGTCTTCCCACCTTAACCGTGGTCTCCCTACTGGGTTTTTCTCAATTACTTTCCTTATCAGCGAATCATGCTTCCTCCAGGCATGTCCTACCCAAACAAACCTTCTTTTCTTAATCTCTTTGATCTTTCAATATATCGGGTCGCTGAAATGAAAAAGGGACTGCAGTTCGTCATTGTGTAGTTTCCTGCATACATTTATCTAAGCATCGAAGTATGCCCTATACCAGGCGCGGATCCAGCGTGTGTTAACGGGAGGGGCGGTTTAGTAAAGCATTTATAAGTATATATATATATATATATATATACAACGTATCCAATAAGACATTAGGACCTATTGAAGTATTGAACCCTGCGGTCAAAATGAACGGCACGGGTTGTGCAGCTAGCGATAGGTACAAGATAATATTTGTAGACCAAACAATATAAAATCAGATTTTATTTTTGACAAAAAAAAAAGAAGACACATGGCAGTTCTCGGCCGCCGGTGTGAATATTAGTCTGCGTTCACTCTAATAGAGATTTTATTTGTAATATTACATAAAATTGATTTATGAACAATAAAAAACAAAAGCTTTGCCCCAAAATTAAAATAGCAAATACTATGATATAGCCAACGGGGGGGGGGGCCGCCCCTACCGCCCTCCCCCCTGAATCCGCGCCTGCCCTATACATTTATTTATTCTAAATATTTTCCTCTCAAACATTGCCATCCTTTGTGTTTTGGTTTTTCGCAAAGGCCATGTTTCTGCTCCATAAAGGGCAATTGGCCTTAATAAGGTTAAGTACATCCTAACTTTTAAGTCCTTAGAGATAGCTCTTGATCTAAACATTTTTTATAGTCCATAAAAATATTTATTTGCTGATTGAAAACTCATCGATATTTCTGTTTTTATGTCATTATCTTGGGTTATAATCGACCTTAGATATTTGAATTGGTGTACTCTAAACCTGTATTGTTCAACTTCAATGACTTCTTGTACCTTATCCGGTACTAAGTTAAATAGTATCGGGGAAAGCGCATCCCCTGTCTCGGACCTGTCGCTACATCCACTGGTTGTGACACCATATTTGCTAGCTTTACTTTAATCTTTGTTGCATTTATACTTACCTCTACAAGATTGCCTAGCTTTTATAGAAACTTAAGTTCCTTGAGAAAATCTACAAACAATATATACACATCTTTATTGAATTCCCACATCTTTTAAAGCGTCTGCTTAATCAAAAAAAATTGATCTGTTGTGGATCTATTTGATCTACAACCTCCTTGGTAATATCCCATTATTCCTTCCGCAATCGGCTTTATTTTATCTTATAAGCAGTATACTAGGATTTTATAGGTTACGTTGCATTTCCCCTATAATTGTTGCATACCTGTGGCTTGTGGGTCATTCTATTTGTGAATAGGGCACACTAGCGCAATAGTCCACTCCTCCGGGAGTCTTTCGGCTTTCCTCCTGCCAAACTCTTTCAATAACACTGTGTATTCTTGATACTTTTTTCTCATCTAATCTTTTTAATAGTTCTCCCTGAATCCCATCTACCCTGGGAGATTTTTGGTTTTTTAATCTTTTTATGTTGTTTAATCAAAGTACGATTACAGAAAATAAAACATAATTATTTAAAAATTGTATTATCTATTGGTGCCATATTCAATTTTATCCTTAACATTTCAGACTAATTGCAGTTGGTTGGTCAAAATTTAAGAATCGGCAATAGCCATTAGTCTATTTTCAACAAAATATTTTATTAACTAGCAAATCGGAATTATATTTTATTTTAAAGTTGAATTTAATAGTAAATAAATTCCTAAGTATAAGTTGACTTGTTGTTGAGTGTTATTGATAAAATACAAGGATATATTCTCAGTGCGATGAAGTTGATAAAACAAAGTGAGCATCTGAGTAATTTCATAAAGTTTTATGAGCATTAATTACAACATGAATTGAAGACAATGTGTAAATAAAAATAATAATAATAAAAAGAGAAAAATTGTTTACACAAATAATAACAGTATAAATTATTCACTGTTATCATCGTCTTTATTTTTCTCGGACTTCTTCTTCTTCTTCTTATGACGATGCCTAGAACCACTTCTACTACGAGACTTGTGTTTCCTGGATCGTTTCTCATGACTGCGACTTCGTGACCGATGGCGATGAGATCTAAAAGATTAAATTAATATTATTATATATTATAGCGAAGAACTAACACAAAAAAAAAAATTACTTATGTTTATACTCTCGTTCTTCTTTATAACTTGTTTCGGGACTATCGACACCATCACTAGAAAAATAGAATTTTTTTTTTTTAAAACTATAACCATGTTACCAATAGAGTTTAGGGTTTGATTAAATGTTGTTTTAATTAAATAATACTAATTATTTTTTTAATACATAAAAATAAAAACAATTATCAAACCTTTCTCTGTGTCTACTGCGTTCTCTTTCTCTATCTCTGTCCCTATCACGATCTCGCTCACGATCCCTTTCTCGGTAACGATTACGTACATCACGCTCACGTTCATAGCCACGATCTTCTGGTTCTTTTTTTACGCGTGCGGCGTAGTATTCTTTATCCCTCACCACATCCTAAAATATGTTATAAACATTAAATTATTAGTAATACTCATGATTTTAAGGTTTTTTTTGTTTATAAAAAATAAAACAGTCTTACTGTTCTTGCTTTATTATATGCATCGCCGCCGTTAGCAAGTGTAGGAATGTTCTCTATACTTTTGACATTTGAATTCCAGCTCTAAAAAAAAAACTCTTTTATGATAAAAACTGTACTCCTTTTTAAAATAACATCATAATATATTAATATTATTTTACTTGATTCCATTGCATATCTTGAGTTGGCTCGAACGTATTATAATAAGGATCTGGTTCATGAGGATAGTATTCCGGTTCGAAATTCACATTTATTGGCGGAGGAGGACCATATCTATGCATACAATACAATTTTAATAGAGAATTTATTAACGCTGTAGTCTTATAAATAATTACCCAGTGGGTGGTATAGACCCAGGTATCATTGGCGGAGGTACGTCAAATGTAGTAGGAATTATTGGCGGGGGCACCGATAAATCGGGTGTTGGGAAATGTTTGCGACTATATTCTCGCCTTTCTGCTGTCATAACCTACATAAAAAATTAAGAAAAATAAGGCTCTAAGGCAAGTGATAAATGTTGTTAGATCAATATCGAGTACCTCAATAGTATTTTCTTTTGGAGGAGCTGGTGGAGCTTGAAATTTAGGCTTGACGTCTATTGTAGGAATCATATTATTTGCAGTACTCGTGGAAATTTGTTGATTATGCATAGCCAATGTAGACATTCCCACTAATGATTCGTTACAGCGCATTTTTCTTTGCCGTTCACAATACGCAAGCCAAGTGTTTTCATTAAAACCATAATTAAAGTAGTCTAAAAAATATTTCAATTGAAAGTACACTCATTACTTTTTACTACTGATAATTGTTTTTTTAATTTAAATAATACTTTACCTGTGATATCAGCACCAGGTTTTAACCATGGTTTTTCTTCAGTAGTTTCAATTGAATATTCGTGAGACGGTACACCATTAATGGAACCCACACTCTCAAAATCGTCTACATTAAATTTCCCTTGTTGCTAATAAAAAATACCACATATTATTTTTGATAATATGAATACAAATTTTTTTTAGACAATAGTTTTGCAACTTGAGACATCCTATACCTATGTGTTTTATGCTTAAAAACATGCTTAATAGAAAAAGTGATATTGTTTTGGTGTTATTGGATTTTGCTAATTTTTTTTTTTTTTTTTTAGAAAGGGAAGTTAGATTTTCAAAATTCAAATTCTTTTGATCAGTTGTTTTGGTATTGTAATCAAAAGTTAAAGCTATATGTGGACTGTAAAAAAATAAAAAAGATCAAAATCTGATTATTCAACAAAGCGTTATCACTTAACCGGTAACTTAATTTTTCAACAAAATCGCTATATTATCTTAAATTTCCCATAGTTTGCGACTTTTAAATTTTTGGCATAGGGACTTTAATAGATAAATTATACAGTAAAAACGTAATTTTTTTATTTTTATCAACATCATCAATCATAGTAAACTTACTTTATTCCCTGTTGTTAAACCAGCACTGTTTGTTAATGATAATAGGTTATTTCTTTTCAAATTAATTCCTGTTGTTGATGGACTTGCATTATTTTGCTGTGCGTGTTGTGCCATATTGCTTTCTAAAGCAGACAATGTAAAATTTCCAGCTGCTACTACAACATCATCGTCGCTGTCGTCTTCACTGTCTTCTGATGATACTGCTTGTTTTTCATCATCATTTTCATCTGGGACCTGTTCAGGTAAACTCTCACTTTGTTTTTCTGTAGTTTCCATTATATTTGTTTCTAATGAACCATCAGGAAGATTACTTAATGATTCTGACTGAAACCCTGTACCATTAAAAAATGCTTCAGGACTTCTTGGTCGATTCAAGTCGTTACTTAGTTCTTTTACTGGAGGTGGTATATCTACATTTCCTATAATAACAATAATAATTATTACCATTATAACAACTATTTGGGCTACTAAATGAAAAAAAAATAGTCCGTCTGTCCTATCACAAATATATTTTAATGTTTTATTTTAAAATATGTGCAGTGCAAGGCAGTTTTTCAAGAAATTAAATAAGACTATTACTCTTTTTTTTAAATCTAATAATAGGTAAATAGTAATTGTTATCTCGGACAGCCAAACATTATGTACTCTAGTAGTAGTATGTTGTAGTCTATTTCCGTTTATTATAATGTATGTTATAACCAAAGTTTACTCATACAAAATAGATTAAGAGAATAGTTTAAGGTTTTATTAGTGCATGTCAGCAACAAATACTGACTTTTTTTTAACCTAAGAATCCAGACTCTATTAATAAATACAATACATGGTAAAAAACAAATGTTATCACGTTAGTTACATACCTGGACCAGGATTTGCTAAGAATTCCATCAAACGTGATTCCTAAAAAGTAACGGATACATTATACCTAAATATAAATACGGTAGTCCAATTTTTTTTTTTTAGCTTATTACCTCATCTTCGCCACTGTGAGTCATTTCAGCTGGCTTAGTAAGCGGTACATCTTCAATCAGTGCACCAGTGGGTACGACAGAATCCAAATTTGAATTTGAATCACCATACAACCACTGGTCATCATCCGCTTGCTCCGGAGCAGCAGCCAATTCAGAATTTGGGTCCGCCATGTTTCGCTATTTTGAGAGTACCTAACGAATCATTGTAAAAATCGTTTCAATTCATACTCTTGTAGATACACCGAAATCATTTATAGAAAATTGTTTTATAAATTATACATAATACTATTGTATATTATATTGTAATTATAACAAAACGAAAACTCAAGTTAAAATACATTTTAATGATAACGGTAACATGCCGTATCATAGTCCACCACGGTAAAAAACAATATTCAAAAGCTTGTCAAAGATATTACACCATGGTGTATTTTCATTTGTAGTCTCATTGACTCTTTTTAGCAACAACAAGCGAAACAGTGAAAACTGATAATAAATATTGATAACATTGTTTTTTGAAGATCTCCAATACTGATCACAAACAAAACACTTAAAAAACGTCACCGGTCGCATTACACAAATGACGATAATTTATTTGAACCTAACTATATTATGAAGAAACGGACACACATGTTTGTTTGCGTTTTGTACATAAAAGAAAAACGTGTATGTAACTTAATTGACCTTAATATGCCCTTTCTTTTGTTTGAATTCATGCATACAAAAGAATTTTAATTACGTCGTATTCAACCATCAGTATAAATCCTACTTGAAAACGTAAACAGAATTAGTACGATCTACAGTGCTAAAGCTTTGAGTTTTCAGTTTTTGATTTATGCTTTTGCAAAAATGGCAAAATTAATTAGCATTTTGATGACTTTGCTAATATGTACAATTCAGCAATTTGGTCCAGTGAAATGCATATCGTTCTTTCATTTTTCTTATGATCCACCACCAGTCAAGGATATTGCACTGATGGCCAGATACATTGTTCACGAATCTGGTAATTAAATTATCATGCATACATAAACTCATATTTATCGTTTGAAGTATAATTAATATTTAAGCGTATTACACTTAAAACAGCTGTAACGGCTTGAACGATACTAAAAACGTACAATAAATTAAATATTACAATTAAAATAATAAAACTTGACATTGAATTATTAAAAAATGTGATATCATTTAATTGATGTATAAACTATAAAGATAATATATTAAACATAAATAATTAACCTATATAATTGCCTCTTGGCGTTAATGCAATAAATAAAAATAAAAATAAGTAGCAACGAATCACTTTTTTAACAATTATCATGATAAACTCAACCAATAGAATACACTACTTATAAGCATAGGCCATATCTTTATAGGTCTATGCTCGTAAGGTCTGCTAATATAGGATTCTTATGATTTGATATTTAGAGAAATACTCTAAAACCCCTAAAAAATCACCGGATCTAATCCAATAACTAATTAATTCTACATATATATATATATTTACTGTACATTTAAAAACTAAAAACTAATTAGTGAAGGTGGAAATCATTTTATAAAATAGTTACTCACCTTAAATTAATCATTAAGTATAAATTAGGCCTCAATTATAAGTAATTTTATGAAGCCCAGTGTTAAATAGAAATAAATGAATTAAAAAATTGAAACTTAACTTTTACTGTATATTTGATCCGTTGATTTTAGATTGGGGAACTCTGTCTTATGTTGGAAATCAGTCATTTATGGCTGGTGTACCAATGGGTCGAGTATATTCAGTTAGCGATGGAACAGTAAGCAATAGTACTGGCGTACCTTACATAATGTTGTCTCCGATGGATTTAACATATCAAGATGTTATGGTAATTGTATAATATGTTACTAAAATATTCATGTTTGGAAATTAAGTCTAAAATTAATTTTGGTATAAATAAAAAAGCATTACTGGAAATAATACTACTTATCTGTAAAACCTTAAATCAGTGATATTGCTAATAACTTGGAAATAATTAAAACTAAGGATTTCATAAGAATTGAAATAATTTAACTATTAATTATAGTGTGAAAATTTTAGGTAACAAAAAAATGTTCACTTACATTAAGCTTGGCACAGTCAAATTATTGTAGCAGAAAGGCTTACGATCCTGAAGATCCTCGTTGTGCTCAATTAACTCTAACCGGAACTTTTGTTAAGGTACGAAACATAATTCCAATTTTATTATACGTTTAGTTTAAGTTTACTAATTTTAGATATTTGTATGATAATATCTATGTACACTTTTTCATGTATATATTTTAATCTAATTTTCTATTTATTTGTTAAAATTTGGTTAATTCATGTTCTAGTTGGAAAAAAGTGATCCTGAATGGGCGTTGGCAAAAGAAGCGTTGTGGACAAGACATCCAGTAATGCATAAATGGCCAATTTACGTACCAGGTACTGTAATAATAATCAAAATTTGCTTCTGTCAACATTAAAACTAGCCTAGCAATCAAAACTGAAATTTTTAGAAAATTCCAAAAAAAATCTACGTTTGATTGCTGAAAATTGGCTGGAGACAGAGACACCAACTGTACATTTGTTTGGCCTGATTAAACAATATTATTAATAATTTTTTTTATGATTATTAGGACACAGTTGGCAATTTGCAAAAGTAAACATTGAACATATTACATTGTTGGATTATTTTGGTGGTCGTAAGTATCCAAATCTATCGGACTATTTCAAAGCTAAACCTTCTTTGCAATTTAAAATAAGGCCAAAAATTAAAGCAATATCATTGGGAAAGAAAAATGTAATTGTAGACTATGAATTTTAGGGAACTGTGTATGTGAATGAATCCTTAGCTTCTAGTTTAAAAAATGTAAAGTTATGTAATATAAATGTTAAGATTAAGTTTCCTAGGTGCAGCCGGTCACAGGTACTCGGGTCATCACAGGCTATACATATTGAGACTCGAATTTGCCATGATTCCTCTCTCTCCTCCCCAAAAAGTAAAGTTAGTATCGACGTACAGATTCGCTAAGTACAGTCTCGAGTCATAGAAGCTGCATGACAATCATTATTCACACATTAGAAACCAAACTGTACCGCTGTGATCGATCTCTGCACTTTAGAATCTGTACCTTTATTTATTAACCATAAGTTGTAAATTATTATTAACGCCACCTTAGCCAAATTATGTGACATTGACTGCTGTAATGTTTTACCTGTGATAATATTTTTTCTAATTATAGTATTTGTATATTACTTACTGTTATATATTTCCAAATTCTTCTGAAATTGTGATCTTAATAGACTCATTCAATTGATGTAGTATAATTGTACCTAACTATTGCTCAATTTGCCCTTTTAATTTTTTTTATTCTGTTTGTTACAAAAGGTTAACTGTAACAGGGTTCATAAAATAATAAGTACTATTTCAATGTGATGGATAGAAATGTTGAAACAGGTGTTAAAATTGGTTGACAGTTTTTCTAGTATTTAAGTGTCTAACATATTAAGTTTTTATGTACTTTCTACTGAAATAACTAATTTATATAATTATTAATAAAATGATTGTTACAATTTTTATTTGCTAATTATTGTTAGTTTTATAACCTGATATATTTTCCTTGTCTACATTTTTTACAGCTATGTATTTGACAATGTATACTGCTGGTGGTGAATCTCTACTCTTAGTACTTCTAAAGTATTTATATGATCCCAAAATAAGGTATTAAAGGCAATAATTATAGTTCAAACACTAGATAATTATTATCTAAAATCGCCACTCTCAGATCTCTTACAAGTGTTACAACTATCTTTTTAATTACAGCGTGTTAACTAAAACGTAATCTACATCGTGGGCCAGGTGGGTTGAATAAACAGACTGCTTTCAAAATAAGTCAGAACCTTCGAAAGTAATACAAATATATTTTATCCTTTTTCGGTGTAAATAAAATCACGTTAGTGGATTGTGAAAAGTTGATAAAAATTTAATTATTATAGTGATTTCAACAAAACTGATGGTGTATTATATCAGTGTTGTGAAAGAATTCGTTCCAAAAGGAACGGATTCCTGGAACGAGTGCTTTTTGTAGGAACGAAGCTTGGAACTGCTTCCTTTAAAAATAAAGGAACGAGGAAAATGAACGAATTTTTTTTTTTGAGGAACGTGAACGAAAATTACAGTTCCTTAAAATTTTTAATAACATAGTGTATTACATTAGTGTATTTTTTTTGTTTTGAAGAGTTTTAAATGTTATATTTAGTTGGTTTACGTTGACTATTGACAACGGAACGACCCCTACATACCCCAGCCTATATCGTAGGCTATCTAAATGAATCTATTGACTATAAATACTGTTATTAGACATTAATATATATGTATATATATTTTTTAAATAATAAATTGTATGGTGCCAATGGATATTATCGTCGTTTCTTGTTAACTGTTGTATCTTATAGGTTTTGGGTTTTCCGAATTATTATTTCTAATTTCTATGTAGACAATAGACATCGGTCGCGTTAACACAAGTCGTCAGCAGTTGCTTGCTAAAATATTATTTTACAATACTTTTAGATAAGGAATACCACAAATTTGTTTTGTTTTCGACTATTGATGAAGATTATTATTGACCGTTTTCATGATCTCATTACCACTACTGGCAATTGATATTTATAACTGATATTTATTATTATGTTATAGTATGTAGTTATAAAACATATTATATAGATAATAGATTGATGCCTTTTGAATAGATGCTAGTATATTTAACATATTTAAATTCTAATAAAACAAATTATGTTTACTTATTTTTTGGTAATAGTTATCTATTTTATTTTTCCATTTGCCATATTTTCGACTTATTGATATACCTATAATTTTGAACTAGATTTAAAATTTAAAATTATTTAATATATTCATCTGATATTAATGATATTAATATAATGCCTTCAATGATATTAAATAAATAATTTGACGAAAAACGTGATATCTTGAAATCACAAGATAACTTTAACCTTATAATCCAATTCAAAATAATAATAATAATTTCTTAAATAACTTGGTTAGCAAAAAGGAACGAAAAGTGGAACAAGTTCTTTTTGTAGAGGAATTGGATCTGGAACGAGTTCCTTCTTTGAATAATGAACGAGGTTTTATTTTAGGAAATGAACGGGGAACGGAACGAGTTCCGTTTAAAAAGGAACTTTCCCAACACTGCATGATATACATGATTTTCTTTACCTTTCATGAATTATCATTAGGACTTAGGAGTTATGAATTGTTTACAAATTATAGTAGTAGTACAAGTTTCTGTATATCGAGATCAAAATCCAGACAAAACTTGATAAAACTTTTTATTTTTAAGGTCATTATATTATTATGTTACCTTAGTTTAAAACCATTTAACCGAATTAAAAATATTTATAATATTTTTTTCAACGAGTCTTTCAATGAAAGCACACACAAATGGAGGGTAAAGGGAAAAATCCAGCAGTCACGTTTTAAAAATCGCATTTTTGTTGTTATAAAATTCGTTTTGATACAAAACGAATCCGTTCTTTATTTTTAAGCACGATTATAAAAAAAATTAAAAATTTTTTTAAATGTTTAAAGTATTATTAGATTAGAAAAAAGTGACTGCTGGTTTTTTCCCTGTACCCTTCAAATGTATTATAGGATGTTTTTTTAAAGATGTAGGTACATGTTATTTTGTTAATGTCATTTTATTGATTGAATTTGTATTTAAAATTTGTTCAATTTTTTTTTTTAGAAAATTAGTTGGTGTATATTTTTATGAAGGTATTAATAAAAAAAAGTATTTACCTAATATCATTTTTTTACAATTTTACATCATTAATTTGTGTTATAGTTAAGACTTTTTTGGAATTAAGAACATTTTTAATGATATTTTTAATATTAAATGTACACAATTTTAAACATTATTCGTATTTTTACTAAATTGTATACCTACTTTGAAATTTAATTTTAGCTAAGCAATAAGCTACAATTAAATAAAGCTAAAATGAATATATTGAATGACTAACATATGCAATAATATGAGTATGTTGTGTATAAATATTTTAAGATTGCATGCAGTTGGTTTTTAAGGAGTTTTGTATAGGCAATATTTAAGAAAAAAGTGGTTTTAATAAATTTCGATCATGTCAATTAATTAACCGGTTAATTTGTATAAGCTTCATGGTATTATTTTTAATTAAAATTATTTTGTCTATTGTAAAAACCATTTTAGTTAATATAAAATACATTTTTTGTTCCATCGCACAGGCTGAATCAGTGATTCGATAAGTAATCTGAAAACAGATTTGAATTCGTCATGAAGTTTACTTAAGATGGGTCTTGGTACTTTTTTGATATCTTATTCCTACTATGTATAAAACACGTTTGAATATTATATAAAATTTCAGATTTTAAAATTAAATTTGGAAAGGGTTAAAATTAAAAATTGATAAAAATACCCTGACTGATCATAAGTAAACTTCATGGCGAATTCAAATCTGTTTTTAGATAGCTTATCGGATCACTGGTTCAGTCTGTGCAATGGAATAAAAATAATGTGTTTTGACTGAAAAAACCTACCACATGCAATCCCCTCAATGAACAAACAACATAAAGAACGATAGTGTAAATAATATGACACATTGACACATGTTATAATTCGTGCACCTAATATTTTCATGTGTAACGTGAAGATACATGACTATTTTTTTACAAATATTTAAATATATTATAACAAAAGAAAAAAAAAGAAAAAGAAACGTTTCAGATTGTATATATATTATATATTTTAATAAATACCATTTCTTATCCAATCGTTTTGTCCGTGTTATAAATTAGAACGAATTGTCGCGCTTTTGACTATTGGTTATTATTATTAATAATAACAGTATAGATAGGGGCGAACTCAACGAGGTACCATGGCCAATGTTGTAGCTTCCGGCATTTATTTTTTAATGGGACATTGCTCTTCAGGCTCTTTTAATATTAATTTAAGTTCTCGCCGTTGTCGTTTTACTCACAATAAAATTCGTCGGCGAAAAACATGAGCGTGAATCATCTCGGTGCGCGGCTCGCGATTAATTTGTTAAACCATTGTAAATTACACCCATATAATAAACGACGTAGGTAAACCGTTTATGAGTCTTTTGTCGTCCAATAATGTCATTTTGCACCAGTGCATCAGTCGAATAAACATCCCGTTTAAAAATTCCACGCCGGTTTTGTTGATGAGGATGTAGGTAATAACAAATTCGGTACCTACCAATTATTGTCGTCGTCATTATTATTATTACTACTATTATTTCACACGTTCGGCCCTCGCCGGTACAGATTCATCTGCCCGAAGGCCGATGCCGTTAAGTGGAACGTTCGGGCGGGTCGAGTAATAAAAAAGTGCTCGATTCCACAACGTTCACCACAACCCGTTTATTCTGACCGCAAACGCCGAACTGCGACGACCTTTGAGACTGACTAGACAAAGGTGTACACACACATACATACATACATACAGACATTTTGTTTGGCGTACGTTACTATGTTATTGACTATGTCTTAATTAAAAATTATTCGGTCTAGAAATTAGCTCGTTTAACTGAACTTTTATTTTTTTCACATTCTTAGCGTTCGAATCGACATGGCCTTGTGGGGTTTCGCCGTTTTCCTGCTGCTGGCGTTGTCTCCAGCACAAAGTTCCATCGTTCCCGTGGGCTATCGTCTGGACTTGCACCCGTATCCGGGCGACGGCGTTTTTAAAGGTAAGGTGTCCGTGGAATTCATCAATCTCGGCAACAAGTCCGACTCGGTCGTTTTGGACGCTCACACGTCTCTCAATGTGGCCGAGCGCGAAGTCAAACTCACTCGTGTCCCGAGATTCGATTCGTCCAAAGCCGACAAAGAAACGTAAGTATAATATACAAGCATTGGTGTAAATAGGGATAGGCTTTGCTCCATCAAAATTCAACCAAGCCCCCTCAATTAAATCCTCCCCAAGAGAGTATGTTTATCTCCTGCCCCCTCCCAACGTATTTTAATTAATAACTTAAGTCCCCACATTTGGGCCATTTGCGCCTATTCATATAATGCAACATTTTTTATGAATATAACACGGAACACTTGTTATCGAAAAAAACGATTAAAACGATATGAGATGGTTTACATAAAATGTGACTTCTATCTTCTTATTCTTCTCGTTTACTGGCAACATTCGGTCGGTATCTCTTAGGGTGGCGCAGAATTTGTACATGAACTGAAACGGGATTGCTTCATATAATAATAGGGGTGGGTCAAATATTTTAAGGAAATTTTATAAAGGTATCGATGCTACTATAGCCCATAAGGTATTGTAAAATGGTTTACGGATGGTTTGTAGTCGTATAATATTTACACTTTGTTTGATTTAAAAAAAATATCTGACACGGCGCCACTGTGTCTCTAAATGGAATACCTTTGTTGTAAACAGTGCACTGATGATCGAAAAATTGGAAAGAAACAAAGACTTACACCAGATCAAAATTACTGCCAACGAAACGTTTTCGAGAAACTTTACATACAAGTTGGAATTGCAATTTGACGGCTCTTTGGGGAGCGACCCGACTAGTTCGTTTTACCAGTCGACATATTCGAATTCCAAACATTCGCCGCAGAAAAAGTAAGTACTGAAACGTTTGTAATATAGTAAGAAAATAATACATAAACAAAAATTACACAAATCAATGTCAAAACTCAAAGTATTTGAGTAACACCAATCTTGTAAAGTATTCAAATACCTAGTTTTTTTACACGATTATTTTTATAACTGCTAGTCGTTCTACCAATAAAAAAACAAATTATTTAGAACTATAATTCGAAATTAGTATTTATTTTTATTTTTCAATTTGATTGGAGTATTGTGCTTAAGAGTAAAAGTGTTGATAAACAATAAGGCCCCCTACTAGCTGCGATGCGATAAAATACGTTTATCTGTGAAAAACCAAGGGAGGGAATAACTTTTTTAGCTCTTCTCAATTTGCAGAAATCATTATCTATAACCCTGCAAATTCTATATCAATAGTCTGATAGTTGTGTAATATACGATTGAAGACCAGATAAATAATATTACAATACGCATTATTTAAAAAAATAACAAATAAACATTGAAAGGCTAGTGGAAAGTCCTCTTCCTATCATTCCACCCAACCCTGGAAAAAGCACGCCCTTGGACGAGAGGTTTTTTTTTAATAATTAGTATAATAATTGCGTGGTTTAATAACTTTCGGGCAAAATCATACTTTCTTCAAACTTTAACTTCAAATAAATAGGTACTAGTTTTGTAATTCGTAAGCACGTTACTCTGATTAGTGATATTCGATATACATTGACTTCATCTATAGTCTTATTTATTTGCTAAAGTTAGTTAAGACAGATACTAAAATACGGAAAAAATTACGTCGAGCTTTTAATATTAATTCTGTATACATAGGGTTGACAAGAATTGAGTTAAGGACTTGTTCTTACTATACTTGTTGTAAGAAGGCTTTGGTTGTGTACACACTGTCGATATAAATCAGGCTCTGCGCACAATAATTATCATAAGTTGATTATTTGACATTTTAATAACTGGCCCGACCGTTTCTGGTTAATTCATTTTACAGATGGTTCGTAGCTATGAATTTACAGAAAGGAGGTGGAGCTCATTACGTTTTTCCGTGCTTTCTAAATGCCAAAGAAAAGGCTTGGTACGCCCTTTCTATAGCGCACAAAGGGGACGTGCACGTACTAACGTCTATGCCATTGAACGATACGACCAACGTGTACGAATTCGACCATTTTTGATTTTGTTTGATAATTATTGTGACTTACATTTAATTGACTTTACTAATGTGCAGGACTTCGGAAGGCGTATGGGTTCGCGATCATTTCTCAATGTCACCTCCGATGGCCGTAAACTCCTTGGCCATGTTTCAATCAGACTTCAAACATCCTTCGATTGGCGGCAAGTTTATTTAAAATAACGCAAAATATCTTGCACATGGTTTAACCGTCGTCTATTTTAAACTGGTGTTTGTAGAAAACAGTTACTACAACGCTAAAATCGGCATTTGGGGCAGAGAGGATCTTCTGAGATCGCTGAGCTCGGCGCAAATGTTTCTCCCTTCCGTGTTAGAGGTTCTGGAAGAATATTTTGGCAGTCCGTTCCCTCTATCCCAAATCAATTTGGTCGCTCTTCCCGGATACACCGACGACAAGCCTATCGATGCCTGGGGTTTAATCATGTTTCGGGAGTACGACCTCACCAAAAAGCGGGACGATTTCTGGGTCGTCCATACTCTTGCTAAGTACCTGACGATGCAATGGACTGCTCATCTGACCACACCTGTGATCCCGACATCACTAACGTCAGCCATATCCAAATTTTTAGCCGATAAAGTAGCTTGGCAGGTAAAACGAAATCGAATTGGATAAACAATAGTGTTGGCCATTTCATCGCATATCGGATAAAAATCAGTTTTTTCAATTTTCATTTACCAATAATTTATACAAATATTTTTTATTTTATTTTGTGATGTACTTTATACAGATCATTATTTTGGTTTTACGCCATAATCTTCGTCTTATCCCATCCGAGTCCACTTTCCCCAGAAGTCTCTATCCATGGCCATTTCTTTATTCACTCCACAGACTTCCATATCTTTATATTTTTCACATCTAACCACTTTTCCTTCGGTCTACTCTCTACCGTGATCTCTTACTTGTTTTCCTATTTTACTTTCCTTTTTTCTTTAGACAACTCTCAAAACATTAGAATCTGTTATCTCTCACAAAAAGGGTGCATTTGTTCGAAAAAAAAAGTTTACAATAAAAATAAAATAATAACCATTAAATCCAGGCATTAAAACAAAAATATTAAATTTAGTTATTGGCTTTAACTTATAGGGTATTCAAAGTTTTTGGGTACTAAATGACATCGAGTTTCAATATTTTTTTTTTATTTATAGTTTCTACTATCTAAAATTTGTCAGTTATATATGGAACAAAGCGCCAAGTACAAACAAACGTTTGAAGCGACCCTCTAGGATTTTTTTAAAAATAATCTCAGCTTTCCGAATAAATATTGATTTATTTTTTCTATTAATGGAAAGTCATTAAAACTGAGTATATAAATTTCGTAGAAAAGTCGAAAAAACGGAAAAATATCTTACTTTTACACATAATTTTTTTAACTATTTTGATTATTGCGGTCGTTTTTTCGGCTTTTCTATGAAATTTCACCTTTTTTTTGTTTTTCTGAGATTTTTTTTATGGAGAATCCAACTTGAAATTTACACATTTTATGTAAGATTATCACAGATTTCTGAAAAAATATTAGAAAAATTTTGGGCAACTCAAAAAAACCGACTTTTTAAATTATAAACTCAATATAATAACTTTTTGTTATTAATATGGTTTGTTATTGGTTATTTTACATAAGAAACTCATTTTTAATAATTATTTTTGATGGTCGAAGACACTATAAAAAAACTTTTCAAGAAAAAAACTAAAAATACTTTTTACAACCATGGCTAAAATAATAGAAAAAATTAAAAAAAAATTGAGGACATCCAATAAGAGACATGCAGTGTAATTTCCAAAATCTGAGGAAGGTCGCCCCAAACGTTTGAGCGTCTTTGGCGCTTTGACCGATGTACATTACTAAAACATCTGCTTGATATCATTTTAATTATTTAAAAATTAATTTTCAAAAAACTTATAACCGGATGATCAGGATTTATCGGTTAGGCTAGGAATTTTTGAAAAATCCTAATTTATAGCCTATAACTAATAAACAATAATAATAGAGAAACACCATAGAGATATGTCAATTATATTTCAGCTTGAAAAACCGGTGTTTAACTCGTACGTGAACGATATGTATGGGATGTACCTGGAGTTCGATAAGCCAGGAATTACGGAAGTTAAGTCCCAAATGGAAGCTTTGAATGCTACAAAAAGTAAATACCCGTGTATTGCGACAATCCATACTAAGTAAAAAAATATAATCGTTTTCAGTTCAATTCGTTTTGGAGATGTTAGAACACGTGTATGGACCGGAATCGTTTAGATATACCATGCAGTATTTTTTGGATAAAAAGTATGTTTTTTGTTATTGGTAATTGTAAATGTCGTTGCTTTTTATGTGAATCCATAATAATTATTAATAATCTCAATACTTGCCAAACAAAACGTAAAACATTAAATAATTGTACGTTTCGCGTACTTAGTCAACTTTTCCAAATTTTCCTACTGTATAATAAAGTGTACATTTTTTATTATATTCTAAAGAAAACATCAATATTTTACGGAAGCGGATTTGTGGTCTTCATTGACCGATAAGGCATACGATTCGAATGTATTGACCATGGTAAGTACTATAAACATGTATTTCAAGTGGTGCAGGACTCTAAAACTTAACATATTATTATGAATACCCGCACATCGTTTAAAGTCCAAATGTTTATTAACATAAACATTTAATGTTTTTATTAAAATTTGTAATATAATTCGTTCAACTAATAAAATAAAATATACCTAATCTTTAATTTACGTCCGGTTTATTTTACAAGTACCCTATCAAGATTTAAGGTAGTGAAATTTTAATTTGTTCGACGTTTTTGAAAGTGGAACTTTAATATTATTGTTAATGTTTCAAGGGAACATCTCCAGTTAGTATCGAACAAGTAGTTTCTCCATGGTTGCAGACAGATCGACTCCCGGTTGTCACGTTTAGAAGAAATTATAAAAACACCACTGTCCAGATTATGCAAGTAATAACATACGGTTAATTTGATAAAATTAAATTTGGTTTGTACATTGTTCTAAACATTTCTTACTGCTTTGTCTAATGACAAATTTGCAGGAACCATTTGTGTTGAAAGACGACGAAGACGACGTCTCGTCTCCGGCCAAAGTAACAAAAACTCATACATGGTGGATTCCTAACATTGTCGTTTCTCAGACCAATTTTACCGTATCAACAGACGACATAACTTGGTTGAAGCCTTTGTCGAGTCAGGAAATAGACTTAAAGCGATACAACTTTACTAACAACCAATTCATTCTATTCAACCCCGGTAGCTTAGGTAAGGCAACGAAACGAAAAGTAATGTCTGTAGAATAAGCACTATCACCTCTTGTGTTTTAATTTCAGGACCGTTTATCGTTAACTACGACCTCAAAAATTGGGAACTAATATCTCAATATCCCAGACGGTTTCCCGTCAAGATCCGTCAACAGCTGATACATGACTCTCTATCTCTCAGCCTATCCGGTCGCCTGTGTTACGTGTACGCCTTTAACGTGAGCAAAATCATCGAGCAAGAACCCGAACCGGCCGTGTGGAAGATTTACATCGGATTAGCCACAAGACTGAGAAGCAAGTTCCAGGGCACATCGGTGGCTCCTAAATACGACGTAAGCGTTTTAAAAAAATGGGTATAACGTTTTCTTTAACGTCAACGCCGGGGTTTTATTTCAGTTATATCTGAAAAAAATGCTGAAATCCGTCAACGCCGCCTTGGAACAACCGGAGAGAGGAGAATCGACCTGGAAGGCGCAATTCCGGGCCGAGAACAAGCGGCTTTTATGCGAGACCGGACACCCTAAATGTTTGATGGAAGCCCGTGTAATGCAGTCCAGGTTGAACATGTCTAACCCCGACGAAGATAAAATGTACGTTGTTTGCTCAAGTCATAAGCTTTCCAGAGTTGGCAAAAGAAAAAACACTAGCCAAGCAAATGTTTAATAATTTACCCCAAAATATGAATATCTGAATACTTAAAAAAACCTTAATGTGCTTAAAAAAAAACAGGGTTATTGCCAACTCTTGTTTTACACTAATTTCGTGTTTATAACTATTTCGCGGTAATATACAGATTTTTGGACAACTACTTGTGCATCCTGCTCGGATTCGGTACGCTTGACGAATGGGAATTCGGATTGCATAGGATTATGTACTACCCAAAAAACAAGTCACAGACAGAGAGATTGTTCATTTTCAGATCTTTGGCAAGCTGCCCGAAAAACGAAACGAAATTCGTCAGGTAAACTTATTTTTAATTGTTTGAAATCAAACAAATAAATTCATTTTCAACGGGTTTTTGTTTTGTTAAAAAAGAATGTTGAATTTGACGTTGATGAACGACGATCGTAAGTTTAGCGAAGAAGATATCCTGACAATGTTGACAGTCATGAGCACAGTATCTTTAGGACACGAGACTATGTTTAACTTTATGATGAAAAACTTCGAGTACTTGAGCACTAAGTAAGAGTGTATATACGTGTGCTCGAATAGATAGTATAGCTGTAGCGATGTTAAAATGTTTTATTGTTGTATGCACAGGCTGGAGAAAAACGTTTGGGAATACTTTGTGAAAACTTCGTTTAGCCACTTTAGGACGGAAGAAGGACTCGATAAGGTTATTATGCAATACCCGAGCCCCAATAGACGTATGTTGTACAACTTTGAGAATATTTTTGCTTATGCTCTTGCAGGCTAACGAGTTTTATCAACGAAACAAGCGTCATTTTGTGTCCGTCGACGTTATCGTGAAGGACGGATTGGAAAAAGCCAGGATTCAAGTGGAATGGGTGAAGAAACATCTGAGTCCATTGGACGCCTGGTTGACAAACGCCCTACAAGAACCGTGGATTCCCCACGAGTTCAATTTCAGAGATGTGCCATCGTTCTTAGCCGGGTGAAAAAGAAAAAAAGAAAAAGAGTATAATTTTATTGAACATCATCACATAATAAATATAATTTCATATTTGTATACGTTCTTATGATATAAATTTTAATAAACGCTTTTAGAAAGTAAAATATTTTACAACATATATACTACGACGGATTACCATTTGAATGATGCGTTTTCGTTTATTATAGTAGCTATTTCCAAACTTCCGATGAAATCCTTGTACGATGATTGTTTAGAAATATGTACAGTGAGTTTGCCCGAGTGTTGCTAAAAAAAACCAATGTATTAATGAGAATGTCAGAATTCAGTGGTGGCAATGTACTTATATTTTTTGGAGTGCTGAACCACCGTAATTGCAAAAATAGACCACCACCCTCATAGGCATCATATTATAAAAAACCTTATGGGACTCTGATAATTGTAGGGGGTACTCTTTTCACTGTATCATAGTCGCTACTGTTCCAGATCAACAGTTTAAAAAAAACAGTGTAATTATACATACTTTTTCGAAGTTGACACACGTATCTAATATATCTGCGGCGGATGGTCGTGCAATGATCGTGTCGGCCGCCAATTGCGTGTCGTTGGGGACGAAGTCTCTTATTGCGGTTAGTTGATTTTTCAGCACGTCCTCCGAGTAAGCCACATCTCCCTAAAAATCATTGACCCGGGTAAAAATAAAGTATAACTAATAATATTAAACGGGTTCTACCTCTTTCTGGGCAAATTGGTCTAGGACACTGAAACCCGCTTTGTCTAACAGTTTCAATCGTTTTTCGTTGTCGTACGGAGTGCCATCCAACAATATCAGGTTGACAGTGTCGCCAAAACCCTCGATTATCTTTGTTAGTTCCACGGCGACGTTTCCGCCCCAAGTCTCACCGATAATTGTGAACGGTCCTTGGGGCTGGATTTGTTTCAAAGGCTATAAACAGAAAAGGTACATACTTTGCCAATTGTCACGAATTGGAGATATGCTTGAGGACTTTTTTTTACCCATAATAAGCTGAGGGCCGCGTTTTCAATAGTGTTAACGTACGGCGGGAACATGGCACAGAACACGGGGTGCATGATTTTACTTATTAGCGGTTGTATTCTTTTGATTCCCAATCCAGGTATTATGAATACTGGCAGCAGACTATTCTTGTCGGTATGCTGTAACCCTTTGGATATGCACTTTTCAAACTTGGGATAATCCGGTAAGTTTTTGTTGAGATCGAGGAGTTCGGCGATCGAGTTGGGTAAAAATTCAGTCAAGTCGTTAACGTTCACTGTACAAAAACGAATGTAACAATGTAATATAATATGAACTTATGTGATCTCGGCATAGTCTTTGACGAACTAACCGTCTTTGAGTTGAACGTCCGGTGAATTGCTGACAATAACTGCTACGGGCTTAGGATCGTCTGTAGATTCAATTAGGTCATTCATACAATTAAAAACGGCTTCTGGTCTGCGTAAGAACTTATCGCATTGCAAGTTAATACATTTTGAATTGGTATCATTTCTCGACTCGCAAACTTCGGTAGCATCGCTTTGCATGCTCACAAAGTACTTCAAGTCGGGTACAATATGTTTACAAGCGCTATCGACGTTTTTCAGTTTTTCTTTGCTCTATATAAAAAAAAAAGGCGCAACAAATAGATTAAAAATACTATACTTGTATTTATTTACTTTGAGAACGCTAACTTTACCGTTTCTATACAAAATACTGCAGCGATTTTTGAGTAGGACGTAAGATCTCGTAATAATCGTTCTCCTTCTTTGGGCGCGTTGAATCTTTCGGCCGATGTCATGATGAACGATACGTCGGGGTGTTGTTGGATTAACGAATAAATGGTTCTTTGGTTTCTTCTCATCACCGCCGCGGTCCCGTCAATAACGAATATCAGTCTTTTGACTTCTTGGCGCAGCAGCCAGGTCACGGTTTTTAGCCACAGGTTCGATGTAGATCCCATAACGATATAGGATTTATCTTTTTCCACGAACATTTGATCTTGATAGTTTGACGGGATCGACAATGCAGATTCTCTCGTAGTTGTATTACTTTTTAAATGATAAATAATATTTTACTTATTATAATACTGTACGAATATAAACAGACGTATTAAGAGGTTTTAACTCACCTGTTTTCGAGGTCCACGGAACTTGGTTCATTCAATTTGCACACTACACCGTCTACAATACCTTTATTGACGAGCTCCTTGAGATGGGTTTTTATTTCGTCCGGAGAATTGACTACGTGCATCAAGTCTTTGGCCCCATACATTGCAATGTTTTTTAAAAACAGTCCCATACCTGTCGAAATTAACACTTAGTATCAACGATTTCCTTGGCGATATTCTATCATTAATTCTAACTGAATTCATACCAAATTTAGTATGAGCTGTTATATCCTGTTCGCCAATGTGTACAAATACTCCAAATTTCTTAACGCATCTCATCGAAGCGCTTAAGTATTTACTAGGCACAGAACTGATTACCATTCTACATCCCTTATAATTGGTCAGACTTAAAAGTTGGACCTCGAATCTGTTGTTATTCAATTCGAGAATTTTATCAACGGACAGCTAATGATAAACAGTTAAAGCGATATTTTTATCCATCCAACTTACAGGTAAAATTATTTTATATTACTATTTACCTGAGGGAAAAATTCTTGCACAAATTTAGTTTGCTCCCTATTGTAAGTAGAAACGAATAACTTACAGCCATAACTTAAAGCTACCCTGATAAATGCTTGTCCAATAGGCGAGCTCGCATCGTGCACAAATATTGTGTTTCCAGATTTGACGCGAGCGAGAATGACCAAATAGTAGTAGGCCTAAAAAATTATAAATTCATTATTATTAATATTATAGGTTTTCGTTTAAAAAGCAAAACAAATTTACCATTGAATAAATGGTCGGTAATTTTACAGCTTCTTCCATAGACCATTCGGGTCTAACATACCATTTAAGTACGTCATCGATTTCGAAATGTTTTGATTTAGAAGAATACTTTAAAATTCCCATCACATTCTTTCCGTCTTTGTCAATTCCTGAATATTGAGTGCATTCTTCCTCGTCCTGTAATTTTGCAATGTAAATAAAAATAGTTAAAAGTTATTATTTCTAATGAGTGTTAATTTTGGCTCACAATTTTTTCATTTTTCAAGATTCCTATATACTTCACTGATAACTCACTGAAAAAAATGTAAGTTCTATAAAATGCAAATCAATTAAACTATAAACATGTTATTTATAGTAAACTAACCTGAGTTTAGAGATACTATGTTCAATATTTTTCGAACAAGTGATTGGTTTTTTTGTACATGGAAGCACAATATAACTACCCCAAGTCTCCCCTCTTAGAATATTTTGTCTTAAGCCTTTAAATAACTGTTCTCTAAAGAAGCCGTTCGTTAAGTCAAATATAGGTGCACTTTTGGAAAGAATAATATATCTGGAAAACATTTTTTTTCGTTTTAGAGAAAAATCTATTAAGCCTACCCGAGTTATTATTGTTTTGAATAAATAAACCTGAAATAAGACGCATTGTTCATCTCCTCAATTTCATTGACTACTTTGATGGGACATTCTGAATCAATTTTTACTAAGACTATCGGCATATTAGAAGTTAGAAATTTTAGCCCCTGTTGCATACATTCTTTCCAAGAACTATGTTTTGTGGACACTTCCATGATCTGATTTGGTAGTGTAACACTCGGTGTTATAAGATGATAAACGGAATCTTGGTATTCTTTCTGAATAACGGTTGTATATTCTTCGTCGACAGTTGTACTTTTCTCTAAAACAAATACTCTCCCAAGACACTTCTTAATGTCTTGTTTTAGATCATTATTTAAGTGTTCAGTAATCAATAAAATAACATCACTTTGTGTCAAGTTTTCTAATAAGGAATGCGTGTAGTCATCAATATCTTTCTAATGAAAAACAAAAATAAACAGTAAAATAAAAACTAGCAACAATAAATATTAATAATTATTTGTTTATGACAATGTCGTTTGTAGGCTACCTTTAAGTATGGCTGAATTTCATACAGTTTGCGGAGAAACACAGTAAATTTAGCATCGTATAGTTTTATTTTCAGGTTCATATTGGAACGTTTCGAATCTTTTACTATTTGCAGACAAGCACTGAGCAGTTGAATGAAATTCTATACAGAACATAATATTATGACATTTTTGATAATAACAACAGATATTACCGTTTTTACCTGAATATTTGGGTTAGGTTGGCTAACAAATTGAACTTTTTGAATTTGTAAATCTAAGACCGGTGGACAAATATTTTGAAAAACAGAAGTTTTCAAACACTCAAGCTCCAATCCGGGTCCTCGAATGACGTTTGTTCGGAAGTTGAACGTTACAAAAACCATAGATCCTGCCGAAGTCGTTGACATTTTTTCTTTGTCGATAATAAGACTCCTAAACCAGGACGGTAGCAAAGGGTTTGTATTGGACGATTCGTGATCAGCAAACATTTTAAGTTGCATCATGGTGTTTAAATTCAAGTTCAAATCGTTTGACCATATGACTTTAGCGATATAACCTAAAAACTTGTAAATCATTTAGTCGTGCATTCATAAAACAGACATAAATATAGTGTACTAAGAAAATTGTTTTAAAAAAAAACTGAATACCTGTGTTTTGAACTAGAATTTTCTGAATAGTGTTGTATGGAGCCGAAATGGCAATACCGTTTTCAGCGAGTGTCCCGTACACCTCATTGTCGTACACCCATTCGGTTTCATTGTCTACTTCATAAACAGTCGGTGGTTCTGGGCTTATTAAATGATTCTCGTCGTGTAAGTATATGTCTCCAGTCATTAAAACATCTCGCGATGAAATCACTTCGAATAAACCGGATTCGATTTGAATTTGACTGTAAAAACCTTTGGATTCTGCAATAGTACATTAATAATTGTATTGGAGTATTTATTATTCAAAATATAATCTAGATTTAGGTATATCAACCATTTGCCGAAACCACTAAAGGGGTGTGGACGAAAATGTTTTCAAAAACTGTTTGACACGATTTCGAAACCAAGTCCGGTTGTTTTTTTTCCAACGAATGCAGCACTTCTGTCTAAAACAACAAAATATGCTTAATGTATGGTACACAGTCTTGTTTCGGTTTACATACGACAAGAAACGACATGGGCACTACGGCTGAATCGTTGATTTTATGCCCCAATAGATGTCTCGATTGCTTGTCTCTCAAGCACATGTACACATAGTCTAAGTCGAACTGAAACGATATATTAATATTACAGTGTGTACAGCACACTCGTGGGCACAGAGTATCTGATGGTAAAAACTAAAGACATATATTTTTTATGTTGTTAGCTCTTACAGGATCGTAATGTGTGTTGATTGGCCAAGTCTCTTCGTGATTCCACGAGACGAGAGGTGCCAAACTAGGAGTACATCTTGAAACTGGGTATTCCGGTTGAGGATAAATTGAATTTAGGTTTACTTGAAGTCCGCTAGTGTATAGCTCACCGATGGCGTTTAAGAAGTGTTTCAGTGGACTTTTACTTCCCCGTTTAGCTAGTGAAACGACTTTACACGAGCTGTCTAATTCGGACTTGAGAATCCCTTGGAAGAGTCCGTGAGGAGCTATTTCGATTACAACAACGTTTTTCGGCACTTTCTGTATTGCTTCGGCAAACAAAACGGGACTTTTAAAGTTGTTCGCGTGATATTCTCCACGATTCCATTGTGCTAAGTCACTATTCCATTTGGACTCCGGTACCGACGTCGATATCCACTTGGACGACCTGCGCGTTGGGTTCGGTACAGTCTAAAATCAGGTTAGGTGTAGCTTAGTGTAGTATGTGCATTTTTATTAGAGTCGTTTAATTTAACTCGAAGTTTATTCTATTTCTCTGGGACAGTTATTTGAACTCGAAAAATATGTACATAATTTGAAAAAAAAGAAAAATATTACCAAAAAAAAAAAGGAATTACTTTATTGATAAATTTTTTTACGAACTCTGCCTGTCGTTTCACCATCCTCGAGTGATATGCAATACCGTTTGAGTTCACTTCTCTTACAAATACATTTCTTTTTTTTAGTATTTCAATGTAGTCTTCCACGTCTTTTCGCGGGCCAGATATAGTTACGTTTTCTTTAGAATTATGACACCCTATATCAATACTAGGCGGCAAATCAATTAAATCATTGTAGCTTAAACCTAAATAAACAAGCCGGGTGTTATGATTATTTTGAACGTTATTTTTTTTATATTTAATTCAATCACACTTACCTACCGCTGCCATCAATCCTTCGGATGGTTTTAAAAATTCTGCTACTTTCCCTCTTGCGAAAGCAGCCATCAAGGCACCATATGAATCAAAACAACCATCGGCGTATGCACATCCGTTTTCCCCTAGTGAATGACCAAACATACCGTCCGGATGAATGCCAAGCTCTGCCAATACATCTACAAACGCTATCTAAATATAACAAAATATCCAAAATAATCTAAAATTTTCTAATAATAAACTTATTGATTATTAAAAATACATTTGTTTATTACTTACATGCATGGTTGCAATAGCTAAGAACGATACTACAGGCTTTGATTTAAGGACTTCGGGATCAGGGTTTGTTAATATATCAACAATGTCGAATCCGATTGGCTTGAGGAATTTATCACACCGATTCACACTTGCGGCAAAGCGCGGTATTTCCATTAGATCAGATGCCATACCTGGCCATTGAGATCCCATGCCACCAAAAACGAACCATACTGGTCGGTTAATTTGTCCGTTTTCCTAAAACAAATGCATTGTAAAATAATTGGTAGAACAACCTCGTTTGAAACTTACTTCTAAGCCAAATGATGGTGCAGCTTTCGTGTCTAATGTTACATAACCTCTATTGAAATGACCAACAATGTTTTCCCTAAAAACGTTTTGAATAAGTCCCAAGTACTCATCGTCTCTAGGCATTGATTTAACTATATCAATTGCTTCGGCGAGTCCTTTTGCAGTTCTAGATGAGAGCAGAACTAGTCTTTGACTATTTCCCAATTGACAATTATTTTTGGCTTTAGGATTTTGCTTAAGCAAAACATGACCAATGGATGACGGCAAACCTAAGCTAGTAGTGGCGACATAAGGCCCATCTAATTTTGTTGGTTCGGTAACTACCTGTGATATTAATTATTAATTTTGTTTTAAAAACGTGATAAGGTCCCTAGTAAAATCACACACTTCGTTACCTTCATTTTTCTTTTTTTCAAGGCGTTAATTTTCTGATTAGGTAATTGGAAATTTATGTTGGGCGGTATTATACCGGAATCCAACGCTATTAGAGCCTTTACTACTGAAATCAAACTAGACGCTCCCTCAGAATGTCCCAAGTTGCTTTTAACGGAACCTATTGGTAAAGGCGTTGTTCTATTGTCGATGCAAAATATTTCAGATGCCGCGTTGAGTTCTTTTTCTTCATAATACTAAAAATCAACAAAATGTATTCAGGCATGATATTCGGTCAACATATTATGATGACCGGCTGGCTAGGGATACCTTGCAACCAGATCCATCGGCCTCTAAATAAGAAACGTCCTCCGGCGATACTCTACAGCTATTGTAAAAGTCTTGATAAAAGTCTCTCAATGAATCTTCAGTAGGTTTGACGAGATTCAAAGCTTTCTCCATGCAAACGCGAGAACCGGCGTGTACGACTGTTCCATAAGAACGCAGTGCTTCGGTAGAACGTTGCAGGAATAACACAACAACTCCTTCGCTCCGGCCGTACCCGTTAGCTATACAAACATCCACCCAAAATGTTATGGTTGCCGATAAAAAGAATTGTTAGAGTTTACCGTTTTCGTCGAAAGACCTGCAAATGCCATCGTCACTAAGTCTGTCCAATCCCATCCAGTGTTTCGCCATGTCCGGATACCATATAATATTAGTCACTCCGACGAGGGCCGACTTCACTCTACCTTTTGCCACGTCTTCGACAGCCTGTCTTAAGATTTCTATACCACCGATAAAGGACGAATCTATCGTAAAACTAGGACCGTTTAAGTTTAGAATGTTGGAAACGCGATTGGCCAGCAGTGCTCTGACGTGTGCTAGAAGCCAAAATGGAGTGGTGAGTTTTCCGTCACATCCGACCGCCTCGCTGTCACTGACGCACGAAGCTGTGTATACTGAAGTCATTGATCCATTCAAGCTTTTCGGATTCAGTCCTCGTCAGGGGATTAGACAAACAAGAAATAGTTAATTATTTTAATTCAATAATGCTAACTATAAAAATAACGATGGTTCTAAAAACTTAAAATACCTGCGTCAATAACAGCTTCAAAACTTCTTTCTATCAGAACTCTGGTCAACGGATCCATCTGTTTCACTATTCTCGAATTGATACCTATGAATGTATCGTCTAATTTTTGCGCAACGGAGACTTTACCCGTAGCCGTTGGAACTCCTGGCCAATCATCTGAAATTATTAAAATGGGGTTAGGATTCAATTTCAGTATGCAAACAAACGTATTAACTACAATATATCTTATTTTATATAAAATAATAAAAGCTGAATTAAATGACGATGTAAAAGACATGGAAGTGTGTGTAGTAGATAGACAAATCGTAGGTTTAGGAAAAAACCTAGTTATTTTCTCCGCTGTACGGAATAAACATTTAACCTTGGATATACCATCTCTTATCTCTTATTAATAATTTCTTATCAGGTATCTCTTATCTATATTTTCTTATCATTTATCTCTTATCTATAATTCCTTATCACTTATCTACAATTTCACATAATTTATCTCTTATCTATAATCTCTGATATCTTATCAGTTATCACCAATCGCTTATCACTTATTTTTAATCTCTTATCTCTAAATGAATGTAAAAGTGTAACGCGAAAATGGCGACAAGAAATTTCTTGTATCCAGTCCAATAATATATCCATATTAAAAGAGTTTTATAATTAAAATGATGAGAGCTAAAAGAGAACAAATGGTATTTCCTCCCTCAAAAACGTGTTTTGTTCTTACAGAATATATTATTAAAAAATTTTTTTTTCTCTGTCTTTGTTTTACAAATTTTCCTCTATTTTAAAAGAAAATAATCAACATCGACAATAAGATCACCTAACTGTAAAAACCCAATGTAATTTTAAATGCCATGTAAGTTATAATTTATTATTTACTCACCTGTAAAATATTTTATAAATCATTTATACCAACACTTTTAGTTCTCATCACTTCAATTAGCAATATATCGGTATTCCTTTTTTTGGGGCTCAGATTAAGTACGGGTACAAAACACATTTTACTCTCTAACTAAAAAAAAGTAATCTAAAATAATCCAATTCTGGGAAACATTTGATTTTGAAAAAAATATTTTTTTAAGGTCTTTCAGTGAGTAAAATTTGATAAGGGCTCTTGGGTTTTAAACCACATTTTATTTAGTATTACATCGTGATACTGGTGATGATATTACGTATTTTACTGTGTATCTTTTTTAACCAATAATTATTCAAACCTATTTTTTTGTAAAACATTTTCGCTATAATTGCTGAATTTTAAGTAATGTACACAAATGTTGAGTAATTGAGATTATTAGTTTAAGAAATTTTGTTTGAGGAATATGTAAACATCGCTCATCCGAAAATAGAAATACTAATATTAATACTATTTTATTCTATGTCCACAAAATAGTGAAGGGCAAAAGGAATTTTGGAATAGAAGGAAATTTAAAGATAAAGAGAACTAGGAAAGATGTTCTAAATTATTTTTTATCATTATTAAATAAAATTGTTTTAGAGAATCAAATTTACTGATTTTTGTAATAATTGTTTCTTAAGATCATTATGTAAACCATTCAAATAAAATAATAATTATAATAATAATAAAGCAATAATTAGTTATCTAATAGAAACTATTTTTTTACTTGGAAATATATAAAAATAATATTTGAATTATATACTTTTGTTCCATCTGCAATCGTTAGACGTAACCATGTTGACTTTGTTAAATAAATTGGTTTTGAGCTCTTCTATGTTTTCAGACTTGGGAAATTTACCGCCCACGCCGGAGATGACGACTTCGAAGGAATCTTCTTTATTCTTGTCCATTTTTGCGATTGATGAGTACAGCGCGTCAAATTTAAACTGTTTTATAACAATTAAAAAAATATATATTGTACACTGAAAACTGACTGCACTTCACGCTCGCAGAAACGACCGACGGAAAGGAACATGAAAATACGACATGAGCGCATTGACAGTTAGTAGGGCGCACCTGATTAACAATGCTAACGAATGAGTTCAATAATAAAGCGATGGACAGCGTAATACGGTTCGGTGTGTGTGTATGTATAGCTATTATCCCCTAAAAATGGAAATGAACCGTTTACAAGCTGGAATTTAAAAAGGTCAAGGAATCAAACCGATAACGGAGGAAAACACAAGCGTTTCTTATTGAAAAAAAAAATAATTAACAAGTCAACTATTTATGTGTACCTTAATATAGGCATTACCTCTTTACCTCGTTGGTACTTAATGGAAATTTATTTCAAATGCGTCATTGTGAGGGTTAACAATTATTAATACCGAATGCTTACAGTATTAGTTATGAAGTCTGGCGGGTTTTTATGGGTTTTCTATTTGATTTAATTGATGTTCCACTGAAACAGCGTCGATCACTACCTACAATTACCGCGTGAGGTCAATTTCACAATAATAATTGTTACTATTTATACCATAACTGAGTGACATTGTTGCAGGATGTACGACGGTTCTCGTACGACGCGTGTCGTATATTATATAAATATATGCAAACCGTATAATTATAATAATGCTATACGCCGTCATGGGTTTACCTAAGCGCTTAACTAAATCATAAATAATATATTGCTTTAACAAAACATCTCTAAGGGTTTTTGCAAATTCGTTGCGCACGAGATGTAAAACAGCTAGAATATTATTACAATAGTAATACAATATTATACAAGTTGATTTTTCTTTTTACCGTCCCGTCATCGATATCCTGTTACCGGTGTATACATAAATCCCTGGCACGCATTGCACTCAAAATAATATACACAACACGGTACGGTAGAAACACACACCCAGGACCACGGCTAAGGCAATAGGGACGGTTTGTAATAGGTTTTTACCAGCGTTAATGAATTAGCAAACACGCAACCTTTTAAGTGGTCCAGCCCTCGAAGCTCGCCCCGGCATTAGTGCGGTTGCTGTGCTGTTAGTCGTGGCTGTTATTAATATTATGATGATTATTACCGTCACTATTATTACGTGTTGTGATTAATAACCCGGCATCCGACTAACGGTGTGAATAAACACGTTGCGTATCACCTGCGGTTCACATTGACTAATAACCGACTATTAAGGGATCTCGCCTCCGCCGGCGCACGGGTAGACCGCGTGTACAATGCACAGCCGTCACCAGACAGGGACCGTAATGGTAAAAAATATATTATTAAAAAAAACGGCCGGTATAAAAAATAAAAACCTTATTGTAATAAAAGATCTGGAACATAACTCACCGGGCTAGAACTATATTGTGTAGATACATTTTGAAATTCCAACATTGGTTAACCAGTAGAAAATACCGTTTCGTTAAAACGAAAAAAATGTTTCCACTATATAAAGCAATATAGTCGAAGCTCAGAAGTGGGCGCTGATACAAAATCTTGGTTCATCCATAAATTATAGTGCACATACAAAATCACATATTGATAAAAATGTATGTATTTATCAGTTACGTACAAAATAATTATAACTTTTATGATAATATGCATAATTAATCAATTTAATATAACTCAGACTTACTTGTTAAGACACTTGGACCAATTATTATAATTTGATAATTTTGATCGTCTCTATCGACACATCAAAAACCATCAGGTCTATAATCATTCAAACAGTTTCGAATCATTTTCAACAAATAATAATAGTTAAGTAAAACCAGCTGTCTTAGACTTAGAATTGCAAGATACCAAAATAAATTTCCATATGTACAGTATTCTTGTTTACTTGAGTCCGTCTTAAACAGGTCTTGGTGCATTACCGTTATTCCATTTTGTTTTACCAAAAATTACTATAAATCGTGTCATCTTGAAAAAATACGAGTATATTATACGTTAAGTATATTATGGTTGGACGAAACAGTAAAAACTAATAGTAGTATTAAAAACTAAGAAAAATACGGGTATTATACAAATTTCAATTAATTTCCCAGCAAGACCAGTCGGAAGGGGGTTTTAATGTTTGTATCAAATAAAAATGAATTCATAATTTTATTATTTATAAAAATAACATTTTTCTATATTGCATTGGCGCAAACAAGAGTTGGAGAGTGGGATGTTACTTTATAAGGGTAATTCTAAAGTTAAGTTAGGACTGGAACATGTCGAAGTACGACGAAGGTATTTTTAAATACTAAAAATATTTAAATACATTTTTTAAGATAACAATGAAACATGCTTCTTCAGGTAGCCCCTTTTTTTAATATTATAATATGAAGTGTTTAGATTAATAAAACCAATGTCTTGTAACTAAACAATTTTTATATTTGACCAAGGTTTTTTAAAAATGCTTTCAATAATGTTTCGATAAAACGTCGAATAGTTTTTACTGTAATAATTATAGCTCCAATTTTATGCAGGTGAACACCGCATTATACGCTCACCACTCTCTGTAGTCTTTACCTTAAGTTAGGTCAGGTGAAGTTAAGATTAAGAAACCTAACCTAACCGTAATTATAAAAAATTTCCGGACCGGACTGTAGGAAATATTAGAGTGATAAAATCACTCTTAATAACCTGTTTTAATGCGAATCTGTAGATGGTACAAATATTAAATATCGATAAAAGTCTTTGCAATGGCAATATAATGTGCTTAACATTGTATATTGAGTATTAGGGTGGATACGATTAGGGTTGAACGTTTGTCTATAATCATATGTTAACGTTGTTAACCCATGTATCGTAATTAACAATTTAATGAAAATATTTTTCTGATATTTGTTGACTGTTAATCTTCCCAACATAGCAACCTGTTTTTTTGAGAAAATTATATAACAACCCCCCCCCCTCCTTAGATAATACTTTAATTTAATTTTTAGACCTAAAATTCAAAAAAACTACTCTCGAAAAAGTGAAATAAAGAAAGTTGTAGTTTTTCACAAGTTTTTGCAAAACAAATTGAAACCATAAGCCGAGGTAATGACTGTATGCGTGAATCACTGTACACATGTTTCTAAAACAACACGTTAGAGTAAATCGTTTTCAGTACAATAATGTGCTTTAATTTTTCGAATTTCCTTCAATTTATGATTTATCTAAAATGGACCAAACAGGTTAAAATTGCATGTTTTATTAGCAATTATTCCTTTTTAAAACAGCTTAATACAGGACATTTGTCGATTTTTCCTGGATTCTGGTCAACTGTTCAAACACTTTTATATCCAACACGGTTAGGGTAGAAAGAAGCGTACCATAACTGGTGGGCAGGGTAGTATGCGCGGGTGCTGTGCATCTATAGGCGGAGCGTTGTGCCACGCCTTCTGGTCGTTGCGTTCATAAAAAGGGTACGAAGGGATTTGAGCAATAACAACATGGACAAAAGTGCCCGTTCGGTCCGTGGAAAATAAACGTGTCGTAAACACCTGTTTTTACCTGTTTGTTGTCCCGATAATAACTCCAAAGATCATACCGCCACGGCGCCACCTCCCCTCAAACTCCCTTGCCAACCGACACAGCCTTAACACAATTTTTAAACCGCCGGTTAAGTGCAAACTCCTTTTAACTCGACTCCTAAAAACCTTCCCACGGCACTACACTTATTATAGTGATGATAATACACAACTCGAAATTATCTAAGTACCAGACTCTGACATCATAACCAATAATAAAAAGCTTCGCTATTCCGTGATTTATGAATAAATATTGAACTGTGAACAACTTAACTTTACAATAATAAATATATTTCATAAAAGTACTTACACTGAAAAGTTGGTAAAGTTATGGCAAATGGGTGTTTTATTGTATTTGATCTTATAAATTTAATATTATATAATATATTTATTGACAAGTAACCACATAGGAAATTATATAACCTACAAACTTTTGCACATGTTATTTATAAAATACGGTAGTGTATTACAGCGCAACTCAATTTGTACTGTGAACAATAAACGACTATAAATAATATTTTAGATTTTTAATTTCTCGACTACCAAAGAACCAAAACTTAACGTTTTAAATTTAATACTAATATTTTGTTTTTACTTTTCCTGTCATCTTATGCACGAATTCAGTAAATTGCCACTAAGTTATCAAATGTTTTACATTATAGTTTATACACAATATTATTAATTTAAGTATTTAATAGGCATATTGCAATATACTATTTTAATTACTATAATGTCTATTTTGCTATACAAGTAACTTTGCTATAATTTAAAATTAAAATAAAGTTATATTCTGGCTACTAAGTTTAAGGCGTTTGATCATTTTTGGCCCTATACTTTCAGAATACATATTAATAATTACTTACGAAGAAAACAAGGATATCGAAGCAACACCTTTAGTTGTTTACAATGTATCTCATTACCATTGCCATTATCTATTAAAATGTCGGTAAATATTACACAGCTATAATTGATCTTTGCTGTTAAAATCATCTAGCATCATATAGCTGTCTATTATAAGCTAAGATTAAGCTCTCTCCAGATCCAAAACTAAATACAACATATTCATACTGTTAATAGTAACTATTATGACTTTGTTTAAAATAATATACCTACCTAATAAATGTTCATAATCGCACATCAAAAACCTTACACTGATCAAAATTAAGTCTATAATGCTAGTACTGTTGCGTACTTTTGAATAAAAATGTGTTTTTAATTCACGTCATCAGTTTTGTTCTATACATAGTTTATACCAGTTCCTACTTATAGATAGGTATGGTAATTCAATTTCAAATATTACACAACATAATATAAAAAGATGAACAACAATTATTGACCGCGCATTAGTCTTTTTTTATTTCTTATTTAATTTCTAGTATGCTCAGATGTATTTGTTTATTGGGAATTACAAACATATTGTACTAATAAGTTAAAGTATGAAAATATTTCTGAACTTATTGAAGCCGTATAATTGAGGCATTACGAGTTTACTTCAGTGGCCGCCCGCTTAGAAATAACGTAAAGAACTTATATACTTGTTCGTTTGAAATGCAGTTTTAGCGACTTTTAATGAATTCTTTCGGTGTTAAAGGAAATAATAATAACTTTATAAATAAATAAACTGAATAATAAAATAAATATAATTATTACTATTACTATTATAAATATGTAAATGGCTGTATAAATAGTCCACAGGCATAGTTATGAAATACGGCAAGATATTATGAAAACGATGTGGACGTAACGAACATAATAATTTTATAAGCTTGCGTCCAAAATAGCGGGTTGCCAGAAAAATAAGTGGCGTGGGTAATTTATGTATGATAGCTGTTTTTCTTTCATTGCTTCAGTAAAGATTCGGTAAAAATGATTATAAAATTTACTCATATTTGCCACCTATACACTATGCATTGATTTTAAACCGCTGGCTAGAAAAATAAACATTATTTGAGAACAGTTTCTATTGTTATAAACGTCGAAATCGAAAACGCATTGCGTCTACAACAACTGCGAGCATGAGCGTAAATGGATTGTGTATAGGGTGAACGCGTTTACCCCGCGAGGGATGAGGAAGTGACAACAAAAGGGACGAAGAGCTTTTAGGTCGTGTATAACTGATTATTGGGTCTTAATGGAAACGGCCATTTGCCGAAAACGGTCTAAAACGCCCGTTGCCCAGGAGACCGCGGTATCGTGTCTGAAGGATGTTGAGAACTTTTACAAGGTGTAAAAAGGACCTGTGCGAGTGGATGGGAGAGATACGTGGTGGCAATAGGAGGGGAAAGCCGCACAAAGGGTAGGCGGGAAAACGGCCAAAATGGATAAACGAGGGATAAACTTTAAAACCATTTTAGTTTAACGCGTTTCACTCTCAGCAGATTTTCACGTTTCATTTTACTCACTTCTTTGGCTCCGCCAGTCCGCTTTAGTGTTCTTTTATGTACCGTTAAGGTTTATTTCATTTATTTAATGGCATTTATTTCCCAGTCGGTGGTAATATAACGGTTTGATTTTTTTGTTCTATCTATCGCTACGTCGTAATTGCTATTTTATATAACAGGTAATATATTAAACAATTTTAATTAGGTATAAGTAGTACATAGTTGGTTTTTTTGGCGAGGATAGGATAACATTTACTTAGCGGAGATAATACATTTTAAGTATATATTTTCAAAATATATTATTTTTTTTAAATGTACATGTTTATCTAATACAACTGAAAGGAAATGCAGGTTCAATAAATAAAATAAAACGTAGGTGTAATGTCATCAATTGGGAATACTACTAACACAGATATAACTTTTTCAAAAGATACTTTTCTCTTTTCAGTTATAAATTATTATTATTATTAATTGTAATAGTTATTAATCAATTAGGTGTCTAATAATTTTTTTTACCGTAATACAGTTATTTTTAAATTAAAAATCGCATTAAAAAACAAATTAAACTTACTTTAGTGTTATAATTTTTCAGTACCTAGTACCTCTATTAATATTAAAACATTACCAATTGACCTGTAAAGTAAATAACAAAATTGATCTCAGTATGAAAATTTAAATGGTCATTTACAAATTACATAAATAGTAACAGTAATAAGCTATGCCTACTTCGCGCTTTTATTAGATTTTATAAATCTTTTAAATTACATCATACTTAAAATTTGTAAATGTAAACATATGGTAAATAATATTTTAATCGTTAAATGGTGTCCATAAAATGTTTTAAAATTAAAAATGTTTAAATCTAAAAAAGTTTTAATCGATTGAGGACTCAGTGTATATAGCCTCAGATCTATACGTCATCCGAGTAATTGTATTTTTAAAATACAAGAAGACTAGAGTACTTAAAATAGTTATTATAATAATAATAATGTAATACACGGTGTTCGGTGTAAGACAATCAGGCTCTACGGGCTGTTCGCTTAATTTGAGGCGGGTGGGAGACATTACAACTTAAGAAGTTATATCAAACGTACTTTAAAATGATAAATATTTTAAAAACAAAATGAAAATCATGCCAAAAATTGTTTTTTTTTTAGCAATTGTCAATGGATACATCCTCTGATTCGGATGGTGTCCATTCCTCTGGTTACGGGCAAATATCATACGGCCCAGGTTACGGCGATCCTATTAAGTCTCCTTCGCGTCACTCGGAATCGTCTAGCAGTGACAGTGTCGATGAACCACGTACCAAACCTCATCATAAGTTTTCAATAGATCGTATCTTGGGACGGTTTAGCGCCAGCGGAAATGGTGTCGCCGGTGCTGAACCATCGGACTCGGAAAGGCCATTCCGTGTGGAGCCACTGCGAGCAGGCAAGTCAATATATTTTCGCCAAGTTAATCGATTAATGATAAAATGAACTCGTTTGTCGCCACAATTTTAACAATAATACATATTTTCTGTAATAGGCGTAGTACAAAAAAATATTATATTAATAATATTAATATTAATATTTAGTTAATAGTTGGCCTAACTATTGGCTGTATGGCTGTAAGCTGTTGCTTTAAATTTTTTAAAATCGCCTACACGGAAAAAAATACAAAGTTGGATCAACTAAAATGATGGTTAATATAGTGACACAATAAATGTATAGTTGGAATATCTAAAAAAATAGTTGTTTTAACCTAATACTTAGTTGGCCTAACTAAATGTATAGCTGTGAGCTGTTGCTTTAACTGAACATATAAGTTGGCCGAACTATTTATTTAGTTATTACAACTATAAATGTATTGTGTTCCTATATTGACCATAATTTCAGTTGAGCTACAACTAAAGAGATAAAAAAAATCAAAATGAAACAACGTGATTTTGATATAGTTTTACAACAAAGCACAGCGAAAGCATACATTTTTTTAAATATTAATTTTAGCATTATATGATGGATATTTACATAAGTAAGATAAACGCTATGCGTTATAATTATATTAAAAGTATTTTTAAATATATTAATTATCACTACCAATTAAAAATAAAACGATAACTATTTTCCTTTTAACAAACTAAACAAAAGTATTTCAAACTTGCTTGAATGTAATTTAAAAGTTGATAATTAATTAGCTCACTCGTCTATAGTACATAAAAATGTTTACACATATCTAAGTACGCAAACGTTAACACGTTTTTATCAACTGCATTAACTCTACCTTTTGTGTAATATAGTTTACATATTGTAAACTGTCTAAGTAAACGCTATAAAAACAATTTTAAATTTACTTATGGCTAAATAAAAAAGAAAACAATTATCTTTTTTCAGGTATAGATAGTATAGCAGAACTTAATAGTCAAAGCTTTCCGTATTCATCTCTATTATACGGCGGATGGTTTGCTGCCGCGGCTGCTGCAGCGGTTGCCAATAAAACTCCACCGTCTCATTTATTTGGTCTCCAAGGTAGGATTTTACATTTATGAATTATATTTGATAACCTAGGCTAATTTCTTAAATCATTTTTAGTATCAAAATAATGTTAGACATCTAAAGAATAGTTAATATAAAACTTGTTTTTCGTCGTCTATCGTGAGTAAAAATGCCGACTTGGAAAAAAAAACTAACAGTAATATTTTTTTTGGGTGCATAAATTTTAGGCAGGCCAGAGGGCATCCTTTGTCTGCTTATTATATAACTTAAAATTCAGGTGGAAACCATCGGAATGCCTCCAACAGCATACTAGACACGTTATTAAATGAATGATTATAATATATTTTTATATATTTGTGTATTAACGAAAATCTACTACTATACTATATTATAAGATAAAGCGCTTACGGTTCTTTACTCTTAAGTTACAGAGGAAGATTTTTAAAGACAATTTTCGAAGGGGCACGATGAAGATGTATTTTTATGAATTATGACAATAGAAATAATGTTTCGTAAATTGATCGAACTTGAATAATTTTTTGTTTTTTTTAAATTGAACCCCAAACGATAAATAATAGTTTTTAATGGATAGTTTTAAGGGACGACTTTTAAAAATCAAATGTCAACGTACGTGTTTAGTTTTTCTAATATAATCGGAATGATTGAGTTTTAAAATTTGAGTCCTATCCTTAGTGACGCACTCATAAAAATTGAATTGTTTTGTCTAAATATTGAATATTAGTTTTTGATCTAGTTACATAATCTCTTACGTTTAACGTCCGTTATTTTCACCGATCGGAGCTTAGGCGGTTTTAGATTTGGCATTTTTGGGCTTATAGCTGGCTGCCAACCTAACGCTACCAAACAAGTTGACCTCAGAGAAAGGTGCAGGTGGCCAAAATTCTTCCCCCAGACAGTTGCCCGCCCAGATGAACAAACTGCCAGTGGCCGAGATTCGAACCGGCGACCGTGCGTTGCTACACACTGCCGCCTTATCTCACTCCGCCACGCGCCTGCACATATCTAGTTACATAATAATTGTTACTTTTTTAGTTATCCCATTTATTTTATAGAAAAAAATAGTGTAACAAGAAATTTGAATAACTAAAACACTGTAAATCAAAATAAAAAACAACGGTATTTCGTTTTATTACGACACAAATAAGTTGAATAAAATAATAATACACGCATTTGGTCGTCCGAAAAATGAAGACGCATAAATTAATATAATTAAGTCCATTCTTTTCGAAGTATTCCAAAATTGCTATCGTTGAAACATGTACAAATTTACAATTTTAGAAGTTAATTATGTTTTATAGGTGCCTATGTTGGACAAACTAGTATAATGTACGCTACATTATACTAGTTTGACAGTGTAATGTTTAAATCCGGTGTAACCCATTGATTCGTGACATTTGTCTGCGACATTGACCTAAAGTCCTATTCAAATTTATACTAGAGCCCTGCCTAACTCAATTTCCATTTATGACTTAGTAATTAAGTTTACGGTGCCGGTTTGACCTAAATATGACCTGCACATCCTTTAGTCCTCAACTCTTCATTTTTAGGAGGGTGAAATACCTAATAGTATATTTAAACAAGAAAACGTGAAAAACTGAAAACGGGGCGTTACTAAGAGAAAAGAAAATAGCATTATGCACATATACTCTTAAATAACGTCGTTGCCGCTAAAAAAAACTCCCATGTGCTAAAACCTAATTGTTCAGAAGACATTTAAACGATTTATAGTAGCCAGTAGGTAACATTAGTTAACATTTATTTTTTATTTTAAATTTATTCTATAATGGAGATAGCACGTTGGAGATTTTATCATACGATAGCTTATTTTTTTCTGTATCCAGGGATACCAAAACATCAAAATCGCAAAATTGACACGTAGCAGCGGTAACGACGATATGTTCTTTAGGATGATATAAAAAAACTACCATTTAGTAACTGAAGAGCGTTGGACACAAACGTATTAATGTTGATCAACTAGTGTGGATTGATTTGTATACGTCTATTATTAAATCAATTAAATCCAAATTGATATGCAATAGTTAATTTTGTTGAGAAATAAGTAAAACGAATGGAAGACGTATGATATGAGTTACAGTTCATATTGCATAAAATACAAATATGTTATTCAAATATTAACTAATAATGCCCTTTAATTCTAGCACCCAAAACGGTGGGCCGAAGGTCCAGAAAACCAGGGTTGGATAGAAAACCGAGGCAAGCGTACAGCGCAAAACAACTAGAAAGACTAGAAGCTGAATTTAAAGTAAGCAATGATTTACATAATAATTTATGTTTTAAAAAATTACAATATTTTGCTAGCGCAGATGTGTGTTTTTTGCATACATTGCAGTATGCGCGTTCTCGGTTCTATAATTTATAAAATAGATACAACTTATAGCGAACGATGAGCATTATTTTTAAAAACATTTGTTTTAGGTGTTTGCGGTTTTACATTTTTATTTTAACCATTAGATATGCGCATATTAATAAGTATATTTTTTTACAATATTTGTATACCTACACCTGTAAACATTTGATGTTTGCGATTTGTTGACACCAAGGTAGGTAAAAAGTCATAGGTGAACGCAATAGCTATTATAAATAGGTAATTAATAATCGTAAGTGAAATTTGAGGGTATCTTGGGTGTTCTTAGGAGCACTCTAGTTTTGAAATTAGAACCAAAAAATTATCTGTGTTTTATATAATAAGTGGTGGGGAGAGGGAATTTTTTGTAATATTTGCTGTGCCCGAGCACTTCCACTTCCTTTAGCGAGATCGCACCCCTGATAATAAACCTAATAACAGCGTAAGACCGTATTGATTGCAGACGGACAAGTACTTGAGTGTAAGCAAACGGATGGAACTGTCAAAAGCGTTAAACCTGACCGAGGTGCAAATTAAAACGTGGTTCCAAAACAGACGAACCAAATGGAAGAAACAGCTGGCATCAAAGTTGAAGATCGCACACAGACATGGTTATTTCCAGCCGGTACAGCATTACGCCAGCCTGTTCGCACCACAGTGTTATTTCCCACCCACCAGCGGAAATGGGGGGACGTCCCAAAATTTCAACTGTGTGCTTCCACAACCACCGCAAACACTACACGATCCAGCAGACCTCAGCCGTTCGTTCGATCAAATATCCAAAACGGAGGAACATCATCGATAATAGTTTTTAACCACACACGTGTGTACTTACTTAATATTAGTGATTTTTAAAGAAAACGTATTCGTCGTCGGTATAATTTACCGATATTTCAATGCACAGATGTCAGAAGTGCATTTTTTTTTTAATGTGCAGGAACGGAGTTTTAAGCTTCATAATGCCATTTTGCTAGTCCCGGGATGGCCAAAATATAGTGCTTTATCGACTGAATACAAAAAAAAACATGTATTTTAAAACACAAAATACTCTTACTCGTGTTTTATACCTATGTTACTAATACTTTTTTGATAAAAATCGTCCATACAAATAACAATATTAAATGTATTAAAATAATTATTCATGATATGTAAGTCAATTAAATAAGATAAAAAAAAAATAGAAAGCATGAAAATCGATTTTCCTGAAAATGTTACCAATTTACTTTCGAATATACCTATAATTGTGTAGCTGTTGAAAATGTACGCTTATTAAATTTTTTTTTTTACTTCGCTTTTCAGGAAAACTATTACTAAAATATGAAAAATAACAACAGATAAAATTTAAAACATGGTTTATGCAACAGGATTTATTTTAACTCTAGTTAACCAGTTTATCTCTGTGTAAATATTTGGTGCAACCCGGCATAAAACTTTACATTTTAATAGCAAGCCAACACACGCCACTATTCCGGACAACCCCCCTCGCCGTCTTAAAAGACGTTAATTTTCTTAATTGCAATGCTACCGTTTGATTTCTAGCCGAACCTATCTTAAGGGTCCTATCACTTCCCTACTCGTAGTCTCCAAGTCATTTATTTACATTGTTAACATATTTGCTTATTGTATATTTTTCTTTGTGTACAGATTGTAAATGTTATTTAAAATAAAAAGACTAAATTTAAATATAAATATTTGAGACACTAATATAAAATTGTTACCGGAAATAAACACAACAACGGAAAACATCTAAGTATTACTCGTATATTCATATATTATAAACATTAGTAAGGTCTGAAAACTTAGTTTTGGTTTCGATTCCTGAGTAGACATAATTTAATCTACACCTATAGGCGCTAGATTAACCATGGTAAAATGTAAACATGTATATTTAATCAATAATATATAATAAAAAAGTTGATTTTTTTATAATTTTTAATTTCTAACTCCCGTTTGATAAGTATTGCGTTTAAAAATGTATAAACTGATTAAAAAAAAGAGCACAATTGGTACATTGAAAATGTGTACATATACACATATATTTATATTATAAAAACATTTACTTTGTATTTTTGTCTTTGGGAAAATTAACAACTGACTAAAGCATTATTATTTAAATACCCATTAACGGGTTGGAATTATACAATTATTTCAAAAACTCCACATGTGACTGTAGAAACAATTTTTTTGAATACATTATGTATACTTGGTTTTAATGTAAAGTCGGTATTCTTACCTACCAAGCAATCAATAGTGAACTGTTATTTTCTAAAACAGTTTTCAAACTTCCTTAAGTATTTTTTTTAAATTATTGGTTTATCGGAATAACGACTATTTGTCAGCTGACAAACGTTCAAGATGAACGTTGAAAAAAAGTTAGGAAAAGACGTAGGATCTTTGACAGATGAATGGACCATTGGCGGAATTGTAGCAGGATAATTGTGAAGTAATCTTTTTAAATAGAGGATAATAATTAATAGGTATCTCTGCTAACAAATTTGTCCACAAAGGTGCCACACAACGAGTACCAATAGTTATTTTTTAACAACAATGATCTTTATCAGTTTTCTAGCCATTTTTTAATTTAAAAAAACTTGATGTACATGACAGTATATTTCATGAGAGTACAATAAAAATTATTATTTTGACAATATGACAACAGCCAAATGATTACAATATAATATGGCAATATTCGGTGTAAAAAAATTGTTTGATATTTAAAAAGGCAACTTGTTTGTTAATAAGATTTAAAATAATGTAAAAAATGTGTTGTATAATATATATTTTTTAGCTATATATCGATAGAATTAAAAAAAAAAAACATAAATTATTTATGCTATTTGCTCTAATTAGTCTCACCTTCCTACTCTTTTTGGTATAAATAACTCAATAGTAAAAAATATATCATTTTTCGAAATAATGAAACAATTAACACAAAAAAATTTGTGAAGTTTAACAAAATAAAATTTTTATATAATACATTTTTTTTCAATTATATTATTAAAAATATAATTATTATTACTTTAATGCTCGATTTTAATTAATAGAATTGTCACGCAAAAACACACACATTATAATATATATCTTAATTTCGTACTGTCAGCAAAAAAAAAAAAAAAAACGTAACGTAAATATTTATAAATATATACAAAATCAAGAAAAAAAAATTACAATTCAATAGATAATAATAATATAACTTAAAATATATAGTCTAGGACCAAAGTCTAGGCACAAACTTGAGTATTTATACGGCTTTTTTGTGTATGACCCATCCGCCTGTGAATGTACGCGCGAAGTGACCAGTTCTGCGTAAGCGGCCTGTAAACATTAAATAAAACCATTTCTATTATATAATTCAACAATTTTTTTTTAAATTTATCTCGACCCCTATAATTTAATCAATATTAACTCGTATATTAAATATAGTATCAATATTGAAACTACAAAAACTATACAAAAAATAATTTTTAAAAAAAGCATTGCGAAACAATAATTTATTATATAATATGTACTAATAATTGGAAGCGTTAATGACCTTAGACCAACACGATACTATAAGCGTTGTTCGATTTGCCATTAATAAATACAATGACACAAGAGTGTGAAAAATTGTAGTTTCACATTAGTCTTTTAGCAAAATATATACTAAAATGTATTCCTTCAATGACTCATTGGTAGTTCCAACATCCATCTAAAATGTACCATATAACCTGCTAGTGTATTTACATTGTATTGATCTATAGCAGTTATTTATTTTCTTTTTTCATTATAAAATGTGTAACTGTTATAAGATTTATGACAGGTTGTAATAAATTTAACAAATCATTTAAAATGTTATGATTCTTAATCATCAAATTTGAAAAAATCTAACTGTTAGAATAGCCTACATTTTGTATAACCCGACATAAGTATTTCAAATTCGTTAGTTTTAATATTGTTCATTGAAGCAAAACAAAAATCATTGCGTATAAAAATGACTACAAAAACACTAATAACGAGACCACGTTATATGATGTGTATTGACTATTGTGTACCTACTTATTATGAGGATAATATTCTAAATTTGTATAAATTGTGCCAATTTTGTGTTTGATTGAATGAAAGAAATGAAATCGTGTCTCGTCAAATTAAATTGTTCACACAATGTTAGACCGTAATGTTATGAACATGCATTCAGGGTAAATGTACATGCATTCTACAGGCTATTAAAAAACAAATGGTTTCAAAGTGATACATTGGAAGTATTTACAATGATCAATTTCAAATAAAGCTATACAAAGTAAATGTATATATAATAATATATTATATATATATATATATATATATATATATATATATATATATATATATATATATATATATATATATACATAATATTATAATAAGCTAGGTATGGCAACTGGCAAGTTCACCAATTGTACAGATTTTTTGTAGCTAACTCGTTTTTTCGAGTTACCTTGCTAAGCAAATTTACTTAAATATACATATATATATATAATTATATTAAGCTCAAGCATAGTAAACAAAATTTTAAAAAAAATTCTTACGATAAATATTAATGTGAATAAGTATACCTAAATAGTGTAGGTAGCCGTAATATGAAATTTATGCGGAGTTTGCGCCCACGCGGCTCTGGCGTACTGCAAAAGAGAAAAAACACCAAAAACCAAATTCAGATAGGGTTTACACAAACGTTCAAAAGTGTTACCAAAATGTCACATATTAGGGTGAATAATGGCAACACTAACATTTCAACAACAATATCATAAGTGAACACAATTTAGCTGTTTAAATTTCACATGCTATAATTTATATAAAAATCAAATATCATCATTAAATTCCATGCGTATTATTATAGAGTTAACAACAAATATTCATTAGTAACAAACTTCCTATAAACAGTAAAAATAATAGACATTTTAACTGTCACCATTCATACGTATCATTATATTAAATACATATTTATAATTAAATCTAAAATTAATAGGTATTTTAGTATATTCGAATCACTTTAAAATAATAGCAACTAGAAATAAATATAATAAATTAGTATTGTATTTAATTAATAGTTTAATAGTTAATAAACTTAACGATAGTAATTTGATTTACTATTTTTCAAAACATAAATTAACAAATTTAATTTATTTAATTTAATACCTATATTGAATGGTGACTGACTGAAAAATAATTGGGATGAACGAAAAAAAGTAGACCTACATAAACGATTTCTGTTCTCAAAAGTATAAAAAAATGATATAGGTAGGATAGTTATAGGTAGGATCTATAGACCTTGTTTCATTAATTTTCTATTATATTTTTAACATTAATAATAAATTTGCAAAATTGTCAAAGTTTAAATATAAAATAGAATTAAAAAAAAACATACTTTATGAATGTTATTAAGTTTTAAAAATAACTGTCAAGGTTAATATATTATGTTAAGTCACACTCGAGAAACACGATTTCATTAAATGCTAAAGACTACTAGTGTATTATTATAAGTTAAGTATCTAAAAACTATGAGCTGATATTTCATGCCAATATTTTGTTTAATCCAAATAAAAAAACAAAACAAAAATCAACAACATTATTTCTAGACCTCAATGCGCAATTTGCCGATCAACTATTTGATCAATTTCTTGCTGTGCTTCTGAGGAGTTTTTCTAAAGAACCTAAACTTCATTTTCAACGGTGTATCTTTTCTTACTGAACGTAGGAAAATAAAAAATAAAAATTACATTAATTACACACAGCATCAAAAAACTAAAATTTTTGATTGGGCAATTAAATTAAAACCAAACATGAAAATTGAAAATTCTATTGAAGGGAAAAAACGATGTCATCACTAAAAAAGTTTTTACCCATTTTTGTCACAGACTGGGTGGCCTTTTTTTTTTAACTTTATATGTTTATCGAGTATAAACAGTGAAATAAACAACTTGTACATTGTAGACCAAATATATTATATTTGGGTAAAAATAATTTTAAGTAATGACTTCGCTATTAAACTATAACTGTGATGACTATAAAATAATAATATACACTCAAAGGTAGGTACTAGGCTAAATTAGTAGTAAATAATGATTTATTATTAGGTACACAAATTAATACAACCCTTACAGACAGTTTATTTCTTTCGGCAAGACTACAGGATCTTGAGATTATGTAATCTTTTTTTTGATTTTGACTTATATTTATAATTACAAACTGTTTTACATTATTTTTTGCAGAGAGTGAAGTTTTTTTTAAAAAAGTTATTTAAAATAATTAGGAATTTGAACTAATAATCAATTACAAATAAAAAATGTGTTGATTGAATAATATGCGATTAAGATAATTTTATATTTATCACTTTATCTTGAAAACAAATTATTAAAAAATAACGCCCAAACTCTATTATAAAACATTGAATAATGTTAAGTCTGTAAAAGTTAAAAAAAACACTAAGTAGATAGTTTATTTGTAATAACTAACAATACTCTAAAAGTCTAATACTATAAATATAATTCAAATTAAGGTTAGCTGAAGTTTTAAGTAATTTTTTGAAAAATGTATCTACGCCTTGAAAAACACAAATTGAAAAATAAAATTCAAACATACAGAAAGTGCTATTCTGTTGATAGAATTTCAAAACTCGTTTGGTTATCGAGTCTTGTTTCAGCCAACTTGAATTTAGCTCGAACACCGAGACGACAATCTGATCATTGATAATATTCAATAAATAATTGCAAACAAACACAAAACAAAAATAGAATGAATTGTAAATTATTTTTAACGGTTCTTCAGGAACCATGCGTTTCCTTCTTTCGGGATATTTATTTTATTATTTAATAGAAAACATATAGGTTAAACATATTTGAGTGTCGGGAAGAGGGATTTCAATTCAAACATCGATATCGTACCTGGAGATGAAATGTCTACATCACATAAGCCTTTGGACAAACTTAAACAGTAGCTATTTTTCTAAATAATTATTATACCTTAAATACAAAGTCGTTTAAATATCTATCTTAAACCACTGTAGTAATTATAGTTAACTTAAATCTAATGGGAATTTTCATTTTGTTTTTTCACAATAATCATTGTACACACTCCAAATACAAATAGTGTAAAAATGATATTAATTTATAATTCAAATTGCATATGAAGATTCACTATTATTTTTAATAGTATGACCACTGATTTTAAAATATACAGATGAGCGGTGCTATACACAAAATCCGTCGGCGTTTTTGTATATAGCACCTCTTATCTGTATATTTAAAAAGTAAAAACCAATGGTATAATTTTTAAAAAAAATGTAACTCACTCCTGTCAATGTTCCGTTGCAAATGTGATGCAATACGATGGCGAGCATCGTTATATTCTAAATGCAGACCAAGTCTAAGCAGTGTTGGATTTTGTTCAATCAGTTTGGTGATTTCCATTTCAATCTTGTTTCCCAATACTTGCGATCTCTGTTTATATATTAAAAAACAAACACTTATTTTTAATAAAACATATATACCTATTTATTAAAGACTTATCATTAATTTTGTACATACCTGGTTGGTGCCTCGAAACTCTTCCAAGGACCTCTGTTTTAGTAATGATTTCACCAGGCGGACAATTCCTATGGGACTAATAAAGTTTGTTTCCACACTGAAAAATTAAAAATCGTAATGTAATGAATGAAAACAAATAGTTGAATATAAAACAGATACATTAATTAGTGGACAGCATGTAATCTTACTTGCAAACGCGTAGAGTACAATTTTTTTCTAAAGCCTCCGCTAATTTACCAGCCAACCTATCTGAGAGCCCGACATTGACCAAACTTAATGTTTCCAAGTGAGTGTTTTCCACCAAAGCGCTGAATAATTGTTCGAACTTTTCATCGGAAATATTCTACATTAAATGAAAAAGTTAATATAAAAACACCTAGTTTATAGTTAAAGAAGCAATCGCACAATGACTTTTTTTTAATGAAAAAATGTTTAAACATATAAAATGTTTTGTACGTCTACCTATACTAGCAACAAACATAAATTCCACAAACTTTATCAGGAAAAAAGTTATTAAAAAAAACAGACAGTCGATATTTTGCACTGTGGACACTTATTTTGGCCAAGTCTAGACTTGTACAGAAATGTCTGAAAGAATTATTACTAGTAAGTGATATATCTGTCTGACAGAAATAATTAAAGCTATTCATACCTAGCCATTTTGTGTTATTTTGTTTTAAAAGTGTCATCATGTGAATGCAGTTTACGTGTATTAGCTTATAATCAAACTTTTATGTTGTTCCAATTGAGATCAAGTAATTTTGGATCATCGTCACGAACACGTTTGATGCTATCCTCGGGATCTGTTTGATTTGGAGGTTCTGGCGGATAGACTTTTGGTTGTGTTGCTTTAGTAACTCCGTCCCATCCCAAACCGACAGGCTGACCTTTGTTCAACAATGATGCATGATACTGATCTTGGTTCATCATCGAATGGAATCCAAGTATAGCTAAAAAATGAATGTATAATTTATAGCTTAATATAAACGTTTAATTATCAATTGTTTTACATACCAGCTAAATCGATTATTTCCTCCTGTGAAGCATTGTTCAAAGCATCTCCATATTCATCGTCAAGATCAATAGCAATTTTATCGTTGCTATCAGAATTTCCATTAGTTTCAGGCGCTACCCACTGTAATAAGTAAGTATATATTATGTTATTACTTATTAGTTACGTTGTTATTCACTTCTATTACAGGAATAACGGTTGGAAATCTTTAAGCGTGAAATAGTCATAATTAGACATATTACATAATATTAATGCTGTAATAGATCTATTGTGCAGAAGAAAAATTAATTAAAATTAGATATTCTATAAAGATAGTTGTCAAATTCAGTTATTTATTAATTATTTCCTTTTTTAAAAGCAGATGTAACATATTTGATTAAATTCAGTAGCTCAGGAGATATGGAGACACTTATTTAAAATTGGAAGTATTCCAGTTAAATATGGACATTAAATTCATTGTTTAAATTAGTTTATTTGACATTTAATAGTTTTAAAAAATAAAAAATAACAGGTTTCTAGCTAAATAGGAAATATCACAAATAACACTTCTCGAATGTCACTCAATCATTGTTTACTTAATGAACAAAAATAAATGACAAAATATAAATATCAATGCTTATATTTAATTAAAATGTTAAGAAATAGTTTTTTTTTCTTTATCAGTCGAGTTTTTTTTTATACTACTTTGTTAAACATTTTTTTAAAAACACATTCACATATTTGTTTCATTTCAAATCGCCATCTATTTGCTCTGATGACTTTTTTTTATCAAATTTTTTTTACTATACGAAATACATTACCTTCTTTCCTCTTACTGTTCCTGGAACATATGGTTTCATTTCTGGTAAATCTGGTGTTTCCAGTGCTTGTTTGTTTATGTGCTCAATTAATTTTTTTCTATTAAGTGGTCCAGTAGCTTCTTTATTGCATTCATAACTACAACGCTCTGAGGGCGGTAATAAATTATCCTAAAAGCAAAAAATTAAACAACGCATATAAATTAAACAAGGAATTTATTATAGTCACAATATATTCACTAGTTTTATATTCATAGGTAATAATAATATGAAGTTATCAACCAGGTAAATTAAAGAAATGTACAAATTTTTTTAGAAAAATTTAAGCAAATTTTCAATCGCTAATTGATCTATAACAGGATTTTATTGATTTCCTAACACAGTATATATATAAATTTATATTAATAATTTGACAACCAATATGTAGGTACCTATTTATTAACTATATTGACAAGTTCATAAGAACCCAAACTCGTCAATAACCAATACAATGGGTACTGCTTATTACCAAGTTAATCGATTATGTTACCAATCACTTATTAGGGCTAAGTACAGAAATTAACTTCTCGGATACATTTTTCTCGATAGTAGAAGTTTTGTATATAATATTCAAAACAAGATTAATAGATTCGATCACAAAATTCAGCATCCACCGTAATACCTAACGATGATCAAAATAATATGCCAAATAACGGAGACTTATCATCATAAAATACTTACATCGGGATCAACTTCTTTCGAAAGGATACTGATCTCTTCGGGCGATAACTGCGACAATAGCGTTTCAACGTCGAGTTCTTCGTATTCGCTTAGATTCTTGCCGTACAGCTTGGCCGGAACGGTAGTCATCGTTGTGGTTTTTTTCGTGGTCGTCTGCAAACACACAGTTAATTCGTTTGTTATTATATCGTCGATGGGTGAAAAAATACTAAGAGTAATAGGCAGAATAAGCTAATCAAAATCCAAGAAGTCAACTGATTGCACGCACTTGGTAGGTAAGTAGGTTTGTGGGTAACGAATTTGGACGAATAGAAAATTGCCTAAAGGTCGCTTTCTAAACCACGCACATACGCACAGGTATACGAAGCCGTTGAAAATCCGTTAAGGTCCACACCCTTCGAGGAACAGCGGAATTGATTGAAAAATCAATACTACCGGCGGCACACGGAATACGTCCTACTCGACTATAGCTGTTGTTGAGGTCGAACCAGAGCTGACCACCACAGTCCACACTCGATCCTAACCGAGTGTTGTATAGGTACTATTATATTAAACGCCTAATATTTCTGTGGACTGTGGATACTAGTTACTACCACGGATAAACAATAATATTTTCAACGTACCTACTGCAAGCACTTACAGCCGAATACCTAATCACTCATAGACGGCCACCGACTGGAGGGAAACACTGGTGACTGGAATGGAAGTGGGAATTGTTATCAAGTGACATCATTCGGCGGCGGCTGAGGCGTTTGGTGGTGGAAGCCGTGGCGCCGTCCATGATAATGGACGGTGGAGGGGAAATCGTTAACATACAACAATAATAATAATAATAACAATAATGGTAATAATAATAATAATAGTATTATTATTATTGTATTATTATCAAACCGGTAGCGGCCGCCATCGATTATTATTGTTATTTTTGCAAATTACCATTTACCAATAACTACCGCAGATCGGTAAGGTACAACAGTTGCACTGCCTAGCATTAATTTATCAATTTGATGACTCACCGGAGCGGCTATTTGACCTCGCCAAAACTTAACACTTAACAGTATTTCTAGTTTCTACGGACTCCAGTCAAGAAAACAATAGAATGGTTGACCAAAACTGGGGGGGGGGGGAGAAGAGTCTAAAAATTTAAATTGTTTCTCCTCATTACTAGTGTTTTTTTTTCAATTGGCGCTTGTTGAGATAATATTATAATATCATACTACTTGTGCGGCGCAAGACGCGGGTAACCCATAAGGCCGTAAGTGTTTTCAAGGATTCTATTATTTTTGCAACCGTTTATTGATGACCTTTATTCAATAGTTACTCAGAGCTAGTGTTATTATGATAATTATTATTGTCAACGATGTACGCGCACAAACATTATCTCAATTATTCGTGTTCAACAAAATATGTAAACTACGTTCTTTCTAGAATAAATAATTAATTTGTAAAATGGCCGCAAGTCGCCGCTAAAATGAACTATTTATAAGATTACTACTTGGCAATATTTATTAACCTTAGATTGAATAAATAAAATGGGTCTATACTCGCTTCTCGGCCTGCTCGAGAGAAAAAATGTGCCAATTTATTTTTGTAACCGATGCTAATATCCAATTATTATACAAAAATAATATGTAGAAAACACATTACTGTGTCCTGGCACATTGCGGACATAGTTTATCAAAATAATATTATTATTAAGAAACAATATTTACTAACCCAGAAATAGTGAACTAAGCGATAAAAATGATAGACAAAATAGCTACATTTCTTGTAATCTATCTTAATGTTGAAATACACAGAATTTTAAATATAATATTTCCCAAACCACTTATGAAGATTGATATCAATTATGTGTGTATGGCGTAGAACAACACATCAAGGTTACTTCAATTCAGTCGTGAGTTCTATGACACGATATTACCCATTGGAAGTTAAATTAAGCGCCTCACGAGAAAAAAAATTACATAAAAGTAGATGTTGTTTTTGAAAAAATGCTTATAAGAAGAACCTAAATGATATTGGTTTATAAATTATATCTCATGATTGATTAAATGTGCCTAGACATAATCAATGTAAAAACCTACATAACACTATTATAACGTTAATTTTCACACCATCAGTTTAAAAACGTTTTCATACTGGTACGTCAGCAAAAACAAAAATTGTAGCAAATCATATTATTTTGCCAAAAATACTTGCGGTAAACAGCTCAAGAATGTTGTTTTGTTTTCGTGACAGGGTTAAGACAGTAATATGCACTATAACAACTAAATAACTGACTATTTCGATTTCGTTGCAAACGCTATCTGGACTGATTCCAAACACACCTATAGGTGTAAAGTGAAAAATTATAATAATTTTAGGTGTGTAATAATTATTTCAGTATACAGTGATTGCGCAATTATTGTTTTCTACGCCAGCGGAGCGGCATACTTGATACTTATTTGATATAGTTTTTTAATTAGTATGTTAGTCTTATCGGATAGCAACACACCTATGAACTTTCTTATCAAGTAGATAACCATTGTTCTATGTGTTCTGCAGCAATAAATATACATTAATATAAAAAACTGACGGCTTAATGAACTCGGAAACGTGACATTGAATTTAATCGGTTATCTCATCTACCAAGTACACGTATTATAATTATGGTTTTATTTATTTTTTCGAAATAAATGTCCAATGTTTACAACACGTTTTGATACCTTTTATTTAAATAAAGTTACAACACAACAATACATTTTTAATCATGAAAAAAAAAGAGTAAAATTAGACAATTTCAGTTATCATTTTTTTCAGTCTTTGAAATATTATCATTATAATCTGTAGATTTCTGTGTAACAATAAGTAAATGAAAACAATTGTAATATATCAATAAAATAATATTACTAGTATCTTTTTTTTTTAACAAAGTCCAAAGGCCATGAACGATACCTAACAAGCAATAAAAGTATGTTTAGAAAAAAAAAAATTGTATTCTCATTCAAAGATAAATAAAACTCCAGATTACCATTAAAAACGTTATTGTTTAATCGTTGATTATAGTACTAAAAATAGTCACTAATTTAGCGGTACATTATTTATTATTGGCCATAACCGATTTGACGGATATATACATTTTCTGTTTTGAATAAAAAAATTATTAACAGTTTTCGGAGTGCGTAAACGGAAATCGTGAGATTAAAGTTAGAACTGAACAAAACAAAAAATTGAACGAATAAGTCCTAAATAATTTACTCAATTAATTTGTGCAAACTGACTGCACAAAAGTACCATAAATTAGTTGGCGCAGTTTAACTGAAAGTGAAAACCCACCTTAAAGTATTGCATACCCAGTTTCACCAAACATTTTCGAGCATAACCACAAACGTTTTACGTCAACGTAAAGGTGAGTTTTACAAATTCAGTTAAAACAGTGTAAGTGAACTGTGCGTAGGCATTTTGGTTTGCACAAAACTAACTGTGTGTGTAAATAAAAATCGTATGATTGCACGGTTAAATAATTTAAACTGTGCAAGTTCATGTGGTTCCTGAAAAAACAATTTAATCGCTTAGTTTTCCAGAGTGTGTAAACGGAACTCATGGGTTTAGAATTAGAACGGAGTTATTTTTCGACTAATTAATAATGTCGATCGATGAACTAATGTAATTAAATGTTATCTATTTTGTTATTAACATTCTCATTTCTCCTTCAAAATAATAGAACGCGATACGTAAAGACATAATACAGCATGTTACGTTGATCTACTTTCTAATCACACGTTCTGAATGTCATTGATAAAGGGGAAACGGCAAGGTCATTTTAACTATGGCGAAAGCATCAAAGCGTTTTTCTCGTCCATTAAACCTTTTCTGGTTCAAAGCTAAATATTTTTTGGGAAATGTCATATATTGATGATTTCATATATTTTTTGTGTAAGTTATTTTAATTATAATTATTCATTAAAAAAATGAATCCATAAAGCAGTCGGTTAATAGACAATTTAAAAAATTAATGAAATTTAATGTTAATACAGGAAGTAGGAACGACGTGACATTTATGGATTATCGTATCGACCAGTTATCTTTAGAGAAAATAAGCAAAAGAAAGTAATTTATTTATGTACAAATCTTGTAGTAAAGCGCCTAATGAATCGGGTGGAATTTTTGAAATATTCAACTCGCTATTAAAGTGAAATCTCTTTGAAATAACGAGTTCAAAGAAACAGGCATGTCACGAGAGTAAAAAATAACATTTGCCGTGCTTATTAATATGGTTAAACATAAAACGAACAGACGGTGTAATTATAATTGTAAAAAAATGTGGCCCTTAATTGGGTAATGTTACTTAAAAAACATAATCGAATGAACATGCGCCAAGACCATAAAAGAAATTAATTGAAAATCACAGCACTTGTGGGACATCGCCGAACAACAGCTACTATGTCAATCCACAATGATATTATAAGTTCAAACCAACAGTAGAAATATAAAAGTATTAAATGTATACATTGCGGTAATTTGCATTTTAAGCATTATAACAGATACGAAATAAAAAAAAAAATAAATATAAAGCATTATAAATTATAATATAAAAAGAGCTATCAAGCCAGCTCAAAACCTATTGTCCAAAAAAGAAGTTTTTTTACCACGTAGAAAATAAAATACGTAATACTATTAAAAAAAAAAAATATGTTATAATAATTCTTCTTCTTCTTATTATTATTATTATTATTATTATTATTATTATTATAATCATGAGAAAAAGTTCAAGAAACATGAATCAGACGAATGTTTGTCAATACTTCGGCTTACTCGAACAGAGTTTACATTTGATTTTTCTTAGTTTATACTTGCAAATACCATTATTATGATTCGTATACGTGATTAATAGTTCACATGTTATCGCTTTAGTAAAAACGACCGAAGTCAGAACCGATTCATCACAACAAACAAACCGCTCAACGCCTTGTACATTGAATTCCGTTTACTAGCGATTCGCCGTAAAAACATGACCGGGTTACACCACAAACACCGGGAAACCGATAAACAAATTAACATTTAAATTGTACACGTTATTAGAAACCCGTTACAGATATCTTCCTCTACAAACAATAACAACAACAACAAGTTATAACTATCAGTACAGTAGGAGAGCTCTGAGAAACTATTTT